GCAGGAAGTTCAGCAAATACTGGAACCTGTCCTGGGTTTTGCTGACACCCAAGGCAGGACTCAGTTGTAAAAGTGGGAAAGGTCTTGTCAGGGAGTGATGGCTGGAGTCTGGAGGTGTTCTTCAGGTGGAATTAAGCAGATTTAGTGATTGACTGAAGACTACAATGAAAGGTTGGAGCATTTCAGAGCTCTGGGTATTGACTTTTGGAGCATTTAAGAGGGAAATCTTCAGTCTCATGAGCACCACACTGGGGGCCACAACTGTCCTCCAGGTTTTTGGTCAGAGAACTTTGCCATGGTTCCTCTTTGGATTTTACCGTCAAGTTAAAGCCAGCAGATGGTTAGCCTAACTTAGCACAACCACAGTGAACGTAAAGTAATAACTACGATGAAGACAGCAGCTGATTCCAGAAAGTTAAAAAAAGTGATAATTCTAGACAGTTTTAAGTATTTAAGGACAAAACTTACAATTCATTAATTTTATCAATCTGTATCAAATTCATGCAAATGTCTTCAATGACGGCGCTAATCTCTTTTGCCTGAAAGCACTTTAAAACAATAGAGGAGAGGAGGCTGATTCAGGGAATGACACCCCAACTGTGAGGGGGCTCTGGGGTTAAAGGTCACAGGGGGTTAGGGATCGTTAAGGGCATCTGCAGGCTGACAGGTTGACATGAAGCACAAAGCAGCAGCAGCGGGGGAAAAATTACATAACCAAAGTGAGGGTGTTTTTACAGTGCTAGATATTTTTGTGAAATGTGAGTTTGTGTCATTCTTCGTCACACTGGGCCAGTGTGTGTGTTTGTGTGTGTCAGCATCCTCTCACAGCATGACTGGCAGACAGGCAGAAACAGTCAGCTGTAGCTCTTTGTCCCTGGCTGTCCAGTATAACTAATCCTAGCTGGAATCTGAGACTGTTAGACGCAGAGGTAAGAGGGATGAAAATAACAGAAGCTGCTCAGGGGAAAATGCAGAGTGGGAGGAAATTAGTGTACCGATAAGATACTGAATTCAGAGTTTTATACAGTCAGTCACCACTGCTGCTAAGGATGATGTCCCACTGAGTGGAGTAAGCAAACGTGAAATTTCTGCAGTGAGTTATTGAGGGACTCCAAACTTCCCAGTCTTTTATAATGAAAAAAATAAAATAAAATAAAGTTTTTGGGGGCAGCTGACTTTTTTTTTTTTTTTTTGCTCATTCCTAAGATACATGCATATTAATTTTCCAAGCATGTACATATCTTTTCCAGCCTGTTTGGAAATTCCCTACCAATGAAATAATAAAATTAAAGCTCCTGTTCCTTTAGTGTGCCTACCCCCTTACAGCAGGTAAATTTAATAAAAATTTACAATGTAAAAACAGCCGAGCTCATCATCAGGGGTTTCATTTGTTTTTAAACAGCATAGAGACATATCAGTGTTCATTTCAGTCTGTTTTATAACCCATCAAAAACTCCCTACAGGAGCTTTAACAGGAAAACTTAATACACAGTTTCCTAATAATGCATAACACTTCCATGTTGTCAATACCAGAACAACATGATATTCCAATAATATTTGAGATTGCTTGTGTAGACTTTCCAAAATTATCAATCTCTAAAATATGTTTAGGTTCAATTGTGTAACTCTCCGCATCCATCAAAAAATATATAAAACCATCAGGGTGCCGTTTTAGCTCAGTTGGTGTACAGAGGCTATAGTCCATGTCACACCAGTCCAAAAGCCCCTTAAAAGAAACTTAAAGGAAAATTAAAACTGTCTGCAATACTATGAATCAACATCAGTCTAGTCTTTTTTTACTTTTATTTGACAAATTATTTCATGTTGTTCACAAAATACTGACTCGTATAATACTGACACTTATGTATGTACCCCCATCATTTCATCTTCACTTCCATTCATAACTGTTAGGGTGTGAGGCCCTTTAATCTGCAGCTCTGCACATCTACACATCAGCTGCAGAATTCTGCCGTTGGAGGTACGTCTCGTGTTTGTGTGTGTGTAAGTGTGATGCATGCCACATTCCTGTGATGCAGAGCAGCATAAAGGGCAGTGGCCCCACTTCACCAGAGGTGCAAGCGGGGGGATGGAGAGCAGAGTGATTGATTGCTGAGGGGAGGAGAGCGGAGGATGGTTTGAACAGGTGGAACATCACCAGACTGACTGAATGAGTCTGCTCAATGGACCAGGTGAGTGTCAGACTATGAAAAACCAAGAGATGTTCAGACTGAGACATGTGCATGACAGTCTGCAAAGACAGGAGTGTGATGATTGAAAAACATGTCAGATCATCTGTTCATAACTCCATTAGAAAGGCTTTTTGTCTATCGGAACTCATTCACTGTTTCTCAAATTAAAATATTAATTCATATGATGAGGTCTTTTTTTCAACTCACTACCCTCATGGTGCACTGATGACGCACTAAAATCCTAGTTTTATCTCTTAATTTCTGTGTCAAGGCTGAGAACTTTGTGTAACTGGTTATTCATATCTTCCCACTAAACAATAAACGGCTATTAGACGTCTAGTTTTTTTTTAGACTTAATTAAAACCGTCTAGATTTTGTATATTTTTAGACTTTGCACTTGAACCCATTATTCGATAACTATTTATTTCAGAAAGCAACTGTGAGTTGCATAACTGATCTCCAAGTACTTAACCAAAATAATTATGATAGCTGTTGAGCAATATACAGTGTAGCATAGATATAGCCTAGATTTAGATTTAGTCTAGACTTGGTCTAAATTTAGACGTCTAAAAAACTTTCATTTTTAGACCTGTGGTAGCCTGATTTCAGACCAGTGGTTGAGGCTACATTTAGACATCTATTAGACCTCTTTTAGACAAAAAATTCCCAGTGGGTTTGTACATATATGCTGAGAAGTCTAGCTTTACAATCTTAGTCATTTAACTCTGGTTTAATAATCTCGGAGAGCAGAATCAGATGTTTTATTTGTGCTAGTATCCTGTTGTGAAGCTGATCCTGTAGTGTCCTGGTGATTGTTTAACATTTGAAGGCGGAATTTTGGTTTAAGAAATCAAAAGTACAGCAAAATGTAAGATTTCCTACCAATTATACTCTCCTGTTGAGTGTTAAGAAATACCGCAAAACTGCTCATAAGTAGACTTGTCTCACCATCAGGGTGAAATTTGAAGTGGAGATTTAAGTGCAACATAAGGCCTCAAATGACCTCAGGGAGGAGTCAAACAATGTAAAGATATTCAAAAGTTGCAGACAAAAGTGATAATAAAAAAGAGGAAAACAAACGTGGCTGAGGACACTCCTCAGCAGCTCTTAAGAGCTTTTCTAAAAATGAACTCCCCACCCTGTTAATGAGATAAATGTGTCTTCCATAACACTCCGCTTCCTCTCCGAGATAACGTCACTGACTGTAAACAATATAATTGTGGATGTGTGCATGGAGTGAAAGAACCTGAGGTGGTGACATCAAGACTCTTTGCATTAACATCCTCCTGCAGTGGGATGCAGGTTATGGCACGTTTCAGTCTCACTGCTGCCAATCAGTCTGGACTTTCCTGTACAACAACCACCCTTTCCCCCGAAGGTCATGATCTCATCCTGGTTCAGGTCCGATAAGGATCTTAATTACCCCGCAGAGAACAACTCAGACCCCCCCCATGTTTCCATTTTAATCTGGGGACACAGAGAAAATCAGCTCCAGGACGCCTGGCCTACATTCTCCAATGTGGGCCAAGGTCCCGGCCCTCACCTTTGGCCCACATGAGTGTGCTGAGTCCAGCAGAAGACATTGAGTTCCCTGTCACAACAAGATTTTCACTAAAGTCTCACATTTACAGTCAAAGCTAATCAACTTTCTGTGGAACCACAAGTTGTGCGCCAGTACGACAAAAGATCGGATCATGATAATAAAGAGTGTGACTGCCAAGAGCAAAAACTGAGCCAGATCTTTGTTTTATGACAGGAGAGAAAGTTCGGCTTCCTCCTGACTTACGGATTTGTTTGTGTGACCACATTCAACAATGGTGCCACTTAAATGAGTCACTGGGACCATGAACATTAATTTATCATCACTGTTATTTTCCTTTGTCCTTGTTAAATCCTGGCTCTGGTTAAACTGCTCGTCACTCTTCAACCTATTACACTTGTTGATATAAACTGTTATTCTGTATTTTGGTGTTAATTACTGTTTTTTGATAGTATTCTTCAGTATTGGTTAGGGTTAAGAGCTTTAATCTATAAGTAAAACAAGCTGAAGTTAACAGAGAGGCCTCTACAAAAGTCACTGAGACCATCAGCAATACAACTGACTATTTTCTTTATTGTAAATACGGGAGGTACGTTTTCGGCAAACATTTACAGTAATATGTTAGACTTTGACAGTTAAAATAAAGTGAAAGAAAAATATCTAAGGGTTGACACTGAGTAGAAATGTGTACCCTCATCCTAAAAATAAAAACTGCCCAGCTTTCAAGAGTTTTTTTGTCATGTTCCTTATGCACAATGATTTATTTTATTTATCAGTATTTATTTTAATATATACTAATGGATCCTCTAAGGAACATTCATTTCGGGTAGATTTGGCGCCCTCTGTGGGTGAAACCATGCACTCTCATGCCTTCCTGATGTCCTGTACATAAATTAGAAGTATCTTCTGATAAGAAATGAAAAATCTACCCTACTTTATTTAAAAAGTCAGCATGAATCTTTTCTGTGGATTATATAATTAAAGGCTGTTTCTGCAATATGCTGTAAATTACTTACCTGGCAGCAGCAGCAGCAGCAGCAGCAGCAGTTCTGGCCAAGTATGTGTGCTCATACAAGGAATCAACTCTGCTCTGTAAGTGCAACATTTAATATTAATAATGAAAAATTACAAAATCTTCATTTTATCACTGATGGTCTTGTTTGATTTTAGTCATTTAGATGCATCAACAATAACTCCAGTCTGTTTTATATTTAGCCAAAAACTCCTCACTGGAGCTCCCCCCTCTACAGAGTGAGACATACAGCTTCTCATCAAGTTCTGGTATGGGGTGTGTACTACTGAAGGGTTTAGGATTTGGTGTTGAGACTGAAAAGCAGGTGTCAAACACATAACTCTGATACTAGATCAGTGTTGTGGAGAAAATCTGCGGTGCAACCTTATCTCTACATATGGAGGAAATAAGCTGTGGTATTTGTTTTTTTCTCATTTCTGGTGCGCAAAGATAAAGCAAAGGATCTTTTTTTTTGAAGGGCCCGATTATTATTATTATTATTATTCTGATATTATCTCAGCACAGGTCTTGTTATTGATATTTTAGAGGATGTCCATTTCAACTTAATTAGTAAATTACCCTTATCTGCTGTTCAATTCATGTTACGCTGTCTTTTCAAACCATGAGGTATTTTCTTGTTTTTATTGGACAACGTTGTGTTTTACCCTGAGCCACTGTTGCGGTCAGGAAAACAATTTAGACACATTTTTAAGAAATTAAAATAGTTTGTGATTAAACTGCTATCTAAAATCTCTAACTGCAAACATGCAGCATTTGACTTCCCATTTAGAAATGTTAGCAACATAAACAGTAAAAGGATAAGCTGTAAGAAGCAGTTAAATTACCTGCTCATAATATGACTCAAAATGCTGAAGGTCTGGTTCTAAACATTCACAATAAAAGAATGATTATCAAATTTGCAGCTATTTTGTCTTATAAACGACTGAAAATGATAACTTTTTTTTTATCTTAAATTTCTTTGACCAAAGGCAGACACAATATTTATGTCTCTTAATTTGATTTATTAGACAAGTTAAAACATTAAAAAATGCAGTACAGCACTTAAAGGAATAAAAGAAAGATCATGAGAAAAAATATTAAAACTGCGAATAAGACTCCCACACATTTACACTGAAACTGTACAACAATATACAAACAAAACTGTTTTAAAAAATCATAGATTATGTTCCTCTGTTCTCGTCAAAGTGTTCATGTCCCACAGATTTGGGTCATGTCGCACATAAAGGTGTAGACAGCAGAAGCACTCACCAAGTTTGAGCCAAACCAAGAACTCAACCTTAAAAGTTACACTCGTGTCTGCTATCATGACAACAGAGTGATGAGTGCGTCCAGAAACTTGCTCCTGTCCTCTGTCTTCAGCTCAATTACTGCACAGGAAAAAACAAAAACAGGTAAGAATTAATTATTAATGAAAGTACAAAGTCAACATGTCTGTCAGCCAGTTGGATGAAATGAGGACAAGGCTGCCACCTTGTGTCTGAGCATAAAAAGAACAAATCTGAAAACAATGCATGTGCTGACACACAACACAACATAAAACCACTAAATGAATAAAATTAACTTACTTGAAGTATCAAAGTGGTCGTGAAGAGTTCTGGAGCTGGTGCTCTCTGCAGCTTTCTCAAACGCTCGACCAAAGAAACTAAAGAAACACGAAATTGGAGACGACTATATTGGACACTGGGGGGTACACAGATTTTCACCAGAGGTGCGTCTCAGCCCCAGGAGGATCCCATAACATTTTGGTGGTGATCCGGACAAAATTCTGGATACTGTGATCCAGAACACACAAAAATAAGGGTGTCGTTGGAATTTTCAATGCTGGAAGATAACCAATAGGCGGCACAGTGGTGTAGTGGTTAGCACTGTCGCCACACAACCAGAAGGTCGTGGGTTCGAATCATGGTCAAGGCATTTCTTGTTTGAGGGGGGACATGAGCTGCTTGGCGGAGGTCTGCGCTCTCCGTGTGCCTTTCTAGTTATCTCTAAATTGTAATTTTACTTGGACAGCCAACTGAGGGTGGGTGTCAAGAAAGCGTGCTGAAGAACCAGTCTTTTTCATGAGGTGAGGGATACAAAAACAAAGATTTACTTTGAAAGAAATCTGCTGATAAGGTATTGATCTTCCAACTACAACATTTGAGCAAAGAGATATTTTCAACTTTTGAGAAAAAAATACACACAGATCATAAATGTTATGTGAAAAGACATATAAAAAAGAGGGCTTACTTCTTCTTGTCAGATGTTTCAGACTCAGGGGGGATTCCCACAACTATGACAGTTCCCTTCTCCACATCCTTGGGGGCAGCCATGATGAGGGGGAGCAGCTTGCAGCGCTTGTTTCTCGTCTGCCAGACAAACACATCACTGATTATATTGTAAAAACAAAAGCATCTCTTTTGACACTAAAAGAAACCAGTTTGATACTTACAGAATGGACGAAAGCCTTCAGAAGGTATTTGCTCAGCAGAGCCAAGGCCATGGGTTTGGAAAAGAGCTTCACATCAGGTGTTCCCTAAACACACAAGATAAAGTGAGAGGATCTTGATTGTGAGGAAGCAGAAACACTCCAGAGGTCATAACAGACTCATACCTCCATGAGGTAGCAGTAGAGGAAGGGCCCCTGAGACAGGATGAGGTTGGTGCAGATGCAGCTAGCTACAGTCTGCTGGATCGCCATCAGCTTCTTCTTAGCCTGGTCAATCCCTGCGTGTAGACATTCCAGGTTACTCCTGCGGGGACAGGGAGAGCAAAAACGTAAAGAAAATAAACCTGACTCTGTAATCTGATTGTAACAGAGTTTTACAAAGATTGTGCCACACACCTGGAAAGCGAGTCCAAGGCCTTGATGAAATTGTCGCCGTCGCTCTCGTCTTTTTCAGTGCTCTCCAGCAGGGCCGTGGTGGCGTGCACCATATCGCTGGCCAAGAAGCGGTTCTTGAAGCCAAAATGAACGCCAAATGTCTGGATCCTGATGTCCTTCATGCTGATGAAGGATGGAGATAAAAGCCATTAACTGCTTTCAAATGCTACAGCAGATCAAAGTTGTATGTTTCAGGTGTGATAAAGATTCGTACCCGTATTTCATGGATGACTCTGCAATGACATCTCTTAGGTTCTCTTTAATTGACATGTCCATGGAGTTGAATTTCTGCCTCACTTGCTTCAGGGGAAGTCTGTTGATAGGATGGTGGAAACATCTTAATTTATGCCATGGGCCTTAATTTAACTTTACTCAATATGATTAGTACTTTGTTGATAGATGCTGCGTTACTAACACTCAGAGCACAGTTTTTTCTTTGACTTACCCCATATCAGCCAAGAACTCCTGGAGTTTCTTTTGGCCATTTAATGTCCACAGCTTGAAATTGCATGACGTGTAACATGAATTGCAGATGCTCTCATACAGGGACCAGTGTTGGTAGAGGGACAGACGTAGGCTGAAGGAGAAGGTTCAGGAAAACAGAAAAGTGCTGGAGAGTTCAAATTACAGGGTCTTGCCTCTGTGATACTCGAATGAACAAGAAAAGGCTTGGATATCGAGATACATGATGAAAACAACTTGGATAAATTGAGGATACTCGTATTCAAAGGAGATCCTCATGCAGTCGATAGAGAGGGAGTTTTCTTCATCCTCATTTCGGTGGTTATGGCGGGAAACATGTCGCTGCATTGTGGCAATGTCTGTGATGTACTTCATACTAAGAAGGTAAAGAACGGGCAAGAGGTGAAGTATGTAATGAAACATCTAGTAATGAATCACATATGAAGTTTAAGGGTTATAAATGATTGTGTTGAGATATTAAGAAACACTTACCGTGTGATTTTGTCATGAACCCACTGATCTGTCAACCCAATGACGGCCCACCTGAAAAAAGAAAACTCCATTGTTTATATCTAACAGCCTATAAAGTACACCTCAAACATGTTTACACGATCAAGAAAAGAAATAATAAGCAGACAGCTTACCAGAGCATGTCCTTGGTGTCTTTGGTCAACACCCATGCCAGCTCAAAAAACATCATGGAAGCCTGACAAAGGAAAATGACAGTATTAATATTCATGTATTGACAAAATGTGGGCAAATCAAGTCTTGACAGAGCAAAGCTATGGTGAACTTTAAAATGTGTTTTTACATGTAAGGAACATCTTACATTTAAGATATTTAAGTTTGTGTTACATGTAAGGATGGGCGATAAGGGCTAAAAAATTTATCACAATAAGATCTGCCGTTCTGGCGATGACGATAAAAGTTCCGATAAAAGATATTATAATACCAATCTATATTTTTGACTCGTTTTGTCTCGAGAACGCCAGTTGGAATAGTCAAACAAGATACTTAACCACAAGTTTGAGTGGTAGAAGTTTTATGTATCAAACATGAAAACATTTTCATCATTTGTTTTTTAAACTCTTATTGCACAGAGTGAACAGCAGCAGATCTACTGTCCGATGTCAGGCATATCTGATTACACTCATCTAAATCTCAATCTTGAAGGAAATCCCTCATGTGGAGCCTCGTTAAATAACGAGCTGCTCAGAAACGTCTTTTCATTGCCTTCAGTCATGTTTTGTTATTGTTTTGTTTGTTATTCTGCTCTGTGTGGGCTACGGCTGTGAGTCCGTCGCTCGCACTTACATCATCAACTTGCATTTATCGTATTTATCATGAGATGGCAAATTTTTATCATGGAGGATTTTTTTCGGACGATAATTCGTAAATGACATCACCCATCTCTAGTCACCTGTGCTTATTTTCAGAAGTTAAACATAAACACTTTAAACAGTACTCACAGCGGTTCCATGGTATTCATACTGCTCATATTCAAACAAGATTTCCCTCCTAGGACATAAATGAAAGATTGATTTTAATGAGGAAAGCTGAAAATCTTCAAACATTATTCTTACATCTGCTCATAAATACTTCACCTTCTTGCCTCCCACTCCCTTTTCGCTCGCTGTCTGTCAATTCTCCTCTCAATGGCGCCCTGTAACAACATGATCATGAGCGCACAATTGACTGCAGTCATGTCAACACAGTTATGTTTCATCACAGTGATGTGTCCTTATACTTTTAAACACGCACCTCATCAAATCTCCTCCGTTTCCCCGAAGGCTCTGAGCCTTCATCACTCTCATTTCCTGAGTCATCTCCTTCCTCTTCTTCATCTCGAAAGATATCATCATAAGAAGGCACACCAAGGTCATCGTCCTGTTTGATCAGCAGCTTTATCTACCAATGAGAGGACAACAGTGTAGACATGTTGATTAAGGTAATACAGTTTTGTATCCCTCACAAACTTTAAGTGACACCTTGTAAACACAGATGATGCAGCACACTAAAAGCAAATAATTCAATGTCTTGACTCCATAATTAACCACATTGGATATAAAACAATCATTATCCATCACCTGTGTGTCATTGTAGACATTGACCACATCTACTGGTCTGTGAGTGTCACAGATGAAGAAGACGGAGTCATCATCCGGCTGCAGCATCTCAAGAAGGTCGACATTGGCTCCGCAGTTGATGAGAACAAAGTACTTGAACTAAAAATCACACACACACAAAAACATTAATTTATTCTCTTTTGTTTCTAATCCGTGTCGTGGAAAATCCAACATAATATCAGTTAAACAATGCACAGGAGACAGGATGAGATCTGAAGAACAGCCTGGGCGTTTCTTATTGTGCAGATGTAGAAATCAGTACAGATGACAAACAGTCTTGACCAAACTCAAGGAAAGCCTTCTCAAGCTTTTCTTCTACTCCCTTTTATACTGTCTGGTGTGTATCTGAAGACTGTCATTGTGTACTGCTTGTATCTCTAATGTGTGTGTGTCTGTGTGAGCCCTCTGTCATCATGGGTACATCACATTTATCCTCCAGGAGGCTATTGTACTGTTCTGAAACTCATCACTATGTTTAGCTTAGTCTTAACTCTTCCAGACATTAGCTCTAGATGTTCTGGCAGACTGATAGTTTTGGTCCCTTCAAAACTGCCTCGCTAACAACCTCTCAGTCATGAGGATTCATAAGTAGGCCAACCCAGATTATTTGTAACCACTTAATAAAACTCAACTTAATTTTTAAAGCACTTTAAAACAACCACAGCTGAACAAAGTGCTGTACATAAATAGACAAAACAATGAAAACATAAAAAACAATTAAAACAATGCATAAAATAAAAGCAAATATTAAAAAAACTCCACAATAAAAAAAAGAGATATTTGTTTCTATGTTTTTCATTTGGTTTTTAAAAACCTTGAAGCTATAACTAAAAACAAACCATAAAACACTAAAACAGGAGCCGAGTCTCATGCATCTATCTATCTATCTATCTATCTATCTATCTATCTATCTATCTATCTATCTATCTATCTAACGTGCTCCCTCTTACGTACTCCAGTTAAGGGCCGGGTGGCTGCGTTTTGTACTAACTGGAGACGTGAGAGGGAGGACTGGCTGACTCCAAAGTAAAGTGCGTTACAGTAAGCCAGCCGAGATGTAACAAAGGCATGGATTACTGTTTCGAATGGCTTTGCCTTTGCTAGCTGCCTAATAGGATAAAAGATGGATTTCACTAATTAGCTAATTTGCCTGTCGAATTTAAAATCACTGTCCATCTCAAAACCCAAATTTGAGAGGTTGGCTTTAAATAGTCTGCTAAAATACCCACGTCTACAGGAGGGGATTCAGAAGGGCCACTGGGACCAAAGACCATCACTCTAATCACTCTATATTTCTTTAACTAAATGTATGGAAAGGTTCGACTCCATCAGGTGGTTTTCCATGTGTAAACTCAGGTCTTATTGAATCTCACCTGTTCTTTGTGCTCAAGGAAAGCAGTGCTGAGGTCCTGCCAGCCTGTGACTGGAACAAGAGTGTACTGGACCTGATCACAGTGGAAGAGAGCCTAACAGAGCAGGAAAAACACACCACAAATTTGACTTTTAGGAAGCTTTTCGTTTTTTCTTGTTCAGTTTGTTTCCTATGGTAAACAGTACATGTAGATGTAATGGCGAGCCTGCGCCTGAATGGGAACAGTAGTTAAAGCTCGCTAACAGATAGCTTATGATCTCACCTGCAGGATCTTACAGGCACAGAGAGCGTCAATGTCCGACGCCACCAGGAGTGCGACTCTCTACAAACACAATATTTAGTTATATGTTAAATAAACTTTAGATACTGAGCATCTGACAACGATAAAAGACCAGGACAGCTGCTGCCGTCAACAAGTAACATTAGCAAACACTGTTCGGTGTACAATTTGACAGTTTTCTCACTAAAACTTACCTGGTTAGCAACGACCTCATAGAATTCTTTCCTTATGTCTGTGATGAACATCTTAAAACCGATAAAACAAACCTAAAAGTGAGATAAATAGCGTTAAAATCGCATGAACGGCGGATTATTTTGATACTGTCTGAAACGGAGCTATTTCGCAGCGGCACTGTGTTCCTTGTTGGAAATGTGGCGCCAAATCTGTACGTCACTTCAAACCAATCACCGTGAAGGGACTAACGTGCGTCACAGGTTCTGACCGCGCCCACCAGATTGAGACGAGTCGCCTTTCAGATAGGAGAGAGTGGGGTAAATTGAGCCACCCCCTGTGTTTCTTGTAAATGGTCAAAGAAATTGATCATGTGACCAAATATTTAGGAGATGGGCATCAATTCATGGAGTCTGTGAAGGTTTGAAGCACATGGGTGAAGGGGTTAGACATTTATTTACAAAAAAAAAAAAAAAACATTTTTGACTCTTGAAAGTGAAGTTAGTCTGTCATAAGTTTTATTAGAATTGTGTTCAGACCAAAAAAGATCATTTTAATTTTTTTTCTACAACATGAGGTCAAAAAACCTAGAACTAAAGTCCACCATTTTAGCTGAGAGGACTAATAAAAACATAATCATAGTTCTGGGGTAAGTTGAGCCAGTGGGTCAACTGATAAAGTAAAGAAGTCTGATGAGAGGATCAGAGGTTCAGTTCAGATTGTTGAAATGTGTTACTTTTTCTTTTCAAGAATACAGCTGTGAATGTTCTGAATCACTTAAAGACATTCTCATGTTAAAATGACTTTTTACAAAACAGCTTTTTAGCAGTTTTATGCAATAATAATAAAAATAATTATTCTACCAGTTGAATAGGTATAATAGATAAAAATACACATGAATGTGAAGAAGTGACTGTTATTTAGGGAGAGAGAAGGTGAGGGAGGGCTGGGGGGGAGAGTTGGGGGGTAGTAGGGATACGGCTCAACTTACCCCACTCCTATGGTCAACTTACCCCATACACAGGGTAAGTTGACCATAGGAGACCACTTTTTTTGGCATGCTATATTATCAAGACAGTTATGTTTACACTCATTCTGTTGGTTTGATGTAGTGATCTGAAATATCACTAATATGAAAAAAGAAATATGAAAAATTGGCTTATCTTACCCCACTCTCCCCTACTAGGTGTTTTTTTTTTCAGAGATTTCTGCCTAATGAATTCTAATATCACTCTGAAAGTCACTTGTCTATATTTTCCATTAATTAACTTAAGGTTTTTCTCTTTTTCTGTCACTTCTGTGCCACAATTTGGGACAAAAGTTGCACTTTAAGACAACTTTCTTACTGGGATGTATTTATACAAACTAAGTATTTCCATTTGTATAAACAAACAATGATAAAAACAATAAAAGGTAACTTTTCCTGAATAAGCTCTTTATCCAACCCACTCCGACCCTGCCTCTGTCCCCCACCTGGTCCCCTGCATTACATCTCTACAGGGTGTAAACTCTTACCATTAAGCTAATTGTTTGAGGTATTAATAAGGATCACAAACCGTTACCAATTTTTGTTTTAAATATAATTAACTTGTGCTCCAACAATGAATGCTCTACACTTCAGTTGCTACATCTCCAAACTGAGTGATCAAATAATGAACACATCTGTATGACACTTATTTCATTCTGTTGGCCTCCAATCATCAAACACACCTGATAAATAAAATAAAAAACAGACTCAGAGAAATATGCAAAGGGCAGCATATATTGTAAGATTATGTAGAAACATCGAGTGTCACAAAAAGTCATTAAAAGCATCACAACATGTACAATCAGGAAACTGTACCAGCATGAACTGCTGCTATGTGCTCCTACAAGCCAAGGCAAATCATGATGACATCAATAAAGCAAACAGGCATGTTTTTTTTTAAGCATAATCCCTTTTCATGACAGTGGATCTGAAGCAGACCTGATACAGTAACTCGTACGTTAAATAAAAAGACTGGAATGGGCAGGTTTGATAGGAAGGAAATACAGTTTGTTGCTCTTGATGTGCGACACATGCAGGAATGATATCAAAATGCAGCAGGCTCTAATGGTTTTTGTTTTGTTTTTGTTTTAACCCAGGTGCCTTCCTACTTTTAGGACATAAGATCATCACATTAACGAAAAAAGAACACATGTAATCAAAAGTCAAGTGAACCCATACATGCCCAAAAATCAAAAATACACTTAGACCTGTACAAAATCACAAAAATCCCTTCATGAATTACATTTATTTAAAATAAACTGCAAAAGAGATCTTTCTTTGACATGATTCCACTCTGAAAACTTCACATTTTAATCCACTGAGCCCCAAAATACCAAAATAAATTAAAGACTAATTTTCTGAGGTAAAGAAAGGCTGCATGCCAATTTTTTTAACATCATGTAGTACCACCCCAACTGAATCCTACAAACTGCAAAGCAAGAAAGCAAACTGAATAACTTATTTGTTTCCACAACATGTCAGTGAACATTCACTGTAACATGCAGTATATGCTTCATTCATTACTGAACAGCAAAAGTTATGTTGTAAACAAAGGCACAATTCATCATTTTTTCTGCCAAGTTTGGTCTAAAACCACTGAGATCCTGCTGATTGAAGCCTGAATCACAGCGATGAGCAAAAAGTGCTTTTTTCTGACCCTGCAAAACTTTGGCTGGTTCCAAAGGAAAACACAAACAGAAGAGGTTAGTCTGTTTTGTGTTTCGACCTGCAAAAACAGTCACATCAGAGTGAAATTTATCATATTTTTTCCCAATTAAAAAGTATTTACAAAAGACAGAAGACAACAGAAACAAACCAAAAGTCCACAAACATAAAACAACCACAGACTGCAGTGTTCTCCGTCTTTAATAAAACAAAAAAATCTAACCCACCAGACTTTACTCAGCAATAAAAGTATTAACAGGATAGAAAACCTGACCAGCAGGAGCACTGGGAGGCTAGCACCATCACCTGGAGAGGTTACATACAGTCTTATCTCTGAACAGTAATTAAAAGCAGACTTACAATAAGCCTGAGACCACTGAAACACTCAACCTTTAAGTCTGTACAGTTAGATTTGAAGTTGTGATTAGCAGGTGTGCTGCCTCGGATCATTTAAGAGAGGAGACATGGAAATGCTACATTACGCCGTTTACATTGAGGAGTGGATTTCCAAATCCATTCTGTGGATGGAAACTTTCAAAAGATAACAGAGGAAGACAGAAAGATTTGAAGAAACAAGTGGAACTGTGGAGATCAAAAACATGATGTGTCTTTAGTGGTTTTCATACCTGCTTTACACTCAAAGGCAACCAAGCTGGTGCTTTCAGACTTGTGTTGATGCACATTAAGAAATAAAACACACGTTTCCCTAAGTCAGAGGTAACAGTAAATACTGTGACAGTCATCTCCTTCAAGGATAAATCCAGTGCTTTTTCTCATTATTGTCATAAACTCATAAACACAATCAACAATAAACCCTTTCTACTGGATATTCACAGCATTGTACTTTGTATATTTTGCATTTCTTTTTCTTTTCAAAGCAACACCACTGTCTCCTGTGTCAAAGTGTAAGGTGAGTGGCATAAGAAAATGTGGTTGGTTGGTGTTTGAAGTCACATGATCACCACTGAGCAGGTACCTTGTTAGAGTACAACATAAATATGATATTAGTGGTTTAGAGAAGAGTCACAGACAGGGTAGGGAAGTGGAAGAAGCTAGCTGATAAAATACATGGTTGGTTCCGACCTTTGAATTGAATCTGTTTACAATAATTAAGATTTATAACATGCAAAAGCTAGCTGTAATCTTACTAAGACTAACACATCCCAGGATTTTCACCAAAACAATCTGAAAAGAGGAATCTGCTCTGCAGAACCAAACTATCTGTTCACACAATCTTGGTCCACTTTCCTATGATTTGAACATTATCTCAGTCTTTTTCAGTGAGTGGCATCATGCAACCATGAAAATACCGAAGTACACTGTGCACATGTACTGTACATATGTGAAATAAAGAAGAATTAAAAAGTGGACCTTCAAAAGCTTTGGCTGCAGCTAGTCATCTTTCTAACCATGATTATTTCATCTTCTGCCTTAATTTTCTATATTCATTGATTCATTAGTAACAGTCCCAAACTTGTTCATTCCCTTAACTAAACTTATTTCAGAAGCTGCAACCATTCAGTGTTCAGTGCCATTATTCATGATAACAGGCAATAATGACCACAAAATTGTGTAAAGTGTTACATGACCCTTTTTGAACTCCAAAAGTCATAAGCTAGCAAACTTCCACACCCAAATATCCAACAGTACACACATGTGAAATCTGTGTAAAAAAAAAAGATTGTGACGCTTACATGAGGAACTTTTTCAGCGGCAGAGCCAGAGAAATGGGCAGTGGATAATCGGTGCAGTGCTCTTGTAGTTCTTTTGTTCAGCTGTTGTGAGTATTTAGAGTATTCATAGGCACAATACAAAGGATGCGCAGGACTGGGCTGTATGCATACATTTTGTGTGCAATTGTATCTATTTGGGCTCAAAACAAAACTTCAGGTTGTTTATGTCTCACTGCTTTGGACTGTTGCACTGGAGTGGATATTCACAGCAATTCTCAAGTGTTTCAAAAACCATTTAGAGGAACAAAGTCTTGTTACGAAGTTATCCCAAGTGTCAGTTTCCTGCGGAAAAAAAAAGCCTATCCCACGATACATTTACAAAGATTGACAATAAAACAATAAATATCAAGGACTGCCCACCTCCAAGGGTAGGAAAACCAGGCCTAGAAGAATTAGCATGTAACCCAGTATAAATGACACCAGTATAATCCAGTTGGAGCTCTTCTACAGGGGCAGGATGTAGTTGGAGTTGGCCAGTTTGCGCTCCTGTGCAGCGGGAACAGTGTCTCTGTGACGCACGGGCCTGTGGCAGTCAGGGTCCTGAAGAGGAGGGTAGTGCTGTCTGTAACACAGCCAGGCGAAGCCCATGCCCAGAAGTGAACCCACCAGCACATCTACAAGAAGAAGGAAAGAGCACACATAAAATGGTCAGTATGAAAATATCATTAACCATAATTAAGTAATACTGCAACACTATGCTTTGTAATGCTACAATTTCCAAACACTATATGAACAAAAAGAAAATCACATTTCTTGCTAACACTGAAAAATGTTCAGCCCTCTGCTTTGTTCTTCTGCATGCACAAAAAAAGTTCACTATTTAAACTAGATATGTTTAGTGCCCCTACATTCTTTACAAAACCCATCCTAGGAGAACATCCTGTGGGGTATTTTTGTTCTTTTATTCCACTTAAAGACCAAGGGGAACAAACAAGGCTCTGCTATTGGGGCTGCCTGAGAAACTGACATATATCAGCATGAACAGACACTGAAATATTTAAACTCATGTAAAATTAAATACAGAAACACAGGGATGATGGGGAGGTAGAGGTAGTGAGCCTGAAAGCAGACAGCAGAGTGGTTCTGAAGGTGCAGGGCTCAGTGTTGTGTGAAATGTGACTACAAAATGACTTCCTCAGCTGCCTTAAGTACCGCGAGGCTCCATAAATCTGAGACCAATGTGGATACAAATACAAGGTTAAGGGAAACGAACCATCAAACACCCTACTTTGTTCTCATTCTTTGTTAATGTAAATCTAACGATCCCCGTATGAAGTACAGGCATATTCTTACAAAGAGAGGAAGTTACACGATGAATTACTCTTTGAATTTTATTCCTATGTTTCTCAGTCAGAGTGGCCTGAAACATGCAGGATATGGACCACAGGTTTTAATGTGTTCTTATCTGCTGCAATTCTACCCATTAAGAACCCTCGGGTAAGTAGTTTACTGGCTTTAGGCCTAAAGAGATGAAGCTGATGAAGCAGTCACCATCCTACACCGCTGATAACTCCGCTTTCTAAGTAAGGGTATAACTGGCAATAGAAACTCAAGCAAAAGCAGGGTTCATGGTACCAAACCGAGCTAAACCAAACTGGTGATACAGATGTAGGTTGCCCTTAACTACGAATGACCATGAGGAAAATAATCCACTCTTTCCAAAACAGAATGATGCCAGATTTTTTAAAACGCTGCTTAAACAGTAAAATTAAATAAAACAGTAATTCAGTCTCAATATCTGATTGTTATTTTCCTTCTGAATCCTCCCCTGCTTTGTGTCACAGATGTCATTTCTACTTATTTCATTGAAGCGTTTCAGACATTTCTGTGACTCTGACCTTGCCAATGGTGTTTGTAGTCACAGGTTCTGGAAAGGGCGATCACTGTTGCGATGAGTAAAGGGGTGAGGAAGGCACACAGCCGCCATGCTCTGCCTTGACCTGCTGCATTGAAGCAACGCAGTTTCCCTGCTATGTACAGGGCTGTGAAACCCAAACCGGCAAAGGCAACTGTAACCAGAGAGAAAGGAGAGACAGGGTGTTCAGAACCACAGATCATTTCATCCAGAAACAGAGAGACCTTGAAGAGAAAACAACAAAACATAATGGAGTAAAGAGGGGTGATCTCTTCTTTTACATCGAACATAAGAGCCTTCACGTAGAGTACACTTAAACAACTATTTCTAGTGACATTTTGTGCCCTCACTTTGTGCTTTTATTTCTCTTTCCTTGTTGCCAACTTGAGAAAATGCTGCAAAAACAAGCATAAAAAGCTCTTACAGGAAGAGTGTCCGCTTGGAAAGCTCTTCCGGCCCTCTATGACCACATCTGGGTCACCGCTGCAGCGCAACTCCAGGTTCATCTGACCATCTGGGAAACAGCGATAGAAGAAGTCTGGCCTCGGCCTGGGGGCAGAGACAAACACAATGTAGATGTAATTAACTGAAGCTTTTAGCTGCTGGAACACTGGCTTACATTGTCGCGGTATGTTGTGATTCATTTTTACCTGCCAACAACGAGTTTGATGACATTTGTGAAAACGCCGTTTAGCACCAGGGTCAGAGTCACAGCTGGAGAGAAAAAACAAATAAATAAACTATTTTAAGTAACTGACATAATTGAATCAAATTGAAGAACTGATCGTTTGCTTGAAGCTTCCTTACCAAGTGTGGCCTCCTTCAGATCTCCTCTCTCTGTCCTCTTCATGGAGGTGAAGACAAGGATTACTATCAGTGGGGTGAAAACCGCCACACTCTAAAATAAGCATACAAAAAGATAAGAATAGCAATTTTAATCCACGACAACCTTAGAAATAATTGTAAATCTAGAAAAGTGCACTCCCCTTGTTTCTTTGTGATCAGAAATGCAGAAATATTACTTACAAACATAAGAGAGGTTGGGACGTGGTCTCTCTCCACACGATGGAATTTATACAACCACATCTCTTCTGGTTGGATCTCACGGAAGAAAGGCGGAAGCTGCTCTGTTATGCTACATGAACAAAGAGCAGGTGCTGTTAGCCTTAGCTAGCCTTATCTGTTATGGATCCACAAAGCAATGATGGAAATGAGTCAAACTTACAGGAACACCACCAATAGCGCCATCCTGATGGAAACTTCCGACAGGAAGCCACGAAGCAGCCTTCTCTTCATTTTGATTTTCTCGGAGTGGAATTCAGTCAACAGCAAACATTGTCACTCCATCTTTACTGAACTCAACTGGGACTAGATAGAAAACACAGATGAGGAAGTTCATAAGTGACATTCCTTTGAGGGGTTAAAGTAAACACAACATACGACATAGTATGTGATGAATGGTGAACTCTCATTTTATACAGTACAGGCCAAAAGTTTGGACACACCTTCTTATTCAATGTCTTTTCTTTATTTTTTTATATGACTATTTACATTGTTGATTATCACTAAAGGCATCAAAACTATGAACACATGGAATTTTGTACTTATAAAAAAGGTGTGAAATAACTGAAGACATGTTTTATATTCTAATTTCTTTAAAATAGATGACAGATGACATGACAATTGATGACAGAAGTACTTAGTGTCATGAAGTAACCCTGATAAGGCACACCTGTGAAGTAAAAACCATTTCAGGTGACTACCTCATGAAGCTCATTGAGAGAACAGCAAAAGTTTGCAGCGCTTTCAAAAAAGCAAAGGGTGGCTACTTTGAGGAATCTAAAATATAAACCATGTTTTCAGTTATTTCACACTTTTTTCTTAAGCACATGATTCCACATGTGTTCATTCATAGTTCTGATGCCCTCAGTGAGTTAGAGAGGATCTTCAAGTGTTTATGTAAAAAAAGCCGGAAATACTCACATTCAATAAACATCACAAACATCTGTTTTCTGTAATCCTCCTGATGGATAATCTGACAAACATCATAATGCGTTTCTACTGGCTCTCAGCAGCTGAGTCACTTTAAATTCCCTCCACACCCAAAAAGTTGTAAACATTGATCTGACTTGTGGAACCTCTTTCAGGTCACACTCGACTGACAGCTTCCTGATCGTCAAGTTTCTGAGACAGGATTTAATATGTAGATCACAAACCTGCAGCGCAGGGCTCTCAGGATACTGGGCTTTGCAGAAAAAATCCTGATACTTGTGAGATTAAAGAAGTCAAATGAGGGCAGAAACAGGCTTTCTTTTCTATCAATCCCTTTGTGCATTTTCATTAAGAGTCTTAGAGATACTTAAGAGTTTCCTGAGCCTCCAGGGTAATATCCATTACAACAAAATGTTCAGCATTAAAGTTAATCTGATCTTATTTTACTTTTAATCTCGGTGTATTGTTGAGTTAAGTGTGTTAATGTTCCTTGCTGCTATTGAGCTTTGAGAACATTTATTGGACATTGTGTAAATGGCATGTTGACTTATCTTCTCTCTTACTCGAACACAATTAAGTAATTAAATTAAGGATAAATAATGAGCTTCAAAGGCACATTTATGTAGGTTTAAGAGAAGATGGAAAATGACACCCTTCGGTTTGAAATCATGGTTTAGTGTAAAACTCAGTGAGCTTTACATTCACACATCAGCAGTGGTTTCTGACCCTTGTCCTTATATTTCACCTGTCTTTGAATGAGAGGAAAATGTACCTGAGACAACAGCAACATGAAGAGAGTCGACTCAAGACCTACAGCGTATCCTCACTGCTTCAGACTGAGAGCATATCTTTGTGAATATAGTTAAAGGTTATATAAAATACTCCTCTGTCAACCTTGCAGCTCTGCCTGAAACCTGACACAGGCCAACGTGCCTCACCTGTGCCTCTCTCCTCTGTTTCATAACATTTCACTGGGTACAACATTATATGTGATTTTGTCGAAACAACAGTGAATGTACGTTATTAAACCTCTCTTAAAACACAAAACAAGACAAACAAGCTTAAACAAGTAAAGTACCTGAGTGCAAGAAAGAAGATGTTAGCATGCTGAGCTAAGCTAGCTAGCAACATCTGTCAAGACAGACATCTGGCTAATTTCCGCGTTGTACGAAAAACAGTCCCAGAAACCTCACCAACCTTTACCAGGTGTTTCTTTTTCTTTTTATCTGTTGATCCTCATATTTAGATGTTTCATTGATGGGAAACGGGCCTAGAAATCCTCAATCGGTGCCGCAGGTTTGAGTCGTACATTTAAGATCCTGTCAGAAGCAGGGATGCCACGGAGAGGATGAGCTGAGTCAAGCTGACGGCTGAACAATATATACATCCGGTAGTTCTTTCAAAATAAGATGACTTTTCCTCAAACGTAAAGTTATTTGAAAAGCATTCGTGTAACTGCTCTTTCTCATTTTCAGACCGTATTACACTTTTTTTGAATTTCAACTAATATGAGTTTTCTTTTGATCCTATTTTTCTGTAAAAACCATTAGCTTTATTAGAAATGATATTGTTAAATAAAATTTAACAAGAACCCGGAAACGGTAGTGTACATAATTTTACAATTGACACGTGGATGCAAGAAGCCACGTCAGTCTAAAGGTTGCCATCTAGGGGTCAAAACAATGATGTTGGCACGATTTTTTTAACTTTCTGCACCATGTGTGCTGCTTAAAAGGTACTAAAATTTTAGCTACTCTCTTGCAATTGTGCGAATGAACCAAAGCTGTCAGTAAATGCCCTTTTAACGCGAGGTTATACATCAGAGGTGAAAATGACTGATTACATGTACTAAAGTGACTGAATATCTTTGTGTGCAAGCAGACAGCTGATTAGATAATCTCTACACTGCAATGAAGGCAAATGTGAGAGGGTAAATTTCTCATTTTAAATCTGATATTTAATATTATCCTTGATTTAAGCAACACTGACTGAAAATGTCAAATAATAATCCTTGTTTTATGATAATTCAGTCCGATTTTTTAAAATAATTTCCTTGGAATCAATGTTCAACTTTGTTCTAAGATAATTTTGTTTGCTGCATTTTCAGCCTTCAGTTTTGGTTACTGTCTGTAAAGTCCCTATTTTTGGCTCCTCATAACAATCTTGTGCAACGCTGACAAAACACGCTGCAAAATTACCATAGCCTAAATAGGTCCAGCATCAAAATCACTTGACACAATAATCCTATTAGTAATATTACAAAACCCAATTCCATTGAAGTTGGGAAATTGTGATAAACGTAAATAAAAACAGAATACAATGATTTGCAAATCCTTTTCAACCTATATTTAATTAAATACACTACTACAAAGATGAGATATTTAATGTTCAAACTCATAAACTTCTTTTTTTTTTTTGGCAATAATAATTAACTCTGAATTTCATGGCTGCGACACGTGCCAAAGTAGTTGGGACAGGGGCATGTTTACCACTGTGTTACATCACCTTTCCTTTTAACAACACTCAATGAATGTTTGGGAACTGAGGAGACTAATTGTTGAAGATTTGAAGGTGGAATTCTTTCCCATTCTTGCTTGATGTACCGTTTCAGTTGTTCAACAGTCCGGGGTCTCCGTTGTCGTATTTTACGCTTCATAATGCGCCACACATTTTCAATGGGAGACAGGTCTGGACTGCAGGCAGGCCAGTCGAGTACCCACACTCTTTCACTACAAAGCGATGCTGTTGTAACACGTGCAGAATGTGGCTTGGCATTGTCTTGCTGAAATAAGCAGGGGCGTCCAACTTCTTTGGCACGCCTTGCAGCCATGAAATTCTGAGTTAATGATTATTTGCCAAAAAAAATAAAGTTTCCGAGTTTTATCTTGGTTTTGTAGTGTATTTAATTAAATATAGGTTGAAAAGGATTTGTAAATCATTCTATTCTGATATTATTTACATTTATCACAATTTTCCAACTTCAGTGGAATTGGGTTTTGTACAGTTAGTTAGGGAATACTGTATATGGTTGCACTTAACTGATATAAAATCTGTAAAATATGATTTAAAGCTTCTCTGCTCCAAGCTTAATATGTGTTGCTCACTTTATCCCCACAGTGCTCAAAAAAATCCAACAGAGGGCTTTTCACTGAGACAGAGTACAGCTTTATTAAAGTCAAACTTCAGGCATGTCTGAACTCTTCAAACTCAACTTTAGAATGAAAAAAGGACAGAATCAATATTCTCAAATAAAAAGACAGTCATGTACAAAAAGAGTGTCGTCTCAACAGTCACACACATTTAGAAGCAGAATTGTACAGGCAAAAAGAGCACGCCACAGTAACATGATCCTATGCAAGTTCAATGCAAACTATTTACAGGTTCTTCAACAATATGCAGTATGCAGTAACACAGGTTGAACAGTAATCAACATGGTATTTTGTGTTCATCCACTTTTTCATTGAAGCAACACCAAGAGAGATAGATATGACCCCAGTTAGAGTTACTGTAAGTTTACTACGAGTAAAAAAGAGATGATGAGTGCGCACGGAGGTGAAATTAACTCTTTATTTCAACACTATTTCTCCTTTGAGAAATGACAAGTCGGCAACAAAAAAACCAAAGACGTCACAGTGAAAATGAAACATACCCTTAAATGAACAAGGGGAGGTGGTGATCCATCCCAAATTTAAGTGTTTACAAAAAGTATTTAGAATAAGTAAATTCATGGACATTTAGAAAACCTCTTTAGGTGTCTCAATGGTCACTTAAATGAGAATAAACATGCTCTCATTCAAAGTAAACAAATGTGGGCACTAAAATGACAATAAATTAACAAGACTTACGCATCAGTTTTTTTTAGGTGAAGAAAATGATGCACTCAGGGACACTTAAAAGAAGTGTACGTAATACTGCTGCTGACACGGGCAGAAAAGGACAAAAACTGGCACAAAGTAATGCATGATCATGCGTTCTGATGGTGCAGAAAACAGAACATCAAGGCTGTTTCGCACAATCTCTGTGCAAAACGGTCAAAGAAACACAGCAAAAACAAGACATTGGCTTTAAATCAGGCAGTTTAAGACTCTCCAACAGAGCACAGAAATGGCAATAACCAGTGTCTGATGTTGGAAGCATGCGTTTCAGTCACCTCAAAGCAAAAAAAAAATAAAATAAAGACAAATTTCATGAGAAAAATTATCAATCTAAAATTTTTCTGTGAAGCCACAAACACGAGTCAAAGACGCCTGCAGTCTGATAATAAGTCATGTATGTAACATTTTTTTTAAAAACAAACTAAATGAATAAATAAAAGGAAAATTCAAGTTTGGACACGCAGACCTTTTGAGTGTGTAAGTGACATTTAAGTAGGTCAGAGTGCCTTTAAGATGCACCTACCCTGATACTAAACAAGTGTTAAAGTGGCTCAAGTCCTTTGATTGGATGAGCAAAAATATGCATCTCAGAATATGAAAAGTTTGGCAAATGTGGCAGATTCAGTCTTTGTCGAAGAGAATCAGCGGATTAATGGGGAGAAAAAGCTTCCTGTCAGAGTTGGTAACCGCAGAAAGGAAAGACAAAAGGAGCTGGTAACTGCAGAAAAGAGGGCAAACATGCATTTTGCATACAAAAACACCTGATGCTGTAGGGTCTTGTCTGATTAAGTGCATATTATAATGTAACCTTTTTTATTATCATTATTTGGGTGTGATGTGGACAGTCTGAACCTTCAGTGTAGAAACAGAGGAGGGGGAATTGTGCACATAAACTGGAAAATGAACCAGATTTGCACTCTTATTGATTTGTCCAGAACATTTTTAGACACACACAAAAATCCAGCTGATTTTTAATCTGAAATTATGTCTGTTGGTTGTCGCTTTTCTGCTTTCAATGACTCCACCTCTTCTCTGCCTTTATTTTCTCTCTTAAAAAAAAATAATTATATATATAAACAGCTGCCTGTTTACATACACCTGAAAATAGAAAGTATGCAGCCCCTCACAACAGTCCTGACTGTAAATTCACCATTCATGAAGGTTATAAGGTTCAGTTTTCATTGAAATTGTAAGAAAGGGGGATTTAATGGATGCAGATTGATGGGCTCTTATGCATGAAACAGAGGGATTTGTTGATTAGCTTGCCCTATTAATACAAAGGAGCTGAATAAATCAATAGTTTGTCAAAATAATACAGTACAAATCATCAGCACCAAAACAAACATCCACAGAAATAGTTTCACAGTTAAATTATCACAATCTGAACATTGTAACCCTCTGGAAGATGGATTTAAACAGAATTATTTTATCACACTTGAATCCTTGTGTGAAATAAACTGGCAGCTTTAGTCTTTGTGTTTAAAAAGACCGTATATGAAGTGAAATCATGAGGAAGTATTGGCACTGTTTCAGTCTGTGGCTTGACTTATAACACACTCCACCATGGTGGGCTTAATCAGGGCAGAAAACACAAACAAACAAACGGACAGACAGTAATTTGACTGGGGTAGATTTACAAGCAAAAGATTGCGGCATGATGAATAGAAACCCGTCCCCCTGTGATGATTACTCGAGTCCAGAGTTTAAAAAAAGCACTAAAACGGCTCTGAAACTGAAACTTTACATTCCTATAATTAACTGCTTCACACTGCTTTTAACACCAATTACAGTGAGTCACAATACAGGGCGATGAGCAGCAGCTGTCACCAAATGTGGAATCATCACACCAAATGTACAAAAACGAAAACTTATGCAATGACTAGATACAGATATATATCACGTAAAACTCCCTGTGTTTGTTTTTTTTTTATAGTCTATTTCACTTACACCGTGGTGGACAGGGAGACAATTTACTGCACTGGTGTTTGAGAAAGAAATTGGTATAAAATGTGGTGCAATAAATAGAAAAAATTTGGATTTGACAGATGAGAGATTTAAAAACACTGTACAGAAGTTTGTATTTATACATTATACTGAACTGGACTGTTGTTAAACCATTACGTCTTTATATAAAAGCCCAGCCTTTAGCATGTTCTTCAGGTGGAAAACGAAGAAGCCCCTTTTCCAGGACTTGTTTGTATCAAGCTGGGCTGGCAGTCTATCCTACTTGTGCCCAAAAATTAAAAAAAGAAAATAAAAACACCCCAGCATTTAGGCCACTTTCCTCAAAAAAACCATCAACCACGCCCAGCAAAGTTTCTGAACTTGAGGAAAAAAGTTACGACACAGTTTAAATTCCGACGTTACTACAAGAAGAAGAGGTATCCATTTTGAAACACTTGTCCTATGTTCTTTTACTATACATTTGTGTAAATGTATGACCAAGCTAAGATGTGGAGCGACAAGCTGTGTAAAAGTGCTTTTCAGAAAAAGTTTGGCAAAAGAAAACAAAGAAAAGGAAAACAAACAAAAAAAATCAAGCATCGAAGCGGTCACAGTACACGACGTTACTGAAAATGGACTGAATGTGGGCAGAAGTCCCTCCAGACAGAACTCAACTTAAGGCTGATAAACAATACTCAAAGACAGCACCAGTGATCACTAGCTGAGCATCTCGTCTACGATACAAACAACAAAAAAACTGCTCAGAGGAAACATGAGAAAAAGAACTGAACAGAGAGATGAAAATTAAAAAAGGATCTGTTTCTTGATTAAAAAAGCGTTTTCCTTCTTCAGGAACAACCAGAGGCGACGAGGCCACGCCCCTCCTGATCTTTAAGTACTTTACAATATTATGAGCCAATTATGTACACAATGGCGAGTGAGACTGGCAATATGAAAATCACAAGTACTTCTGTAATGTCATACCATTACACTATATACCATTATATTTCACCTTAATAGGACTATTTTCACAAGGAGGTCTGCGTAATGCTTAAACACCTAAACAAACAAACATAATACACCACTCACTGAGATGAAGTGAGAGAATCGGTCTGTAAACATTAACAAACATAGATACTGTATATAATTATATTCGTCTATACCCATAAGAATATTAAAACCATGTCTAGGGAAGATTGGAATGTAGTGTGGTCCTGAAAAACAATTGCACTAAAACGGTCATTTCCTCTCAAAGAGATAAATACGATGACAGACCACGTCAGGAGTGATGATCTGCTGTGGAGGAGGAGGAGGAGGAGAAAACGGTCGGCTCATCGTCGTACAGCCTTTCTGTGAGAGTGTGTGTGTGTGTGTGTGTGTGTGTGTGTGTGTGTGTGTGTGTGTGTGTGTGTGTGTGTGTGTGTGTGTGTGATGCTGACCACAGCAAACAGCAGGTAAACACCAAGAGGAGCAGCATGATGATGATGATGATGATGATGGTGGTGACAGAGAGGTTCAGCTTCCCCGCCTCCTTCCCTTCCTCTTCTCTCCACTTATCTCGTTGAGTTCTTCAAAGTGCCGGTTACTGACAATGTGACAACACTTAAAATTTCCACAGCTGTAAAAAATACAAAAAGGAACAAACTGACGTGGGCGTCCGGGCCTTCAGCAGAGCTGTAGAGTGTTAGTGGTGTTTTATGGCAAGAGGAGGAGGGAGAATGGCGCACGAAGCCTGGACACTTCACTCCATCGCTCTGCTCTCACTACAAACAGCACCAAGGTGTTCATCGTTCCGTCTCTGAACAGGGGCCAACACGTTGGTAAAAAGCACTGTATTCCCTTTTTTAGCGCACTGCTTCAGATCAGAGGTGGATTTGGGCTGAGGAGACCAATAGGAGTACACTTTACAGGGAATGAGGTATTGAGGGAGCTGCAGCATCACTCTGTGTCCGGCTGGTCTTGCTCAGGCTCCTCTTTCCCCCTGACAGGGCTCAGAGAGGAGCGGCGCCGCTGGGTGGAGCCAGAGTCGGAGCCCAGGGGATCGGCAGGATTGTGACTGGAGCAGCAGGGACGGCCTTCGAGGGAGGAGGAGGTGAGCGCCCCTGCCTCATGATCCCGACAGAAAGAGCGAGGACAGAAGTCACAAAGGGACGAGGCTGGGGAGCTGCAAACACTGCAGTCGTGCCACGGACACTCCCACCGCCCTGCACACAGAGACAGAGAGGACGTCTTATTCTCAAGTGCCCCCATGATTACACAAAGACAATTCATTCTTGTCAGTAACAAGGGTCAGAAGTAGACATTTTGTTTGTGTCATAAAAAACAATAAATAAACTGAAAACACATGCAAGTCTGAACACATTTCTGTTATTACCATATGGCGGCTTGGTGAGGTTGAGACACAGCAGGTGGTACGCTTTAGGACAGTCTTTTCTATCACACATCACCAGCTCCCCTCCCTTTCCGCACCAAAAACAGAAGTATTCATGCGTGTGTTTCCCCTCCGGCCGCAGCTTCCTCTTCTTCTGCTTCAGCTTTGCATTCCTGGCCTTCTCCTCTTTCTCCATCACCACAGCGCTCTGAGGGAAAAATCAGACACCGGTTCCAAAGTTAAACTTTGTCTAGAACTGGATTTATGTGTATTAGAAGTAGAATAAAAGTCCTCACCGTTGGCTGCACCCCCAGGAACCCCGAGCAGTTGTCTGACCCACAGTGACAGGACGTTCTCCTGTTGCCCACACAGTGGAGGTTGTAGTTGAACGTCAGCTCTGTGTCTAAAAGAACATCAGGAACAAGGATGCAATCAAGCGGGCTATCAAACTTCACTGAGGACAGGGATATGCAGAAAAGGTTGTGTAAGCAGATGTTGTTGTTTCGATGTAAACTCACCGGCCTCAATATCTGTAAGGGCAAAAAGTCCAATGCGAACGTCTCCGTTAACAGTCCACTTTTGTGTTTCACAGTTGGGGCTGCAGCTGTGGTTCATGAAACGAGCCGAGTTTCCTTTCGGGCCGGCATCGATCACTCGATCCTGTGGAGAAAAGAAAGACAACAGGATAAAGGGTTTAGAGGAAACACTTGTGATATAAATCCCCTCTGAACTCCTGTTCATCTCTTTCACTTCTGGAGGCTACCTTTGTGAGTGTGAGCATGTAGAAGTTGGTCACATGATTTTCTTGGGCACGTTTGATTCGCTGCTGGCACTCCTCTGAGTCGATCACTTCTCCCACATACTCCATCACAAGGTCACCCTGGAGGCAGCAACAAACATCACATAGATTTAGAAACCATGTTGTTCTTAGAGCTCTGAAGCTAAGTCGAAACAATCTAGAGCGGCTGATTTTTCAAAGTCATGACTACAAAAATCTTGACATACTAGCTGTGTTTCCATTACCCATAGATTTGCGCAAAACCTAAATATCGCAATAGAAAACTGGTAATGGAAACACCTACATTTCAAAAAACCTCTCAAATATCGCAAAAAAGTTTTTACGCTCTCATGAGGTGGTTTTTCAGACGTGTCGATATAGAAGTATATCGCAAAAGTGTAATGGCAACACTTTTCTCGCAATTCTCTGTCACCGGACGTGACGTAGCGGGTCATGTGACCAGTTCATTTCAAGTGAAGATGGTGCGGTATGTGTGGACGGGGGAGGAGATGGAGTTATTTCTGAGGTTTTGAATTGTATTCGTATTTTTCTTTAGTTTTGAATCCACAATTCGTCTGTGAATTCCTCATTAACGATCCTCTCCCAGAAATCCCTCATCCGTGTCCACTCCCATACATACGGGCTTTGCCTTTGAATTATCACCCGCTGCCTTCGTCTTCTGGTGACAGCAGCGGTAACAGCAGTAATGGTCACAGAAATAGCTGCTCCAAAACGCAAAATGTTTTGTGTCTCGTCCATGTTGGTGTGCAAAAAGGCTTAAGAAATACGAGGTCGCACGGGCAGAAAGTTTACCTCGTTGCTAGGCAACGGCCATTCAAACACGGCTCGCGAGAGGCAGACGGCTTGCTTATGCACTGAGCACCATTCAATGGAAACACCCGCAAATCGCAATTGAACTTTGTCGAAATTTGATAAACATCGCTTTTATTTTGTGAAAAAATGTAATGGAAATGCAGCTTCTGATGTTGTTATGGATGACATTGAAACCCACCTTCCTCAGAGCCTGGTTAGCCCTGAGGCCCCAGCCACGGCCGTCTGTCTTGATCACCTCTGTCTCTGCATACAGCCGCTTGGAGAAACACTGATTCTCACAGCTGTCTCCTGCAGGACAAACCTGAAAAAAAAAAAAAAAAAAACACAAATAAGGTTAAAAGTTAGAGTTGTTTCACCCGTTTTGTTACAAACACTAAGAAATAGCTGGAAAAAGCACACAGACCTGTGGATGACACTCGTACTGCAGCATACGGTTCAAACACTGGGAATGGAGACCGCAGGGGTGCTCATCTGAGGGTCTGCAGTTGCATCGTGGGATTTCTGACAGGTCAGCCACATGCATCTGGACTTTCCCTACTGGTTTGTTGGACTGATAGAGAAAAGGCAATGCGTCAAAACTCTGAGACTAGTCAGACTCTACTTAACTATCAAGAGTTATATTTAAGGTGAGATATCAAAAGTTTAAATTACCTTGATGAATTTATATGGTGGAGGTTTGCGTGAGTTGCGTTCTTGCTCTAAAGCTTCCCTGCTCTCCCTCTGTGCCTTGAGCTCCTGAAACCGCCGAGCTGCTTCTTCCAGAGCTGAAAACACCCCCAAAAAATGTCACAAGTTCATCCTTCTATCTACAACTGATTTGCTCTTTAATATGGAGGAGATTTCGCACAGAAAATTACCTTTCTTGAAGGTTTTGTTGATGTTGATTTGACCCGTAACAAAGTTCTTATCGTTCTCTACGTATGGAAAGACACGGCCCTGGTTGATCCAGTAGTAGTCGTGGGAGCCGAAGAAGAAGACGGGGAAGTCGCCGATGTCGTGGCGAAGGCTCTGAATGTTTGACGGCACCAAGCGAGGGTTGCAGATCTCGGCTGGCCACCACCTGCAAAGGAACATGAAAAAAGGAGAGGAATGAGGAGGGAGAAAGACAGAAACAAAATCAAAACACATTTTGTCCAAGCATGTGGAGTAGAGTGGATAATAGTAATGTCACACCTGAATCAGCTTTACTCATATTTACTGTCTTGAATTCACGTCTGTGATAAAGGATCTGATAAAGCTCTCTGCTGATATTAAAGCCTGAAGAGTTTGTGATTATTGAACTCATGTTTGACATATGTTACTGTAGCATAAATAATGTCAAGAATAACAGACTATAATCTAGCTACATTCCAGCAGATGGTTAGGGGGTAAAATAAAAAAATAATCAGATTTAATTTTATGTAACCACACCATAAACTAACAGTTGCACATTCAAACTAGCATTCACTGCGTACCTGTAGTTTCCCAGTTTGACCCAGACAATTTGTTTGTAGTGAGGCTTCTTCCCTGCCCTGCAGTCGCTGCAGGACCACGCCCCCTCCGGCATCTCCATCTCCAGACACTCCGGGTGGAAGGACGCCGGGCAGGAGTCGCAGCACAGCAACTTGCCTCCTACATTTGTATGGATGTGCGTATGTGTGTGTGTGTATGTGTGTGTTTGTGTGTGTGTGTGTGTGTGTGTGTGTTTGTTTGTGAATAGGTGTGTGTGCATGCGTTGAGAAATTGGTATGCAAAGAGAGGAGGAGTGTATAATTAGGTGATGCACCTTAAAACCTGGACAAACTCTGAATCTCATTTGCAGACAAGCCAAACACAAGTAAGAAGAACTTAAAGAACCTACAATTAGAGCATCAAGACGTGTTTTTTTTTTTTTTTCAGCACTTCGTGTAATGTATAAACAGTGCCCTTGAAAACAACTTTGATAATTATATCTGGGTATTAACTTTAAAGTTAGGCCAGGAGCTTTTATACTTGAGTGAAAGCTGCTGCAATGCTCCATTACCAGGACCTGAAAAGGTTTGGAAACCCCAGCTTAGATGTCCCAGGTCAGTTTTTTGTTTTCATTTTTTTATTGCAGCAACAGCATGTCTGGCAATCAGATTCAGAGCCCTGCACCCAGACCAGTCTAGGGGAAATACATGCAGCAGCACGGGATTAAAATCAGCCAGCAGGTTAACAAGGAATCAGGATTATATTCAGATAACAAATTATTGGCAAAAAGCAGGCATGCAGTCCTGCCGGGTAGGGCAAACTTTTCTCATGACACATACTGCATCCTGCACAGACCAGCTTGGATGGAATCATTATTTTGGATGATTGATTTTTTCTTCTTCCTTTAATAAAATGTCACGACTTTAAAAGTTGTTTCCCATTTTTTTGGGCTTCAAAACTCAAATTTGCCCGAATCTGGTCTTAATTAAGATTGTATTCCATTCAAGGCAGGTCAAAGCAAAAAATAAATGAATAAAGCGAGGCAAAAATTAATTTCATCTGAAAATTTTCAGTCAAAAAAAAAAAAGAAGTTGCGGTCAGCATTTAAAAAAGTGAGGCTGGACAAAGCCTTTCAAATAAAACAAAAACAAGCCCGGAGTGCTGAAGCAGAGAAGCAGTGCGCCTCCAACAGCGAAAAGATCCACAAACCACCGACAGAACCTGATCTAATCCAGAGCATCCTGCATCAGGGCATCGCACTGACGTTTAGGTGCTGGAGGGATGACTGACTACCAATCATATTTCCCACAGATTCATCTTTACAAGTTTAAATTCAAAAGAACATTTTTGTCTTGTTTACTACGGCGATAAATACCCAGACTGCATCTTTAAGACATCCTGAATCCAGACTGACAATGGGCCTCAGGCAAAAAACACAGGCACAAACTGATTTCTTCATAAGTGGTTCAGAGAGTCGTTTTAGAGGCTCACTGTCAATTTATTGTGGTGAATTTAAGAGGTGAAGGAGAGTTGAGATTCGCTTTTTTTTGACATAAGATCAACAGCAGCAACAGCTGGAGATACAAACAGAAAATCTTTTGTAACCTTTAAAGAATGGGTTACCCACATCGTGACACAAGCTGGTATCAAAATACTACAACTGATGGAGACAGACTGAATTTACTCTGCTGATCATACCTGTTGCTTTGCTGCTGTAACATGTCAAAAATCTCTGCAAAACAGCAGGTTCAGTTTGGCAAATCTGACTACTCCAACGCCCGTCACTTCGAGACACTGTGGGATACTTCAGAGCTGTTTTTGCATGAGGCCCAATGTTTTCTGTTAATGAGTTAGGGAACTTTGCTGGTGTTACTTTGCGCCACTCTGCATTAGAATTAACTGCAGGTTGAACCAGTTAATTAACATTGCACCTCAAGGCTTTGAAATGATAGATGCGTCAACAAAAAAAAAGGGGAAAATAATACAAAAAAGGGAGCAGGCACAACACAAACACAGACCAGTGGGACAAAGGAGAAAGAGAAAAACTGTTCAGTTACCTTTCCCAACATTCTTTTTGGTAGCTGACGAAGGAGAGGGAATCATAGGTAATTTCAACTCAGCACGATTTGACTCAGTCAGAAGGTAGTGGGACTTATAGGCATATGAACTTAATATGGTGTCAGTAAGGTCTTGCACTAACAGCCCTACACAAGACACACAGGAAGAGACGGGGGTGAGCCGCAGTCAAACTCGAAAAATTACCCAAAAATGCACAAAAAGAGAAAAAACAAACACATGCACCCTGTCTCTCTCTCTCACACATATCCACACACACAGAAGAAACAAGTAAAACAAAGTCTGTCCCAACACAAGGAGGCCGAAATGGGCACTTTTTCTAAAACAGGCAAAACATTTGATCTAAACTTGTCAACAAAATAAAATATAAGTGACACCCATCCAGGATTCTCTTCAGTGGAGTGCAGAGTAACACTCAATCATTTCTAGGATATGTATTCTGATGGATAAAACATTTGATTTAATAGCACCAGTGTCCATGAACAAATACACTTAATATGAAACATGTTAAATTAAAAATGATATACAAATGTGATCTTTGCAGAAAAAGAGCATGAGATTTCAGTTTCTGCTGAGGAAATGATTCCACTTCAAAAGGGGGAAAAAAGTATGAAGTATGAAGTGTACGTGTGTGTGTGTGGGTGAAAACAAGACCTGGTGGTTTGAAATCAGCCAGTAGAGGCCGAAGTGTGGTGTGGTCCAAAAAACTTCCTCACTGCAGGAAGAGAATGAGTGTTATCACAGTGAGAACTCACCTCGAGCACACAGGAAGCACCAGCCCACGTTGACAGGGGAGCTGAGGAGGCCGTTCTTCTTAGTGCTGCCATGACTGCTGCAGATCATGATGTGGTGGGTGAGGACGACGCTGCCTGCGGCCACACAGCTGTCTCCTGTGTGATAGGCCACCGGACAGCGGATACAACGCATCAGACGACCTGAAGAGAGAAAAAAAAGAGAGATTCGGAAAAAGAAAAACCCTCTGACCTTTTACACCCAGTGGTAACTTAACAAGTTTTGAGGAGCTGCTCACTCCATCACATGAGTCATGTAACTGTGATAGAGAACAGCACACACACAGAGCTCCCTGTCATTGCAGAGTTTTATAATGAATTAGGTCAGATTCCTTTATGGTTTCCAGCTGTAATTAAAGGAAATCAGGAGGGAAAAATAAGACAACTTTGTTCTCTGGGCTGCTGAGAGAATCAAGATTTCTTTTATCTTCGTCCTAAATACTGTTTGACATTGAACGCTCACTCTTGATGTTTGGGCCACTGCTGGGCCAAGGACACAAAAGATAAATGTGGAAGGCTGGGGAATATGATTCATGATGACACCCTGTGGAGATCTGAGAGAAAGTAAAAGAAACCTACAAGTTCACTGAAAACTCTGGAACTTCTCCCTCCTTTTCGTGCTCCAGCAGGGTGATGCACCAACTTCTCAATAAAGTCAGAGAGATATGACAATATTTTCAAACAAGTCTAACGCCAGGATTCCACCGCATGCAGATCCGATACGCTCCGATCCGGAAAGGCAGGTGGATCAAAAACGCAAGCATACAGCACCTACCGGATCTGATCTGCTGCCGCAAGTGAAGGAGAAGCGCTTGCAATATTACCGATATTTCTCGCGATACTTAACGAGATCTCACAAGATCTTGCATGTTTCACCGTGAGACATTAAACGAGAACAGTTCAATGTAATGACTTTATTTTATTTTGAAAATTAACCAGATATTTTACTCTGTAGCCGCATACAACTTCCGCTGCCGCTTGTGCTGCACTGCACTGAATTAATGCGTTGTGCTGCGGTGTCTGGAAAAAAAAAAAAGCCTTGCGTATCTAATCTGACCGCCGGAGCGGATCCGCAGCAGAGCCGGATGGTGGATGGTGGATGGATTGTGTGGAATCACGCACAATAATAATAATGCTTGGGTATTTGATCAGGCTGCCGTTCTGAAGCGGAGTGCAGCCGTTCCTTATTCTGTGGAATTTAGCCGTAAGGTGGGACTGACTGCTCTGGGCGTGACTGTGCCATCCAATGTCCTGCAGAAAATGCTGCACAGTCACACTTTTGTTGATGCCTTCGTTCTCATTTTCTGTTGTCTGTATAAAAGTTAAATACTTGTCTTCATGTAATCTTCAGAGACGTTCAGCCTTCCCCTTTTAATTTTTAGACCTTTTTTCTTTGGCTTCTGATCATGACTATCAGCTCTAGAGGAAGTTCCACTTTCATACTTTTACTCATAACTTGCTGACGCTGCACCGCCTTCCTGCCACTAAACTTCCTCTGCCGGCTCACACAGAGGATCAGAAAAACAGACAGAACTTTTGGTTTACCTTTACTGGTTCGTTGCAGGTCTCTCTCCAGGCAGCAGGTAGAGCAGCTGTGCTGAGGGCAGCAGAAGCCTCCGCCCGCACTGCTGGTGGTCCCTGGAAGTTTCCGAACACAGTCTTCGTGGTAGTAGCAACCACATCCAGACGCAGAGCAACGTGTCACCTCCCCGCCCGCTGTTTTGCAGCTAAAACAAGGATGATCGCCTGTGAAAAAAGAGAGACAGAGTCCGTGTTAGAAGAGAAGGAATCATACTGAATCTGAATGTAAACCCGTCTTGTGTATCACTCACCATTTCTACATTCAGAGCAGATGTATCTGCCTTCAGGTAGAGACGAGAGACCGAGACAGTCCAAGTGAAACTGTCTGCTGCAGTCACCTTCACACACCACTAAACCCTCTCCATATGCTTCACAGATCTAAACACAAAAACACACAGAGAAAGCTGGTTAGAGCATCATATCAGCTTATACCAGAGACAGAGAGTAAAACTTCTGTCATGAGACGCCGGGCTGACCTGGCAGACAGTGTCTCTCTTGCCGGTACTGCCGTCTTGACGGGACAGACCAGAGTCCACAGACTGAGTGTCTGAGGCGTCCGCGTCTGCTGCTGCTGGACTATCGAGACTTTTCCCGAACAACCCCTGAGAGACAGAAGGAGAAGATTTTGTGTGAGGATTTGTTCCCAACTTGCAGTCCTCTAAAGTATTACATTACATTGAAACTATATTTTACTTTTTGATTCTGCTTTTATCTTGTCGGTTGTTTTTTTACGTCTGCGTTGTTTTGTCTATTTATGTACAGCACTTTGTTCAGCTGTGGTTGTTTTAAAGTGCTTTACAAATAAAGTTGAGTTGAGTTGAGAATTACTCGATTCAGCAAAAAAAAAAAAAAAAAAAGTTATTTTTATGATCAAATAGTGCGTCAAGATTCCAGCAAAGTTCCAAGAACTTTCTGCGATGTTTTTACTTTTCTTCTTTGGCAAAAATTCAGTTCAGCTCAGAGGACACTCAAAAAGGCAAAATATGATGAAGACAAATATTGCATCAAAGCTTGTCTTAAAAATTTTGCACAATATGATGTAAACAAAATAAGCGTGCTGGGTGTATATTCTGGCTTTTGCAGGATGGATCTGTTTTGTTGCAAGAGAACCATATGTGCATTAGCTTCTATGTGTTTAAAATCCCACCTGTGGGTCATTGAGACCTCTCGAGTCTGAATCAGAAGTGTCTCTGTACTGAGAAGAGGCCATCTCTACATCTGTTGACGCTCTGCTTCGCTTCTTTAAAGGTTTGCAGGCATCTGAGATCTCGCTCGCTCCTGTAAGACCAGTTGGGAGATCAAGAAATTGGGAAAAGTTCACCTTTTTTGAAGCACAAAGTATGAAGGTATAGATGTGACGCTGAAAGAAGGATCTCCTACCTTTCTGTGAGCCGGTCCTCATTGTGGTCTCAGGGGCCATCTCAGCCTGTGAGCAGATTACACATGACAGTTCAGGTTACTACAGCGATGGTTTTGATTAAAGTTGATGTTTTAAGTGAGTTAAAGTATGTAAGAACTAGGTCACGTATTTAAATTACTGTAACTCCTCCATGACGCAGTGATGATTTTCGCAGTGATATGTATCTGTGGTATTTTGCCAGGACAGGGGGTCTACTTAGTGAGAATGAATACCTGTTCTTTTTTGGTTTTCTTCTTGGGAATGGGATCGCTGCCTCTCTCTGACTCAGACCTGCTCCTGACTGACCGCCGCTGCAGCTTCCTCTCCTGAGAACCTGAAAGCACATAAAAAAGTATTGAGCTGCATCTCTCAGACTTTACACCTCAAACATTCATTAAAGAGAGAAACAAAGCCCACATGTCTGGGTTTCACTCACTGTGTGGACTACTGTGGTGTGATCCAGGAGAGGACGTCTGCTGCATGCCTCCTTCCTCACTCCTCCGACTGGCAGGAGAGCCTCTCCTCTCTTCTCCCTCTTCCTCCCCTTCATCCCCGTCGTCTTCTTCCTCAGGACTTGGCTCGGGTTTGGCCCTGTCCTGTTTAAAGCATGAACTTTTAAGGCATGTGTACAGGATAACTCTGTGAGTGAACGATCATGTTTAAGTCACACAAACCTCAGGTGAGCAGTATCCCAGGTCGGGCTGCCTGGCCTCTCGCTCCACTCTCTCCTCCTTCTCCTCCTCTTTGTCTTTTTTGGGGGACGAGGCAGCTTTTTTCTGCAGAAGTGGCCAGTCGCACTTGGTGATCTCCACGTTCAGCCTCTTCATGGTGATGGAGAGAGGCAGCAGCTTTCTGGCAGCCGCTGTTTTCCAGGCCCTGACCGGAGGCGGTGAGTCCTGCTGTGTTCGAGCCTCACAACCAGAGTTCTGCTTTGGGGAGCAGGTCTTACGCTGGTCTCCCCTCTGGTTTTTCTCTTCATTAAAAGCCTGAGAGTGTGTGTTGTCGTCTGTGTTTGAAACACTACACTGTCTGCGTGGCAGCTGCCTACGTGGCGGCTGCTCTCTGTCCGGTGACTTCACTCCTCTGTCTTCTCTCTTAGAGACTGAGCCGCTGGAACGCCGGCTTCGTTTCTCAGCTCTGATGTTGGGTTTCTTGCTGGGCGGGGCTTCAGCCGGCTCAGGGTCAACGTAGATGAAGGTGTAGTTGTCGATTCGCTCCTGCCGCGTCATTACGAAGGCATCCTCTGCGTGGCCCACACCCACCTCCCACTGTGAACGCTCCCGTTGAGGGATAGGCTTCAGGAGCTGGAAAGGAAAATATTTCAAAACACAAGCAAAAAGGTGAAACTTCTTATCTATAAGCAGAACCCATGATACTAGAGAGCCCTGATGATGACATTTACCTTTCACTATGTATTCAAAACAGCTCTTATAATGCTTTTTAAAAAATGAGAAAGACTTAATACTGCAAAAAGCATCATATCACATATCAACCTTTTATCTCCATTCATTCAAAATCCTTTTCTGTGGATTATCATTCAGATTATATTCCCCACATAGCCAAAAAAATAATGTTCTTGTCATCAGAGGACACTGCCTGTTAGCTTGCCATTGTGTTTCCCATTGTGCTATCAAAATTAACACCAGCTGATGTGAGAGTAGTTGAGTGTGGGTGGTGTTTCGTCTGTGTAGGTGGTGTTTTGTCCAAGTGGCCAACTGATATAATTGTATGGTCCATGTAAATAAAATTAAAGTTTCAAGTAACCTTCCGTCATTTGTTGATAATTGTACATACGGTGCACAGAATCTTAAATTAGATCGGAATCTGTGAGAACATCTGTGCATACTTTGCTTTTCTCGACAGGATTTGTGGTCTTGCGTAGCGTCTCAGCCTGAAGTTCGTCAAACTGCTTCTTGCCCTGGTACATGACGATCCTCTTCTCATGGATCCACGCCCGTTCAGCCACACTGCCAAAGAACTGGACATGATACTCCCTGTGACCTGTAAACCCATACCAAAAGGAAAATTAGCGGCGGTGTTTGTACCATGACAAGTTTCTAGTCTTATTTTTGTCCCATGCTATCAGAGAGGCGCAAAAGAGAGTGAGATCCAGGGTAGGCCTGAGGACTTCTTAAATGTAGGGCGATAAATGAGATGAGATGCAAAACTGTTGTTCACCACACTATACATCATACATTGAAAAAAAAGTGAAACAGTTACTGTGTGAGAGACAAAATAGGGATTAAAGGTTCCTGGTTTGATTGGTTTTCTGTATATCTTTGTACCTCTTGTGTTGATGCGAGTGTGGACCTTCATCTGTGGGTCAGAGGACACCATGCAGGGCCACCAGGGGTACGTGCCCACCTTGGACCACACCAGATCTCCTATCACAAACTCCTTGCAGAAGCCCGTCTCCTGAATCACTGATGGATGATGGACCTTGGGAGCCTGGACATGAATGAGTCAGTGTTTACTACAATCTGAAGTTATTCGTGTGCAGAGAATTCAAACTGTGGTTGAAATAAAGGAACAGTCGTGCTCTTGCCTTGGGCGTCTTTGGTTCAGTTTTGATGACGGTCTTCTGAGGCTTCTCTGTCTGGACTGTTGGTGTTTCTGTGGGCTGGGGCTGGATGAGGATGTCCTCCGTCTGCCCTGTGGTACCTGTCTGCGTTTGGCTCTGGTCCAGCTTCTGTTCTTGGACCTGCAGCTGCAGCCGTGCACTCTTTTTCCTCTTCTCCTTCTTCCTCTCGTGTCTGCGCTGCATCTGAGCGGCCTCATTCTTCTGAGACTCCTTCTGAAGAAGGAAAAAAAAAAAAGGCATTGAACCTTTTTTCTCTTATTGTCTTTTTGTTTTTTCTTTAACAGTAACTCAAAATGGATCTTTTGTCTTTTGAATTCAATACTTCCTCAGATATTCACCTCTTAACCACTGCTGAGTAGATGATTAAAGGTAAAGGAGGAGGTTCAAAGCGTTTCAATTCAATCTGAATTTTAATTGGATGAAAAATAGTCCTTTTTAGTGTGTGATCTAATTCTTTTCGGTGGTTAAGCAAACAGAGCTTGTAATCTTATGTAAGATACGCTGTTGTTCGTATGTAGAGCAGGAGACTAACACCCGTATTCAAAAACATTCTCTTCCAAGGGAAAATGCTTCTTCCTGCCTCATAATATCAAGATTTCTTTTCATGGTTTAGGAGCAGGAAATGATTATCTTCAAACTAAACATCGCCTTGATCTCACAACATTTGTAATCAGCAGCTTTAATTATTCTGCAGTCTTTGGTAGGAAAAGGACAAGTTAGAGAGAAAAAGTGTGCGCCAAATTTTCAATGTCAAACAGGATTCAGTTGTAAGTTCATCTGGTGATTGAACTTAAAGTCTATGTTGCACTGTCTAATTATTTTTAAAAACTGGTATTAAATACTTCACTACGAATGAAACAAAAAGGTCAGAAAATGCAGTCCCTTGAAAATGGTGCAACTTTAGTCAGAAGCCATTTTTTTCTAAAATTCATGATGAATTAAAGATATCCCTTGGGTATATCTTTGCTGATTTGCAGACATGATTAAAACATGAATTACTTAAATCAAGTTTGAAATATATAAAAACAAGAGATTTACATTCAAGCTATAAAAAAGCCCAAACAAAACCATATGATAACTTATGACAACATGAGAGAGAGCCCTGAAATAATTTGATATCTAATACTTGACCAGAACTTTACAGTAATCTATACTGAAATTTCTCGATTTTATTTTATGTAAAATTTATCTACTTGTAAGTGTATTATAATCAGAAAATATCTAAAAGTAAGATAAGAAGAGCTCAGAACCAAACTTGACCTTTTTCTTTCCCTGTTTTGATTATAACCAAAAACAAAAAAATCCATTAAACATTGAAATTAAATAAGTGCTAACCCTCTTATTAGAGCTAAGACCAATTTCATTACTAGAATTTAGATTTCTATACAACATTATACTGGCAATGTGATTAAAGAAAATATTTATTCTGCTCAAAAGCAAAAAGCACGGTGGAGTTGAAAATTTTAAAGAGCATGAAAATTACCATGGTGTCTGAAATGACAGTAAAGAAACGTGTGTGTTCATGTTATGTAAGTGTGTTATGGACTAGGTGGTGGATGCATACCTGCAGTTCTTGCAGCAGGTCTCCACACAGTGCAGATTCAAACAGCTCTTTTCCATTCTGATACGTCTTAATTATCTTCAACTTGATCTCCGGGGAGCTGGTTTTCTTAAGTACCCCACCTGGGGTAATGGACGGAGCGTGGGAGGGCTGAGAGGAGGGGGTACTGTCCACAAGTGAGGGGGGAGGACTGGAGGATGGCAGGTGCAATGGAGGAGGAGGGGGGAGTGTGTGGGTCATGATGTGAGGCGTCTGGGAAAGGTGGTGCTGGGGGGGCAGCGGTGGAGGAGGAGGACTTTGTGGGTGCGAGTGGGTTTGTATGTGGGGTGGGTTGGAGTGGAAGTGGTGCGTGTGATGGTGGTGATGAGGGTGATGGTGATGGTGGTGGAGGTGTGGGTGATGTGTGGGTAGAGGGGGGGACACAGGAGACAAAGGTCTCTCCTGGAGGCCTGGGCCTCTCAGGACTGTCGCCTCCCCTGGCAAGAGCCCATGCTCTGCATAGCTCCGTATTGCCCCGTAGCCATTGGCTGAGCCGTTGGGGAACTGCGAGTACATGGAGAACTTCGCCTGCGGCTCGTACATGCCCAGCCCCGGTGGGTACCCGTTGGAGACCTGTGACATGTCCTCCGAGGCCGACGGCGGATAATTAAACTCTGCATCAAGGGCAGCATCATAGGAGGGTCCACCATCCTCGCCCGGGTCACTACCGGTGTCGCAGGTGCCTTCCTGTCTGATGTTGGCTGAGTCAATGAGCTGAGGGGGTTGCTGAATTGTATTTCCCATGATCCCTTGCATGAAAGAGAAGGAGAAATCCATTGTTGGGCTCCTGCATCCTTAACTGTCTTTTTCTTTGACTGGACCTGTAAACATATGTGTGCATTGAATAAGACAATAATGAGTTATTCGATGATTGAGATGTATCCTTCGAAAAGCCTTATGAAACAACAGAACACAACGCACAGAGCTATACGGTTCATAAATCAAACACTCTGCATGACCATAATTGCTCACTGTATGTCCACTTTTTACTTAGTGTGTTTATGATTTTTTTGTTACAGAGAGGTTAAGTGTATGATGAAGACTGCTGATAGTGTATTCATTATACTGCCAAAAAGCACAGAAACATACCTGTTATCACTTTCAACCTTATTTGTTTTGCCTTAATCACTGTGTTTTGGAATACTTAAGATGTAGGAATACTTTAAAACCATTACAACTGGATTTTGACAAAGCGAAACTGCAAGAATGCAACAAAATCATCTTGGTGGCCCTCAGTTCCATGACATCTGCATGTAAGATTTCACAGTCATTCTACCTACATCTTAAGTACAGGGCATAATAAAAAAAAAACATTTCACAAAATTTAGCACCTACTTTTTTTAGGTTTATTCAAACATTGCACACCAGTGTTGCATATTTGCAAACAAACTTTCACACATGGCACACAAAATTATTTCCAAACATGGAATCGAGGGGTCCCACACCTTGGCCGGCAGGTATTCCAAACTTGGAGAAGTCAACAGTTTTCAATATATTCACAGTTTAACAGATCAATAAACAATTGTGATAGTCATTTCAAAAATATTTCAAGCAGAAGTAATCTTAAAACAATAATTTCCTGGTTCCCGACTGTCAAAAAAGCATGTTTTCTATGACAGTACAGCTGAATCTCTTCATATTTAGACTGCTTACAACATGCAATTTGATTGTGTTGACTTGTGCACTAGGAAGTTTGATAAGCCTTCTCCACAATGAAAAGAAAACTGATGGAAATCTTAAAAAACTCCACAGACAAAGTGAAACAGAGTAGGCTCAAAGGCTGGCTGGATATTGAACATAGAAGGCACTGAACTAACTTTATGATAAAACTCCCAAAACACAGAACAAATTCCAGCTGTTAACCTCTCAGTTTCGTAAGTTATTGTCTCCTGCTCCTCATTTTTCGCAATCTTAAGACCACTTTTGGCTTTCTTTCCAGCTACTCCAACACATGGTGGCCTGCGATCAGAAACAAAACAAAGAACTGAGCTGCCAGAGTGTAATGCGACCTGTTTTAACTTTTAATACCCATTATGATTAATTGATTAAAATGAGAGTGTTGGAGCTTGCATGCTTTCAGTGCAGAAACTAATCCTCCTGATTGTATTTTAATGTGTGAACAGGCTACATCGACTCAGGTAGATAACGGTGATGTAAACATCCATAAAGGTGTCAACTAACGGTCACTTGGCTGCCTACATCGACTCATATTGATATTTTAATGAAATATAGCAGTTACGCTTAACATTTAATGCTCAGAAAGAGGATAACTGTGTGGTTATTTTTTTAATATCGACTGCGCAGACAAAAAATGTTTCACTCAATGATGTTGTAGCTTTCTGCGATGTTAGCTTAATAAGCTACCTGGCATCAAAGGGAAACGTCCTAAAGAGATATGGACCGTTTGAACTGTTAGATAATACACACCGCACGAGGACATGTCCGCTTGTCTTTTGGCTCACGCGACCAAACGTTTAGTAGATATCCGTTAACGAGCATCACACATGGAAGAAGAAGAAGATGAAAGGGAAAGCTAACGCTAGCCAGGCTAACATTCCTTTGCCAATATGGCTGCCTTTGCCCCTTTAAATCAAATTGTCTAGCATGATTATACCTCCATCACGGGCGCTTTGGAGGAAAAATGTGGCTGAAATGAAGCTAGCTACGACCGAAAAAGGAACCGTGCAGGAACGAGAGGAGGAGGGGGCTTCGACAACACGCATCTACCGCGGCTATGGCAAACACGCTTATCGCTAAAGAGGGAGAGCAAAGGAGCAGCACAGATTTTGATGCCGAGTATAGAGATGCAGGGGGGATAATAACACAAAAAAATGTCAATACCTTCAGCGTGTCCCATTCTAAACACATACACCAGCCAGCGACGCTTCCTCGTTTAACCGTTAAGGGGTAAAAATAAAAAAATATCCTGTAGTATAGATAAAGCGCAGGCCTTTTCCTTTTCGTTTTAACGCAATTCTCAACCGAGAGGAGGAGGGGGTGTTACGCTATCTGGTCGCTGCCCAATCCCAAAGCTTGGCTCTTCCTCAATGTAGGGGCTGGAGCATTTAGAGAAAACCCTGCTAACGTTACACACTGATATTTTCAATACGAGACCACCTCTGGTGTGCAGTCTTTTTAATAATAGTCTCTAGCTCCCTCTTCCTCCAGTCTAACAAAAGCGCCCTGCTTTTTTTTTCTTTTTTTTTTGTGTGTGTGCGTGTGTGTGTCGGGCCTGGTTTTAGCCCAGCGCCAGATCACACAGGAAGGAAAGAGGTTATTTTCATCAGCATCGTAGTTAACCACTAAAACTAGTGAAATTAGAGTGGGTGTGAGGGGAAATGATTAGGGGATCTTACATCAGGTATAATGGACACACCTACACTGAAGTGAAACAGGAAATTCACGTGTCATTTGAGGTGGGAAATCTGAAGCATGTAGGCTACAATCATCTCCAAAACCCATTTTTTCATAGTGCCACGACAGATGTTTAAAATTACTGTAACCAGCACTGAATAATTGTTTTGATTTTTTTTTCTAGCTTGACCACAGCGCGATGCAGATGCTGAAGTGACGTTGGCAGCAGCGTCTCTGATTGGCTTTTCTACGCCTCCTCGCCTGATCGGGGGCTGAAATGATAGGAATGACGAGAAAGACCTCTCACTCTGCTTTTATATCCTGGTAAATTAATTTTTGTAGTTCTGGTACTGTTCAGCGTGCAGTGCAAAGCTAGTTAGACTTTCTGTTCTTTTCTTTTAATAAATGGACATTGTTCACATCAATATATGAGCTCATATTCAAGCAAGAAAGACATGATTTAAAACGAAATATCTTTGTAAATGAAAATAAAAGCTCAATAATTGACTGAACACACTATTTAGCCATGACTTTTCCTCAATTTCTTGCATTAGAAGAAAATCATGTATTATAGAAGGCTAGTGTATCTAAAAAGGGATCCGCTGCAGGATTATGTAACGTACTCATGTTGTTTTAGGGACAGTGGTGTAAAATAAGGTGGAGGTAAACTATAATATCTTGCATTTTAGTGAACATGATGTCTATTTGTAAAAGCCGAATGCTCCTTTCTACCAGAAGCTTTCATTCAATTAAGATTTGATGCTATATTTTAAACATGGCTATTTTAAAACTGAACAGTAAAGTGCAAATCAAATTATATGATAAATTGGTTTTATTATTGTAATATACAAAAATAGTCTCTGAGTATCAAACTTGGCTCTCAACCTTTTATGTTAACTAAACATGATAAGGCTATATTACCATTATGGGACCTTATCACATTTGAACCATAAGGGGGGGGAATCTAAGGGAATTTTTCCACGTCTTTTACACTGGAAGGACATCGACAGGGCACTTTTTGAAAACATTTTATACTCTAAAAAGGCATTCAGAAGGCACTATCTTTATCATATGTATCACCCGGTAGGTAATCTTGAGAGAGGGAGAGAGACTAAATAAATGTTCTTATGAAGCCAGCCCATATCCATCCACCATTTACCATTTGATTCTATTTCATAGTCATGGTAATTATAAATAATGGCCTTCCATGCTGGGAAGTTACGTTAAGATAGATTTTATGTTTAGACAATTCTTGTTTGCTAATGTAAATGTTCAAGTTGGCCATTCGGGAGTCTTGCTATCTGAAAAACAGAGTGGCGCAGAAATTTCATCCATTCCTAAATATACAAACAATATAATAACTGCAGTATTCTCTGATTTCTTGACATTTGTAATCAGCTGATAAAATAATAATTTCAGAAAGGTGTATGCGTTTGCTGCTCCTCAAGTGTGCATCATCTTACTTCACACACGATCTTCGGTGGGCAGGCAGAAAACATTCACGCATGTACATTATGACCTTCCAGTGCAGCTGCCTGCGAAGGCTGCACGAGCCGAGGTGACGGTCCGGAGCTGAAACACGACGAATTTCACGGCGGATTTTTAAGCATAAACCCACCGTAAATGGGTTTATCACCACATCAGCCGTTACTCTCGTCACTCCCGTTTACCTCGAGCGATATTTGTGGATGGATTATATCATTCACGTCTTACCGAGAAGCCTTAACAACGCCCAGTCAGCAGCGGCAGCCATAGCTCCGTCATTGACGCTGGAGGTTAGTGGGCTCGTCATCCGCAGACTGCCATTTCACTAGCTAGCCGAGACAACCGCAAGCTAACAGGCTAACCGGGGCTAGGCTTGAGGAGTGGATATGCTTGCTAACATGAAGCTAACGCGAACCTAATGTACCGACTTGTTATTTTCAGGTCCTTTTGAGTTAGTATATTTCCATTTGTTTCTTTAGTGTTTCTGTATCACGTGGGTGGTGTTTTGTTTGCTAATATACTCATAAATTTAGCATTAAGTTAGGCCCATTTAAACGCAACCGGTGGCTTTATTCCATATAAAGAGGATACTTTGTAATAAGTGTGAGTTAATTTACTCATGACTCATTTTGTTTAACAGTATTAGACTGTATTTCTAGCGGTTAACAGAGTCACGTGTACCCGGTGATTAGGTTATATCTGTCAGTCTAGTAACGTAGATCCTCCCGGTGTCCGCTGTGTTGTTACATAATGTTGAGTTTTCGCTATTCTACCAGCTCTAACATATCATGTTATTTAAAAGTTAACTTTTAGAAGATTATCTATATAACTTCTGTATTTTACATAAGTGTGTGTGTTTTGTCCTGACAGAAGTTGTACGTCCTGTGCTTTTTTGTATTCCTCCAATCAGCCTGTTGCTGCACCATACGAGAGAAATGTAATCAGACACCTGCATGCTCTCTCTCCCTCCCTCTCTCCCCCTCCCTCTCTCTCCCTCTCTCTCTTTACATGTGTGTTCAGCAGGATACTGTAATCTGCCCCTGCAATGGCCGTCTTTAGTCATCAGGTGCTCTTTGCTGTCACTCGTTCAAGGTAAGGTAATCAGCACATGCTTCCACATGGTTTCATGTTATGTAAAACAGGAGGTCTGCTAAAGTAAAGCATGTGGTTTCCGTCTAGGTTTAATTACACGTTAAACTGGTTTTCTTCACAAAGTTCAGTTACACTAATTACAAGACTCCTGGCTGAAGTCTCTGTTGTGTTTGAGGAGACTTAAAAGCAACAGGTTGTCTTTGTTTACATAGAGTCTGCTACAGTGAAACCTATCCAGAGTTACCCCATCATGACTCAAGCGGGAGGGTAAACACGGGGACGAGTTCATGTTGATGGTGCAAGATCAGCTAAAAAGTGGACAGCCAGGGTGACACCACCGGGCAGCTCAGTTTACTTTAAAGGGGCAGCTGCTGGTACACATTTGTTACTTTTGCACACCTCTAGAGCACTTATATTGTTACACAACTTAAACTCAGAGTCATTATTAGTATTTTTATTGTTGCAACATAGCCATATGAACTGTGATAGCTTATGAACAGTTGTGCACAGCCTGTTTTACCACACCATGAATTTATGAATCAGGCCTTTTTCCTTCAACTTAGAAAAGTTTATCTTTCATAACAGGTGTGTGCTTGGTCTAAATTATCATTTATGATTGGTACAAAGAAAATATATTATCCTGAATCTTCAATCTGAGTGGGGAAAAAAATTAACCAAAGCCAGTATTAAAAAACAGAGTTAAATGTTATCTGTTGTAATTGGATAAAGACACAAATATAGTGTGGTATAGTTATCAAACTCTTTTAAGGAAATAAAAGATAGTAAATAAAAAAAAAAAGAAAATAAAAAGTGAACAAAAGGTACTTTTTTTTCCCCCCAAGACTAGTACCAAAAGATGCATAGCAAGTTCCTAGTATAGCCGTTTGTATACACTGGACGGCTCTTTCTGATTCTTGTAAGTTAAGCTTTCAGCTGCCAGTATAATACGTGGTCCTCTACACTGTGTTTCATGAATGCTGATGTTTCTGTAGCTGCGTCAGTGTACATGTTTTATAGCAATGACTGTATTCAGTTGGGGGGTAAAAAATGCATTAGAAGTAGCCTCTGGAGACACAGTTTAGGCTTAAAGTCAGTCCAGTATAGAAGTTTAGGACCCTTTTCTTTGTTTTGGATGCAATAACTTCTGATTTTCAAGAAGAGGAGATCATTTCAGATAAATCTGAAGAGCGGGACGTTTTGCTGAGTTTATTTTCTTCACCTCCTGACCATGTCCTCATAACCTTACATCACTGCCTGTTGAGTGGCTTTGGTTTTATTGACTTGTGAACGCAGCGCTGATGCTCACTCTGCACAGGTGGTACTTTACCTACTCAGCAAGTTAATCATTAAAACAACAGAGGCATAGGTAGAACATGTTACACAACCAGGTGGGAGAGTACTGTGTCTTTTTTTTTTTTTAAGGTGTTGAACATGCAGACAAAAAGGAGACACACACAGAGATTCGCTTTTCTGTGATCGGCTTAGCCAAAAAGGAGCAAACAAATACATTTAGATTTTATTTGTAAAAGGAGTAGAAATAAAAAAAAGGATAATTATTATATACCAGAGAAATTTAATCATTTTTTTAGTGAATAGTTGTTTAAAATTTAGAATATTAAGCACGCTTAACAATAAAAAACCTTTAATATTTTCTATTATGTAGTCTTTGTGAGTGATACAGGGGTATAACTGCTTAACCAACGTCAAACAAAGCAAAGACTTTTAAGGCTTTACTACAACAATTTGTGATGGCCTTTTTTATCTGTGATTTGTGCATTTTGTGAGCCAAACGATCAACTGATTTGACAGAGAAAATAGTCAATAGATTACCAAAAAAAGGCTGAAATGAAGTTAATAAAGCTAAAACAGGATGATATCTTGTCCCTGCAGGAGGGTGATCAAGTTCTCAGGAACTTCAACTGTCTCTTTGCAGTTAATCTATAAATTTTCAGAGTTGACATTAGGTAATAGGCACTTATACATACTTTTCGTACTCTTTCTGCCAAGTTCTCCCTGCAGGATATTATGTCATAACTAACCAGTTTTTCTTGTCTCTGTCTCTGTCTGCAGGGGATCATACTTGCTATCCAAGAGGCAAAGCTGCTCATCTCTGTCTTCCAAAGCGTATCTCCACCTAGACCCTCCACGCCACAACTCGTCCGTACTCACACTCAGGCACTCCCGCTACGGCTACCCCAACTGTTACCGCGGCCACGCCCTCAGCCGTAATCACAACTCCGCCCTGCTCGCCCGCTCTCTCCACAGCTCAGGTGTCTGGCTTCAGGACATAAAGCAGGAGGACACTAAAGCCTCAACAGCCGCCGCCACACAGGATGCTATAAAAAAGGAATCTGTTGCCGCTGCGGCCCCGTCTCCACCTCCATCAGCCCCTGCCCAAACATCTGCCTCCACTACCACCACCACTACTGCCACCACCACAGCAGCCGCCGTGCCTCCAGTGCAGGAGCGGGCAGTTGTGAAAAAGTCTATATATCACAGGATTGTGGATGAGTTGAAGCATTACTACAATGGCTTCCGGTTACTTGGTATTGACATCAATATTGCAGGCAGGATGGTGTGGAGGCTGCTGCACGGACAACTGCTCACACGCAGGGAGAGGAGGCGGGTAAGAGAAGCTAAATATACATTATACGGATTAAGAGTATGCAGTCCGTTTGCTGTTTTAAGATTGACTTATGGTTAGTTGTAATCCTCTGCAGTGTCAGACACGGGGATTCAGAAGATTTATGGTCATTACATTATTGTCATGCATCAACAAGTACAATCCTTTATGGCCTAGGAAGACACTAAAATAAAGAGGTGTAAGATGACAGATGAGAATACAACTGTTCACGTGGATCACTATATAGACAGGCATCAGAGGATGAAGGTTTGGAGTCAAATCCATGACCATTTTGTAGGGTACATGTGGGGTCCTGCTTTGTCAACTGAGTTTGGCCCACGACCCAATTTTTTTTTTATATTGGACCGAAATACAGATTGATGATGAAACTACACATTAGCTGAAGTACAAAAGAATATGTTGTTGCCTACTAAGTGCAGTTCTGATAAATTCAGGCAGAAGAAATAATCAAAGTCGAAGTAAACTATATCCAAAAGTTTGGCTTCTAAGCCAATTATTAAACTGAAAACTATATAATAGACTTAACAATCAATCAGTTTATACACTTAAGTGAAACCAGCATCATATCAGTATTTGTGGCTAAGAGTAAATCTGTACACACAGGTCTCTGGTTTCACATCAGGACTGAACTCCTTGAGTTTTTCATGAGCTGTTTTAATTCAGTGTTGCACCAGCTCTTCCTTCACACACAAGAATTAAAAACCTTTGTTCTTATATTGTCCTGGTTTCTCGTATTGATGTTCTTCAGTTGCCCCCAGGTCGCAGAAGAGTGCCTGTCTGGCTCCTTTACAGAAGTCTGGTTAACTTTTTGTCGTCACAAAAGACCTCCCTCTAGAGGAGGCCGTACCGTGTCACTCTTCCTCCCAAATCGTCACCAGTAAACCAGCAGGGCATTATTTACGACCTAAGTGATCCCTTTGTATGTTTTACATCTTAGCATGTCAATAAGGAATGTGTACAGTGTGTTCCCTGTGTCGTAATATAACCCTACAACAGCTGTAAGGGGCAGCAGTGAGTCAACCATCAGTGCGTCCATTTTTATTGTTCAATCGACAGAAAAGTAATCAGCAAATCCTTCAAGTTGTTTGTTACGACAAGGTGTTGCAGCACTTTCACTACCACTGAGAACAAACTAAATATCTCAAGATCTGGGACTGTTGTGAGGACAAAACTGGACTTTTGAAGGTGTAATGTAGTCGCCTCCTCCTCAGTTCGCTTTCACTTTTGTTTTGCCTCTGAGCCCAAGCTTAGCATAAAGTCTGTACATGCTGCTCTCAGTACAGAAATGTTTAAGAATGAACAGACTGTGGACAAATGACCTTTTAAGAAATGTACACATAAAGATCAATTTTTAAACAAATACTCTCTTTATTGTAGTTTTGCTCATATTATGGCAGTCGTGGTAGAAGAAAGTACTGTGCCAAATCACAATCTCACAACTATCCGTCAATTTTATTACAAGAAACACTCCAAACTACAGCTGAAATGTCGCATAATCTGCTGGTTTGGACTGTTTTCACTCTTATATTTACTCTTGTATAGCTGTGAATAATCAGGAAATGGGCGACTGTTTTGCAAGTGTTAGTGCACATACTGTCTTAGACCACAGTGTCGTAGTCGTTACACAAGTTGTGAAACACTGATCCCATGCTCGTCTTATGGTGGTGTTTATAAAACATTGATACCTTTTGAAATTGAAGCTGACTTTCTTCTTCCTTTTATACTCGGAGCTCAATGTTAGTTTCAAATGTCTCTTCATACGGCAGACACTGGTTGATCATTGGAAAAGAACATACTGTCACTACATGTCTCGCTGTCGGACTGGTGTGCACATGATGTGTATGTGTGTGTGCAACCTGAGTGACCCAAGCTCTGCACATGCTATGGTGAATCTATATTTGGGCTGTTTTAGAGGAGAACTGGCAGAGTGTCAGGGCACGTGTAATGTATCTCATCAGCTAATACAGCACTGAAGACCCCAGGTGCTGATGCCCCTGCCAGGGCACAGACACTGTCCTGTTTTACTGTCCACACTTAAGTGTCATTGACTCAGTTTTCCTTTGTACTTTCAGCTGATGAGGACCTGCGCCGACCTGTTCCGTCTGGTGCCCTTCATGGTGTTCATCATCGTTCCTTTCATGGAGTTCCTCCTGCCCGTCTTCCTCAAACTCTTCCCAGAGATGTTGCCCTCCACCTTCGAGACGGAGACCAAAAAGGCATGTGTTCATATACACAAATGCACAGACACACACACACATCCTGTCTCATGAATGACCTCTCGACAGAGTCCATGATGATTATGTAACATTGTAGATATGGCTGTTGCACTAAGAAGCTCTCGTCCATACAGCCACATGACTTTATCTAATCTAGGCAATTTACTTGGCTGGATTAGCACAATATAAACAACATGCCGCCAGTGCTCACAAAAACCTCAACAAACCCAAGACCTGATCCTTTAAAAGCACCTTAGTATAATTAATATAATCATTACAATAAAGAAAGACAATTATTTCTTTGTTGGTGTCTAATCTCCTGTTAATGGAAAGCAGCAGGTCTCTGTTCTTGGTCCAGTCAGCCCGTCAGCTCGGATTCTCTCGAGTGTTTCTGGTTGAGCAGCTCACAGATATGCTCTCGGGTTTATGGGCAGCACAGACGTGTCCAGCCACTGTAAGTTTGACTGAAAACAAAGAAGAAAAAGAAAGAAGGCATATTTTTACAGTAGATTACAGTAAGGTGGCAAAATCAGGCTGAGAGATACCAAAGAGGTATGTAAATGTTTGTTTTATGACTTTCTTGCAAACTTGTCAGACATTTTGTTACAAGAAACACACATGGTTCTTTTTCGCAAAGGTTTTGCTTTATTCAATGCCTCTGTTGTGGTAAAAGTTAATTGTCTAGTGCAAGAGATCTTTGTACTCTTTGTACTTCTGCCGTCAGAACTCTAAATAAAAGAAACACTGTGCCTGTAGTGCTGTATTTGCTGTATTCTAATGCCTCTAACTCTCCCCGTATCTGAAATAGTTAGTATTTTCTAACTCATCCCTGTCCCCTTCCTTTCCTTCCTGCAGGAAGAGAAGCAGAAGAAGGGGCTTGCGGCTAAGCTGGAATTGGCCAAGTTTCTCCAAGAGACCATCGCTGAAATGGCTCGAAGGAATAAAGCGAAAGCTCAGACGGAAGACGAGACGCAGCGCTTTTCCACATATGTTCAGAAGGTAGGTTACAGAGCAAGTTCTGTGCTGAAACTCAACTCTAGCCCGTACACAGATGTTATGATGCCTGCTCTGCTCTGCTCTGCTCTGTGTTCTGTCTGAATGTTTCTCCTGTTTTGTCATACCTGAAATCTGAGGTTTTGAATATGTTAGTAATAGAAAAGAGGCAAAACAGGACGTGGCTGAGATTTCTTTAGCATCTAATTGTACGCTAACGATGCTTTGTGACTCTGTAAGGTTCGGGGCACAGGTGAGCAGCCCACCACCAAGGACATCGTCCGGTTTTCAAAGCTGTTTGAGGATGAGCTGACACTGGAGCACCTGGAGCGCCCCCAGCTGGTGGCTCTGTGTAAACTGCTAGAGCTGCAGCCCATCGGTACAAACAACTTGCTGCGTTTTCAGCTGATGATGCAACTTCGAACTATCAAGTCAGACGATGAGGTGAGTCTGAGTACTGGAGGCTGGTGGTGATTGGTCAGGATGTTGATTTTCCCCAGTAGTGTGAAGTTTAAGATGATTCTTGTGCTTTTGCAAAGATGTTTGATTTCCCTCTCTGTGCTCACAGATGATTGCAGCAGAGGGTGTGGCAGCTATGAGTGTGTCAGAGTTGCAGGCTGCGTGCCGTAGTCGTGGGATGAGGTCTCTGGGTCTCACCACCGATCAGCTACGTCTGCAGATGCAGCAGGTGAGCCGCTGGATGTGGTTTTACGGCTGACTTTTAATTATTGACTAATTGTGTTTTTTTTAAAAAAGAAAATAAACAACCCCGTGCCATAACTGTAAATGAATAAAAATCTGTGCTCTCACATCTTTTCACCATTTCGACATAAATAAATGTGTTTCTCTGTGTAGTGGCTGGATCTTCACTTGAAGGAAAACGTTCCCCCATCACTGCTGCTGCTCTCCAGAGCCATGTACCTGACTGACCTCAAACCAAAACCTCCAGTCATCCCACCCGTTCCCAAACTCGAGGTTTGTTGTTGCAATCTACTTAAAACATTACAAACCGCACCATTGTATGTTCACTGTACAGACTGTGCAGATTATGCTTGTTCTCAGCTGAAAATTACACGTACGTCTCGTTCGATCTCTTAATAGGGAGCATGAGCTGTTTCATAACTAAGTCTAATGTTTCTGGGTCAGACCTTTAGTATCAACAACCTTGGCTGTAAACTAACAATTAATTTTCTGTAACTGGATTAAGGTTTTAGTCTCTGAAATGTTTTTGACTTTCAACCACTCAGTGAGACATAAACAAGACTGTGGAGTGGTTTGTGGGATTTATCTTCTGATCACATGTTTTGTTTTTCTCTCTTTTTTTTTTTTTTTTTAGAAAAGTACTCCTCCTCCAGTGGAGAATACAGGAGCAAACACAACCACAGTCTCCACAGACATGTTGGCGGACCCTGCCATTATCATCAAAGACAGACAGGTCAGTCAGTGTTCTGTTCAAAACACAGCCACATGACAAATGAGATGAGATGAGCAGAGAGGAAAATGGGTCATCGGTGCGACTAAGAATAGATCTCTGCTAAAATATTAGTTTGTACAGAAGATTTTTGTGTCATACCCAAGAGGCAGCACAGCCTTTTTCCAATCACTGCTGATCACCCTCGGGTATGAAGCAGTTAGAAAACTATCATTCAGTCCTTTTCCACATTTGGTCATTTTTGAACACAGTGTAGGACGAATACTCGCATAATTTCCTTTTTGTTTTAGGGAAAGTATCAGAACAACTCAAGTCTGACTGTACATTTCATTTGAATGTTTGATCTGTGAAGTAATAATCACAGGCCAGTTTTGAGGCCAGCTGAATGATGATGTGGTAATGGTTTCTTTGCAGGTGGAGGAGTTGAGAGACAAGGCCCCTGTGATCCCAGACAAACCTCTGACTCCTGCTGAAGTCCTTCAGGTAAGGCCCCCATTGTTCTTTGGACCTGTGGAATCAACAGAAACCAGCACAGAGTTTGATGCTTCACAGCGCCTCATAATCCAGTTAGTTCTTCCTGGCTTTGGTCTTTCTCACATGACTCACTAATCTCTCACAGTGGGACATGGTTACTGTTCCTATGAAAAGCACCCATTCTGTCAGACAGAGGGTGCTTTAATAACAATAGAAAACACACGGAAGCCGGTCAGAAATCTGTGGAGATACTGGATATACTGTTGGCGTTACACTTTCAAATTTGAGAGACGTCTGCGATTACAGAACAGTTCATGCAAAGTCAGATCAACACGTCTCAAGTTGATCTCTGTGAGGTCTAAAAATAGTCGATAAATATAGACCCATCACTCAGGCACGCTTTCCAGAGATCTTCTTAAACTTTAAAGAGATACTACACAACATCAAAACCTATCAGCCGGGGCGGTTTTCACATGGTTTTGATGACTCATAGTCTTGATGCTACAAAAACCCAAGATAAGCTTCTTTTCTTGCAATTTGACAAGCCCTTTGCTGCTTGATTTTTCCTTTCAAGTGTTAAGCTTGAAACCAGAAAACCAGTAAAACACAACATTACTGGATTGGTGTTTGTGTTCATAAATTTTGACTTTAAAAAAAGAAAAAAAGGACATGACCGCCAGTACTTGACACCAACTCAACAGTAGGTGTATCTAAGGAGAAAAAGGTCACTGACAAAAATGCTGACACAACATCAAAGATACAAACTCTGTTTAGATAAATTCTATATTATTAAAGTTACCCTGAGATAGAAAAGCTGTCTGTCTATAGATGGATTTATAATTAAAGCACCTCACAGTTGGAAAAGATGAAGATCTTTAAATGTCATGTTGTCAAAGCACCACATTGAATCTAAGAGTATGATGATGTGAACTTGGCAGCCTGCCTACATTTTAGTTACATTAAGATCAGTTCCCCTCTCATATGTACACATCCACATCCACATGTCCAAACAAACACCAGTGTCATTTTAGGGGATGTTTGTTTTTCCTCTCTGGGCTTCAAGAGGCCCAGTGCGTACGATTATGAATTAGATTTATGTGGTTTAATTGATCTGTTTTGAGAATACCTAAGCAGAGGAAGTGCTGTGATTGTTTTATTTAGAGACCTCACTAATAAGGAAATTCTGGAGTCTGGTGATACACCCCAAATATATATTAAGGGATGTCAAGGAACACTGCGTTTAAGTCACAGCCACCTCTGGTAATACAGCAGTCTGAAAAGCGACCCCAGTCTGCATTTTATCTGGCTTTTAACTTTTGAAATATCAATTTTTTCTCTCTTGACCTTTGCCTTGTGATTTTACTGTTTAACCACTTTGAGCAAATGAACAAAGACTAAAAAAAGGCCCCAGAGATTTTCTATTCAGTACAGGGAACCTCACTAAAAAACACTTGATTTTGAAGTTGCTCTTACTCCTGTGACCTTTTCCAACAGGCTAAAGCGGCAACAGAAGTGACCCAGAAGAGCAAGATGAGTGCCAATGGCGTTTAAAGAGGAGCAGGAGCCTTTGGACTGAAGAGCGGATGAACCTGTACAGACCTGAGTCCAAATGAGGGATGACAGGGATGTGGTGGTCATACGATGATCTACATTTCAGTAGCCTTTATTTATTCTAGAGCTACTCCGTAAAGATCTTTGTCTCTGTCTGGATCGGAGGGATAGGGAATCACTGGCTCTGTCCAGCGTTGTATACAGCTTATTGATGATTCAGCTCATCCAGGAGTCCTGCTCCTTCCTCGTCCCTTTCTTTTACATCCAGGAAAGGTCTGCTTCATCTCTTTGCCGCCATGACCCCTCTGCTTTTGCATTAGTGCACTCCGTTTTCTGGAACTCTCCATTCGAGCTGGGATAACCAGCCTTAAATTTCACTGGACTGTGATTACTCTGACCTTATATTCTGGGGGAAGCCTGAACTGCCCATCACAGAGTTGCTCAACTCAGTGTCTCCCTACAGTCTAGATGGTTTCCTCCTCCTCCTCCTCCTCCTCCTCCTGTAAATTTGTAAATATCCTGTATATTTTTGTTTCTGTCATCACAGCAGCAGCAGAGTTGTACATTTTGCTATGCAAAGGCCTAATTTCTCTCAAGAACTTAAGAGTTTTTCTCTTTTAGCAGTTTAACTTTTGTTTTATTTGGATTCATTTTCACTCCTGATGAGGATATGAGAGAGAATTCACTGTTTTTACAGGTATGGTTCTGTCAAACTTTTTGGTTCAGTTTTCGGTCCCAAACACTTTTTTACTCAGCAATCTGAAACCAGCCTGACGTGCCAAAGCAACCATCAAAATTGGCACATCCAGAATCTGTGATAGAATAAAAATGCTATTAATTCCATCTTATAAAGTCAGCAGGTAGACCTGTAGACTCGGACCGGCCCTGAATCAAAACAGGGTAACTTGTTTCAGCAAACAAAGACCTGTTCATCATTAAGAGAGAGCTCACTCCTTAAGCCCAGAGTTGACTGATAAAATACGGTCTGTCTGCTGGTAAACCACTTAACGGACAGCCCGTTAAAAAGAAAAACCTCGAGTTTATTTGCATATACATTGTATTAATGTGTTTTAACACTATGACGCTACAATTTCTTGAAACTGAAAGAGAAAATACTTGATGTATTATTAATATTGGAGAGAAGCTTAAACCTAAAGCCACAACTGAGATTAATGTTATTTTTTTAGTATTGTGGCACTGAAAGATGTACATGTATAGCATTATGACCATTTTGCGAAAAGCTCTCATAAGTATTTGACCATAACTATTATACAAAATTTTAACACATAAACATGGAAAACTACCGTTTCTGTTTGTGTTTAGCAGTGCTCCCATCCCCCCTGTGTATATTTGGAAGAATTGGAGTTTGAAAGTTAGAAACCAGAGTTATTTTTTATCACCACACCATTTTCCCCTTATGAATCTGTCTGTAGGCGCCTAATAGAAGAGGATGACCTAAATGGCAGAATATTTTTGAGCCTAAAAACATTGCTAACAAAGAATTATATTATTGGTTTTACATATGTGCCTAAAATTAAAGGGCGATTGTGGTCACATTTTTCATCCAAGAACAGAGTTTCTATATTGTACCATCGTCAGTTATTTGGTTGGATATTTCACCATAGTGTTTACCATGCCCAGTTGCTCCTTTAGTCGAATGTCCCCTTTCTCCCTCCCCACATTTGATCTGACTATCAATTCAAATGGAAAATGAAACCACTAAAAATGATGGAACAGCAATCTCCCTTTCAAACAGCCTTGCCCAAGTGACGCAGAGGGGACTAGGGGGGAAAAAGGTATCACTGTAGTTGCTATATGGTCTCTGGTTTTTGCTGCTGTCATATTTATAAAAAGTTTAAAAAGGTATTTTGAGTAGAAGTGAACTGATTTATGCAACACTGACTTGTTGCTGCAGTAATACTCCCCAGACTTATTGGTTTAATTGTGAACTGGTGCAAACTACTTCAAGATTAGAGTACTGACCAGTGCTTAAATATCAGTAAGACTTGTTCAACTGAACAATCTAAACCACTTTCCTCTACATCGGCCATTAATTTTCACCATCCCTCTCCTTCGAGGAGCAATGTTTGTTTACTTTTCAGTCATCAGCACCATGGTGAGTTCATCAACAAAGCTTTGCCTGTGTAGAAACTGTTATCTGCTGATACTGCAGATGGTTTGTACATCAATACCATCATGATGTGTTTTCTGTCTTCAGGCTCATATTTGTTCTGTTTAAATTTGCACTGCTGTCCAGTTACTTCTGACTTGCATTGGATTTATGCATCACTTTACCATGGCAAAAGAGTGTTAGAGTAATGGAAAGAAACAAATACACATGATTAAATTCATGAAATCCCCCCTGAATCTTGTTGTAGCTGTGTTTTTTTTAATGAGATGGTGAAGTATGGAAGAAATTTAACTTATTCTATTCTAGTTGTCTCATACAGTGGTGGCTATTTAGTTGTTAAGGAACTAATGTCACATGTGTGGAAGTAAATCTGTGCCATCTGATTTTGAATTACTAAAGCTGAAATCTTATTGCATCAAAATCAGACTTTGAATTTCAAAACCATCGAATTTCATCGCATTTTTATTACTGACACAAACTTTTTTCACAATGATGCAATAAATTCAGTGTAAAAAAGAAAAGTCTTTTAAAATATTTGTTTAGTAAAAATTTGACTTAAAAAAACTGCTTCAAAAAATTCTGTGTCATACAATTCACCAGGGAGAAGCAATTGATTCCTGGCTCAATCATCCAGCCAATCAAATAATGCTAGATTGGTCATTTGGCAACCAACCAATTGCTCCCTTGAATCCAATCAATTGCTTCTCCCTGGTTACCCAGATGTTGAGTCGGTCTCTTTCACACTGAATTTCTGGACACTGAATTATTTGACACACACTTATTTTTTTCGTCAGTGAAAAAAATAAGTGTCAGAAATAAAAATGCATGCTTGAAATTCGATGGTTTTGAAATCAAAGTCTGATTTTGATGCAAAAAAGTTTCAGCTTTAGAAATTCACATTCAAAATCAGATGGCACAGATTTACTTCTATACACATGGCTTTGCAGAGCTGGTCTTGTCTGAGTACTGCGTGGCTTTTTATGGCCAGCAGGTGGCACCATAAACCAGTTTGTAAAAGACCAGAATGTTCTGCAGCTTCAATGGGTTTTACAAGTAAAACTAATTACACAGTGTTTTCAAATATCAGTGTCAAGCTCATTGTTTTTTTTAGCTCACTTTATAGTACTTTGAAGAAAAAAATCCTTTCCCCCTTCATTTTTGTAAAATGGCCTTTAATGTTTAACACTACTCATTTAGTTTTGAGAGTACCATTTGGCAACTGGCTGTAACCTCACAGACAGTTAGTAGTATTCATCTGGAAAGTTATTAAGTGGCACAAAGAAGTCACCAGTCCTCAAACAGAGCTCTGCTTCTCGGGTAACTTAGTAAAAGACACTGGAGGAGACCACGGCTTCAGGGAAACGACGTTGCTTCTATCAGATAGTACGACGCCATCTTTGAGGGGGTTAAGAATCCAAAAACAGCTGATAATTTCAATAATTTTGGACTAAAATGGTTTCAAGAGACATACTGTCAACAACAACTGTGGAGCCACCCTTCGTCTACACTGCAGAAGTTGTGTGACAGGCGTACGTGGTGCGCAGGTGCGGGGCGGGGGACTTAAAAATAGTTTACTCTCAAAGGGGGACGCTGCGGCGGGTACAAAATATTGGAAATCACATGGTCGGGAAAGTAACTGCGAAGCTCTGGCCACGCTACAAAGTCAACAGACACTGTACGTATTAATCTGCTTAGAAATAATTATATATTAAAATGGAAGTGTAATTAAATTTGTCTCATGACTCTCCGGACTGAAGGTATTGTGCCTGTCTAAAAATAGGTGTTTTCTAATGAGTCGCCATCATTACAATCCAGAACAGTTAATCTCTGTGCCTCTTAGTAGCCTATATTTGACCACCTTCACAGAACAGGGCTGTATATTTTTGATTTAAACTATATAGTAGCTTGTTTGGTCATGAAAACTTTAACCTCTGCCAGTGCATATCAGCTGATCAGCAACAGGTGTTTTAATCTCTAAATGTATTGGGATGTCTTATTCAAAAGGGACAAAACGTTAGGAATAGGCCTACTGTTGATTAAAATAACTGAGCAGAGAACTCTTTGCATGCTGCACGCTAAAGGTCTGAACAGCCTGTGCTATTTTTAAGGCGAGAGATATGTTGGAACACCTTTAGATAACATTGGGTAATATGGGGTAATACGGATTGGGCTGTGTATGTGTGCAAGCTTTTGTTAAATATACTCTGCACAAAAATACTTCCCTTAACTCTGAAACTGGTCTCTGCATAGGATAGTTTTGTGTGAAGATTTGATCAGAGATTAAGAGTTTCATTTGGTTATAATTATAGTTTTTGTTAAATCTTTGTATGATAAAATGTAAATTAAGTAATTCTTGTATTCTCTCTCTGTGTCTTGTCTCTATGAATCTTCCCTGGTTCTCTTGACAGTGCAAAGATGAAGCTGACTGTTATAGCTTTTTTGTGTTTGTCCCTTCTTGTGGTTCATATTGATTCGTCCCTGGCCAAGATACGTGGTGGAGGGTTTGCTGGAAAATTAAATCACTTTAAGAAAACGCCCAAAACAACCTTGAAAAAACCCAAACCTGAGAAACCAGATAGACCAGGGGGGTATCCAAACCAAGGAAGCTACCCAAACCAAGGGGGATACCCAAACCAAGGAAGGTACCCAAACCAAGGAGGATATCCAAACCAAGGGGGCTACCCAAACCAAGGGGGCTACCCAAACCAAGGGGGATACCCAAACCAAGGAGGATATCCAAACCAAGGAGGATATCCAAACCAAGCGGGTTACCCAAACCAAGGATACCCAAACCAAGGAAGATACCCAAACCAAGGAGGATATCCAAATCAGGGTGGATACCCAAATCAAGGAGGATATCCAAGCCAGGGGGGATACCCAAACCAAGGGGGATACCCTCAGCAACCGGGTAGACCAGGGGTGTACCCGAACCAAGGAGGCTCCCCCTACCAGCCAGGTTATCCAGCTGGGGGATATCCTGCGCAGGGCTACCCTAATAGTGGAGGATTCGGCGGGTATGGAGGTTATCCTGGTGGGTACATGAATTACAATCCAAACAACAGAATCCCAAGTCCACACTATGGTGGCAGCTTTGGATATGGGGGCTATGGTGTTGGGGGTGGCTCTCCCTTTTCACACTCTGTTCAGCAAATGGGCATTTACCCCAAAGAACAGTCCAGAGGGTTTGGGCGCAGTGCAGTTATGGCAGCAGCTGGAGGGGCTGTGGCAGGAATGGCCCTTGGTTACGGTATAGGAAGGTTCCCCCGTCCTCATTTTGAGTTCCACAGTCCTCAGGAGGAGTATTACTACAACCACTACATGTACAGGAAATACGGTACAAAATCAACTGATATAAATGACTACAGCAGAGACTACAAGTACAGCAGACCCCCTCAATCTTATGATAGCTTTATGGACTCTTGCATGAAGAGAGAAGACCTTCTTCCTGCAGGGAATCCAAAGCCAAACAAAAATACAGCTAATGCAACTACTTCTTCAGTTACAACCACAACAACCACATCTGCAACTCCTGTAAGTACTGCTGCTCCCAACAGCAGCAGTAACTCGACTCTCATCAACAACAACAGCACAACAACAGGAAACTCATCCACTTCTGTACTTTCAACCCCCCATCCTCTAAATAAGTCTGAGGCAATTTCTGGTCCTCCTGCAGCAGAGGCTGTCAGAGAAACAGCTATTACTGATGATGAGGACACAGTCAGCATCGTAGAGATTGGCTATCCAGCACTGGTCAACCAGTTGAAGGTCAGGAGATGTGTGGAGTTGTACATGGTTTACTCTGACAAGTATCTGAAGCGAAAGACTGAACCCAAGGTTGCAGGTGGGGTACAAGGACTAAATTCAGGCTCACATTGGCTGGTAGCAGTGATCACCAGTATAACACTTATTTTGCTGAATAGCCGCACGTCAATACTGTTGCAGTGATATATTTATTTGCAGTTTACGCATATGTGCATGCTTACATGAGACCAAGGCATTGTTTATGGTAACTAACCAGTGTGGTAGAATTCCAGTATTAGCATTTACTCCAAAACGACAATCTTTTTTTTTGATAGCCTATATGTATGGTCAAAGTCACCAGCTTTCGCTTTAGCTTATTGAAAGTTTGGATGTTGTCCTGTTTCTGTTCAGTGTTACTGAACAATAGCTCAACTAAGTTTATGTTGCTAATGTTTAATGGTGGATCCAGTTGCACAAAATGTTCATATTGTCTAACAAATCAAATCAGCACACTGTGTGGATGTTTATTCTTTTTTGTATTGCTGTCAAATTTGTAGGTTAGCTTGCTGTCCAGTTTGTTGATTACTTAGATCACAATTATGTTAAACTTTTCCAATAAAAGTGATATCACATCCATTTAGTTTTGTCTCTAAAAAGTATCTTTATTATATTGTTGCTGAATGAGTACTAATACTAAACTAAATCTGTACTATAAAATAATACTCGTGTGAATTTAAAGCATTATAACCATAAGAATGCCATAATAATCAATATACATATTTCATTTGTAAGAAAGAATTCAGCTGCTTTTGGCCAGATAAAATTCCTCATATTATTCATCACAACAAGACTTAACAAACAGCAGGTAGCATAGGCTGTTTTCAGGAAGTTCATGCCTGTGAGCCCTCTGCTCAAAGCTACCTGCTATGCTTGGTTATAGACTCATAGCCTTTATCACAAAATTGCCAACAAACAACTTTGATATATAATTACAAGAGGGTTTTTCTGCATCGTTGTTACAGGCTTGCTTATATAGATAAAAAAAATGGCTGTTGGTGGATACAGAGGTAGTTGTGGGTTGAACTGGAAAGTATCCAGTGATATGGGTTATTCTTTTCTGCTAGATCAGAGCTAATGTGGAACAAAAACCTCACAATGTATTTTGAAATAGTATGTTTATGATAAAAGTGGTTTATATGATTAAATATGCTACAATACATAGATCAAATGAAATAGATCAAATAAATATCTTTCAAGAACTGGGTTCTTGGGGACTTGGTGTACCCTAAGTAGGTATCTGTTTATTTGAGTACACACTATAGATTTTATACATATGATAAGAGGAAGAAACTGCATGTACAGCATGAAATTAAAAACTGGGTTGTTGTTTTTTTTTATCTCTGTGAACTACCTGTTCTGTTTTGTCTTTTTTTAAAACCAATTTTTGGTATCATGAAACATTCATTTGACATTTAACATCAAATAAATATATCATGCCTTGTTCCTCTGACATTATCAATGAAGAGGCAGACGAATTAAAAATCTCTTGAAGCAGTTTTTATATCAAAATTAAAAAACGGCATACTCTTCAATTTCAGGAGAGATGTTTAGATGTTTCATTGCATCTACAATGCCTCTCACAATCACAGCAGGTCAATTGATAGTGATTAATAAAAATAGTCTCATTCATTATGCAGAATGACCCTTTGTAGACTAAAAATGTGATTATTGAAAAAGTATCAATCTGAAGAATCAAAGAGCCTAAAATTGTGTTTTTAGTTTATAATATTGCATGATGTTAAAGGCGTCCTGAAGAAGAAAGTCGTTTTTTGAAATAAAATACAGTAGAGTTAAAGTACACTTTGTTCCTTTGTATGTAGGCCAGGGTATAAGCGAATTACATTTGCAAGTCAGTGGTCGGGTTAAATACTTGTTATACTGCTTTTGTCTGCTCGAATAATTTAAGAGGGTTTCTGGCATTAGTTGAATCAGTTAAAAAACGACTGTAGGCTCCTTAATGTTCATTTTAAATGGATTTTTCCGTATGAATCAAGATCACCTCATTATGGAGAGATGCTGTCATCTACGCCCCGCCCCCTTTATATGTTTCCATGGGACCTTCACACCCTCGCGCCGCATTCACGTCATATCCAGAAACCGTTGTCCCCCTACCCGTCTGTCAGTTACAAACAGGTGTCGTTTGTTTCTTTCCATCAAAAGAAGACAACCCGAGAAACTAAAACCACATAAGACCGGAGGAGCATCACTGACAGAGACAAAAGAAGGTAAGCTTACACCAAGTACCTGCACCGGTATTGTTTAAGCAAAATTAAATATACGTGTTATTCGTTGGCGCCCGTCGTGTAACCGTCCGTCTCTCATTGTGTAGAAACTGTAACACCGTGTGCTTTCCATCATTAATTATTACACTTGTTTGTGGCCAGCCTGCTCTGACAGCGCCATCTTTAGAGAGAATAAGGACAGGGGAATGGTACGGCTCATATTAAAGTGACAGATCTTGACAGTTCAAGGTCGGTATTATTGTTATTGAACACGACTGTATTTGCTGAAGTATCCGTGTTATTGCTGCTCTGCTCGACGTTAGTTCCTCATCATTGTTCCCCACCATCCCCGTCCTGAGGTCTGCTGTCCTGTGACTGCCACACCTGTTTTCTGTTTATCCTAACACTGACTTTCCTCCAGAGAAAAGAAAGAGAAATTACAAAAATTAACACTCAAATTATTTGTTTCACATTGGTACTAAAGCTTTTATCTAACTTTAAAATTATAAACGCTCACCTTTTTGGTTATTGTAAATTGTAGTGATGAAACTTAACAATAATGTCTGATATTAAAGAAAATAACGATATCAAATAACTGTTAATCATTCCTGCTAATCTGTTTATAATAATCCAGCTTTAAAGTAAGAATAAGAATAATTTCAATGATTTCAATGATTCTTAAACATTAAAGTGACTGCTGTATTGGTGAACTTAAAGTCAAAACCTTTTGCGTCAGATGAATTTGTTTATCATGTAAATACACCGACCGTCCATAACATTATAAAACCATGACAATCTAATGCAACCCAGTACAACAGCTCCACCCAAAATTCTGCCTTCAGGAAGCTTCTAAATGGTCAGGTTTTCTTGCATGATCAGACGGAGGATTATTGTACTGAATATTACTGAAGACAAAGTGGGTACTGATGTACTAGAGTTTTTTGTTTTTTTACTGAAATGTGCTACCTATTTTTATTTCACTTTATTGACAAACACAAGTGGACAGAACATAAGGAACACCTTTCAATATAACTCACTCAAATACACCACCTTCCCACAACAACTTCCACACGCGATTTAATGAATAATCATCACCTGCCTGTTTGTGTCAACAAAATCTGAAAGTACAGAAGCTTTGTACATCTGGAATTAAATGAAGAGGTGTTGCATGAGATTGCCCCGGTGTTAATAATGTTGTGACTGGCCCTTGTGTGCCAACCATAGACCGTACTATTACTATTACTATACTATTCTATATACAGTCTATGGTGCCAACCTTTAAGTGTTTCTTTTTTAAATAACAACAAAAAAAAAAACGTATAATTTACTTTGGTATTAGAGCTGAGACATTACTAAAAAGTTATGAAAAGTGCTTAATATAACGCATTGTTAGAGTAATGCACCACTTTGTATTGAAATTAAAGAGCAGTAGCTAAGAAAATGTGTCGTTTCATATGATTGAGAAGAAATATGTATCATCATATCATATTATATCATATTATATACCGAAGTATATTAAGTGCAACTAAATTTGTGTGAATTTGTTCAAAGTTATGTGCTTCACTGATGTAAGAAAAAAGTTTTTCACTGTTTTCCCTTTCCCTTCTTCGTTCCCTCCCACAGAGCAAAGATGAAGCTGACTTCCCTCTCTGTTTACCTGTCACTTCTTTTGTTGTGTACCCACTTTTCCCTTGCAAAGAGAGGAGGAGGCGGGGGCTTTGGCAAAAGTGGCAGCTCTGGGAGAAGTGGCGGCTCAAAGACAACCTCCTGGTTCAGCAAAAGCAATACCCCAACCAAAACTAACACAGGCCAGAAAACTAATCAGGGCTCTAACACTCATGGCAGAGGCTCAAATCAGCCTGGAGATTACCCCCGTCAGCCAGGAGGGTATCCTGTGCAGGGTTCCCCTTATGGTGGGGGTTACGGGGGCTATGGTTCTCATGGCGGTTATGGAGGTCATGGTGGATATGGTAGTCATGGTGGTTATGGAGGTCATGGCAGTCATGGTGGTTATGGGGGTTATGGAGGCTATGGAGGTGGATATATCAACCACAATCCAAACAACAAAGTCCTTAGCCCTCGTTATGGTGGCAGCTTTGGCTATGGGGGCTACAGGCCTAGGGGTGGCTCTCCCTTTTCCCAGTCAGTTCAGCAAATGGGCATGTATCCTGATGAACGGTCCAGAGGGTTTGGGCGCAGTGCTGTTGTGGCAGCAGCTGGAGGCGCTGTGGCAGGAATGGCCGTGGGTTACGGTATCGGAAGATTTCCCCGTCCCCCCTTCCATTTTCGCAACCCTCAGGAGGAGCATTACTACAACCACTACATGTACAGGAGATATGGTACAAAATCAACCGATACAAATGACTACAGCAGAGACTACAAGTACACTGACCCCCCTGAATCCTATAACAACTACATGGACTCCTGCATGAAGAGAAAAGACCTAATTCGTTCAGAAAATCCAAAACCAAACAAAAAACCAGCTGTCACAACTCCAGATTCTGTCAAAGTCATCAGTGTGACAGAAACAAACAAGACTGCAACAGAAAATTCTTCAACCTCTGCTCCTTCTTCTCATCCCCCCGTGAATCAGCCTGAACCCAATCCTGAAGATGAAGATGACACAGTCAGCATCGCAGAGATCGGATACCCGGCACTGATTCAGCAGATACAGGCCCAAAGGTGCATGGAGCTTTACATGGTTTACTCTGAGAAGTACATAGTTCAAAATACTGGAGGTGCTCAAGGACTAGAGATGGGATGGCGAGGGCTTTTAGCTGTGTTAACAAGTACCATACTGATGCTACTAAATAGCAACATGCTGATGCTGCACTGAGGTCGGTAAAACTGAGTAAGAATTGACCATTGATGATTGTTCACCAATAGAAAAATGGAGAGCATGAGAGTAACCTACGGTCTTTACAGGATAGTATTCATTCACCGTATTTACATGGCAGCCAATACAACTTCAGGCTGGGATACTCAGACACAGTTGTGATAATGTGCTGCTGTGTCAGTGACGGTTGATATTATTTCCTCAACCCCCCTCTTTTATTATCAAAGGGAAAATATAGATTCACATTTGACACATTCTGATCATGTAAAACAACACATTTGATGACCTCTCAGCTACCTTTAAACAACAGATTACATTAGCATTTAACTAATTCACACTTGCACTAAGTTTGCTGTCTTTCAACCAGTAAAACACCTTGCCCGTTGTATTACCGTGATTTACCTAATGACAATTTAAACTCTCAGCCACATGTTATGGTAATATTAGTCAGGATGTAGGTCAAAGTATTCTATTGTTAGCTGTAATCTGATTTTACATACTAGGTCATGAAATCTGTTATAAGAAATATAATTATGTTTCTCCAGATTTTCTCTGCCCATTGTGTTTTTATTTGCAGAACACGGTTTTAAAATGAAAGTAACCTGACACATGCTTGACTTCCAACTGAAACAACATTATTGTCTCATTTTAACAGCATTTAAGCCTGCTACATAAGAGGACAGTTTCCTTTATTTGACAGCAGTGAACTGTGTGAATTTCTGCTATTTTATGTTATAGTAAGACCAATGCAGTTTATCCTCCTTTGTGTGCTTGACGGGCACCACACAGCTGATACAGACTGTTTGAAATATTTATTTAGGCCAAGGAAAAGTAAGGGTGTGTGACTAGAGAGCCACAGTGTTTCAATTAATTGCACTTCCTCTTCCCTCTTGTGAAAGATGGAGTGTCCATTAACTTTTAGTGTAACATTTTAAATAAATGAGTGTTCCGTCCATTAGTGACCTTGCAGATTCAAAAGAACATCCTCCTCAGTCTGCTGGACGCTGTGTTTGTTTAAGCGATGTGTGTTAATTCAGGGAAACTGGAATGGTTCTTTGGTTTTATCCACTGTCTCTTTTGTCTTTGTCACAGGGCCAATACAGTCCACTTAATGTTGCAGTTTATGTTTTAAAGGGCTGTCTCATTCTTGGACATATAATTCAGTCACAGAACAGTAAATAGTAATCCTTAACTATCAATAAATACTTGTGTAATAATCATATCAATCTGCTACTAATCATAGTGCTTTGGACCAAGTAACTTAACACTTTAAGCATGATAGAGTCAATATCCTTATATTAGGTCCAGTGATTTTTGCATATCTGAAAATATAAATGGATCTCTGTCATATGAAGTCCATTCAGCCACAGAAACTTGAACATGAAAAGCATATATCTGCTGGTGCTTTTGGTCTATATAGAAAACAGATAACATGCATGTCAATCCTAACACTCCTCACGTTGTTCACCAAATGCAAAGCAAAGTGTGCCTGTCCTGAATGATCGTGTGTTGTGTCTTAACATTTCCTCGTGTACTGCCATTCTCTGTAGTGTGATGTCTATTTTGTGATAATTCCTCTGATATATGTGCCTGCATTCTCTCTCATATCTGATGTATTGCCTAACTCTCTCCTGTCTGGGTAAGCTTGTGATTGCTAAAGTGCTCTTAATACATAACCCCACCCTCATGTGGATGTACTAACTCTGAGCTGAATTAATCTCCAAGACCTACTGAATGTTTTCCTGTATCATCAGGGACCTGTGCTCAAGTTTCTCTTATCGCAAAAGCAGATGTTGAAACAATTTAAAGGTACTCTCTGGAGTTTGGAAACTAATTAATATGAAAGATCTTTTGATAAAACCCACTGTACACAGTTAACAGACATCTCTTTTCTCATTATTTCTCTGACACTGCCATATTCAAGACCCAGTTTTTAAAAACGGTGATAAGGGATGCCTTTGTCTTTTTGATTAAGCCCCCATGGCCAACATTTTGTAGCCATTTTTAAACCCCACTTTGCACTCAAAAGATCCACATATTCCCATTTGATTTATCCATCTATTGATTCCCATTTCACTGGCAATCACACCAGTAAAAAAAAATAAACCATATAAGTTGATTGCAGAACCATCTCTGACCACTGGTGGAAAAACCCCCACAGTGAACCTTTAACCTGTTGTTACATGTTGTAGCATTTGTCTCCTGTGTCTGTCTTTGAATGTATTTACAAAAGTATGTATCGCTTTGAAAGACATGAATGCCTTTACCTTTGTATATCACATTTACTGTTTGCTGGAGCTCGTGCTGAATACTGAAGGTCAACTTGCACTTTTTGGATGTCTTGTCAAATAAACATTCAAACTTAAACTAATTCTATTTGTAAATATATTTTCACCATCACCATTTAAATACTATAACAACACACCTAAGTGAATTAACCACATAGAAATTACTGCAATTTCTTGGGCTCAAATAATTAGTCTGGAGGAGTTTAATATAAAGTTGGTCTGACTGTTAATTAATTCAAATTTTATGTGTTTGAATGTCAAACTTTTTCTGTGTGTACTCATAGAGCCATGAATGACTTGGTTTTATACCGCTAAAACTTGAAGTAAAATGGAGAGTGACAAGCTGTGAGAAGAAATATCAAGTGTGTTGTGGCAACACCTCGTGTAAAGACAGGAGTACAGCTTTCCTCTGACAGCCAGTTACATAACGATGAACGATCCCTTGTTTTAGGCAAGTCTTAGGCCTGTTACCTCATGAGGTACCCTAAGTACTGAGATACCTCAGTTTTGGGATCCCAGCTGTACACCTGAGCCCTGGTGTGATCTGATCAGCTGTGATCTCATGAGGCTAATGCTATGTGTGAGTCTGTTTGGTGTCAGCTAACAGGCTGAGTCATGCAGCACCCCCACAACCTGCTAATGCAATTTGACAATTAAATCGTATTAAGAAGCTTCGCGCATAAACTGCTAAGTCTGTGCAACCTGATATCACAAGATGCTGTGTTTGGTGAGAACATACCACGTTACCATACCTTGGAAAGTGATAGCTTTTTCTTTTGGTTCACTGTATATTTGATGATTATTTATAAGTGCTATATTGATTGCAATGCTGCTAGGCAATAACTATAGAGTCTATCATTGTAACAGTATTATCAATTTTAGCAATTTGATGACCAGAACTGTATTTCTAATAAGTTTTTTTCTATTCAAACTGATTACTGTGAGGTATGCTTATAACTGCAACAGAAACATTTTACTAACAGTCAGGACACATTTTTCTACAAGAGGCCAGTACTCTTTATTTTTTTTCCTCAAAACTCATGTACTGTCACTAAAAGTCCGAGACTTCATTTGCATCAAGGTATTTCCTTGTTATAGAACAAGCGGTTTTCAGCATAGCTCTTTGGTCACAATTGCAAAATAAAAACTATATCTCAACAACATTTGCATGGACTGTTATCATGTTATATCTAGACCCTCATGTTCTTAAAATAAACTGTTCAACCTTTGGTCTTCTGATTCTTCCCAATCTGTCATCATAAGGATCATCATGGACATCCAGAGACTGGCCAGTCAGTTGTTTTCCTCCCACCTCTAAGATTAATTTGAATGCACATGTCAACTCTGTACGAATCTTCTGTGGAGTACCACAAGGCTCCATATAAGGCCCTCTTTAAATTTCTTTTTGGGTCTATTTACCATAAATATCATATCTACTTCAGACAATGCCAAATTGCACCTTTGGAGCCATATGATCCATACAATGTTACTTCCTTTTTTGTGTGAGAAAATCCTGAATAGTACTATTAAACAACCGAAAAATAAAGCAAAGGTTTTTGTTTTGCTCTTTAAAATAATAATCATAATTTTGATCCTTCAAATTGGACCACCCTGCCGTAGTTACACTGCTTGTGGCTGACACAGTCATTACCCAGCTTAAGAATTTGTAATCACTTTTGTGTACTACTACCTGAAATAAAAAATGAATATATGAATGATTTATTGGTTGACTTAGTGAACTGGTTTAAAGCTCTGGAACAAACAGGTCAGGGTGCCTGCTGTTGAGGTTGTTTTTAGTTTGTTGAGGTTGCTGTACAGTCAAGAATTATCTTTCAGACTGGAAACTTTCAGCTTTACTTATTACCTTAGCATCTACAAAGATAAGTCATAAAGACGGTGAGGGGCTGTAAAGACAGTAAATTTGACACAAATCCTTTTTTGAGTTCTTTTTATTCATATAATGATCTTAAACACTGTAATAGACTCCTGATTTTACATTAAGACTCCAGAATAGCATCACGTGTATTTTTAAAAGTGGCATATACACACATTTTCATTGTACTGAAAATACATTAAAAAACATGACTAAAATGTAACAAACTTAAAAATGGCATTACCATATGTAGCTGCTCTCAAACTCTAGGCCCTGATGTTACTTCTTGAGGTAGAATTAATGAGAAAGATCTAAGTTTACAGGTCGCCTATGAAGAAACATAAGAACAAAATAAAATTTCTCCTCCATCAAAAAAAGTATAAAAAAACACACTGACCTCATTAAAAGGAAAATGGGTGGGTGGAAATGTGTCAAAATCTAATTATATCAAGTCTAGAGGAAGAGCTGCTTTTGTTCAACCATAGCCTACACCTGCAGTCTCAGCATCATGCTTTAAAGGTCAGAGGTCACATTTCTCTTCCTTTCTTCATGGAGGGTCAGTGAGGTGTCGAGTAAACAAACTGGGCACATCTTTTTATGCCAGGGTTGTTATCTTTTCACATTTTCACATTTCACAGTTTAAATCAAAAAAAGTTCTGTTTGTTTTTTTTTTTTTTTTTTTTTTTTTTTTTTGGGGGGGGGGGGGGGGTTCAGCCAGGGGGCTTTGGCTGTGTCCTTTTTTAAGATCCCAGCTTTGTCTCCAGCTCTACATGAGCGCCACCCAGTGTCCCATCAGCAGAGACATGAGGGAGCCAATTACAACGATGATGCTGTTGTAGATGGGACCACTGGATGCTCCATAGGCGTAGTACTCCATATCTCCAGAGCCCTCCTGCTCATATCCAGGTCTGGGTCCATAGCCACCTCCATATCTTGGGTACCCTCCATATCCATAACCTCCACCGTATCCTCCTCCATACCCTCCATACCCTCCATACCCACCACCATACCCATAACCAGGCCGGCTCAGGGCAGACCCCAGCACGGCTCCTCCTATTGCTCCAGCTGCAGCTGCTCCAGCTACTTTTCCTGCACTGGATCCGCTGCTCTGGGCAGGTCTGTAAGCCTGACCTCCACCTCCACCCCAGCCCCGGCTGTAGCCACCTCCTCCACCCCGACCAAAGCCTCCTCCTCCTCGACCACGCCGGGCCTCAGAGGTGGGTACCAAAGTGGCAAGGAGCAGCAGGCAGAGGGCGACTGTGAGGGGGAGCTTCTTCAGGTCAGACATTGTCTTTTTATTCTGTGGAGAAGAAGACATTAGAAATGTGAGGAGGAGTATCAAAACAGAAGAAAAAACAGCAAAACAAACTGTCAACTTCTTTACTGGCTGTTAGTTTTGATAAAAATAATTAAATTTAGACCATTTACTAAATCAAAAGCAGACACAATATGATGTTATCAATACTGTTCAGATAATACTATTCAGATAAAAACAGGCTGGAGGGGTAACAAAGATGTAAATATCATCATTATTGATCATATCATTGTATTATCATGCATTAGATTTATATTGAATTAAAAAAATAGTGCCATAATGTTATAGTTCAAATCTTTTGATGTCACTAGAAGGTGAAACATTTGACAAACATAGTGTGAAACAGAAATACCCTGATAACTAGTAACTCAATGAGTACTTCATTCAGAGACACAGTAAATAAACATGGCTGTCGCGTCCTGACAGACCCATGAGATGTTCTCAATGCAGCTTAGTGCCGCAGCATGTTATTTTTACGTGGCTGATGAGTTCAGAGCTGTACGGATCACAGGCCTTAATCCGGCTTTGAGAAACACATTTTACACAACCACCATCACTAGATACTCAAGAACCTGACCTGGGATCAGATAGTTCTAACGGTCTCTAATGCCCTTCCATCTGTTAAATCAGCCAGATCTGTGAAGAAGATCTGCTGCATTAATTACAATGGCAACAACAATATGGGACTCTGGTGTAATTATATGTAATTCCTTTAATTGTATGTATAACCTTGCAACAAATCCAGCAGAAAAGTGATAATGCTGTTGTTATATTTATCATACTCAACATATCTTTGTTGTTTTATATTTCATATTGAAATGCCTGTTATTATAGTAGTATAAGTGAACAAGAATACTTTTAGTAATAATAATAACAAGAGGTAAAGTCAAGATGTAGAATCTATATAAATACCAGTAACCCATCTAAATAATGATAATAACAGTCTATACAAAATACCAATAATAAACAATTTAACAACTATTAAGATGAACATTGTAAATAGACTGCTGAGGTTAATGTTCTTTACTTGTTTGTTTTTTATTGCTGCTGTTTTATACTTCTGTTCTGTGACATCTCACGAGCAAAATATGTTTTTAATATCTTTGTTTGAATTCATAAGACTTCATTTTTGACTCATCAATAAAGAACTGATCTTGATCAAGCAGATACTAAACCACTGAAACACAAAAATCATCATTTTATATTAACATCAAATTTTGTCTAATCTATGGAGAGAAAGACCGATGGGTAGGTGTTTTAAATATATTCTTCAGTTTCCTGTAAAGTTTTTAGAGACTGATGTCTTCAGAGTTAACAGACTGAATAATTCCCACCAGTGAAATCCGCTCCAGTATGACATCATTTTTGTGACCATCAACAAACACGTCAGTCTAATCTGTGTCCTCCTAACGGGTCAGTTCTGCTATAATTACACTGGGTCACTGGGAATAATCCAGTCACTCTCAGATTACAGCTCCAAATTTACTAACAAGATCAAAAGACTTCATATTTATGTTTAGTACTTTGGGAGTATTAGTAGTAGTAGTATTATCAACTGTGCTTTTACTGCTTGAAGAACATTTTGATAATATAAAATCTACAGCAGACATCCATTCACAAAAAACAAACAAACAAACAATAGCAGAAAAAAAAATAGTGAGGATATTCATACTTGCTGAATTTCATTGGGAAATGAGGTTTAAAATCACAGTATGTCATAATTTGACCAGATTAGTCATATGTAATTTTTGGTCTATATCATCAGAGCTTAATCATATTTCTGCTTTTGTTAAGAAATAACAATTACAAAGGGATTCACAACAAAAATGTACATTAGGAACTGGACAAGCAATTGTACAAACCAATAATAAATACTATATTATGATCGTGCTGTAGCCTAGGAAATAAGGTCATGTATCAAATGAGTGTAACTCTATTTTTCCTGTAAGTCTGACCCACTCAGTGAATCCTGGGATCTGCCTTATCTAATGTGAGGATACTACACTTGAATCCTGGATTGTATGGATTGAGGGTGCACAGTTTGATTTAAAGTCAAAGCCATACTAGATTTGTTGTGAATAAAATTATTATTAGAGAAAATCAGACTCACCTGTTGAGTGGCGAATCAGCTGATGATGTGTCCTCTGACAGTAGAAAACCAGCGTGTGCGTCTCTTCACTGCTCAGACTGCTCTGACTGTAAGAAGTGTGTTTCAGGGTTAACCTGTTAACCTGTCAGGTGGAGTGGATCACTGTCTCACTCATCCTCATTGGCTGACTGGACGGTAAGCTCCTATGCCGCCACATTGCACATAAATACTTACGAGTGTGTTTCTAATTTAGCCTCCATTATTCAACCTCCCACTGAGAGGATCGTCCAGAACACTTAACAAGCTCTCTAGAAGCTTCCCCTACACCGCGTCTGTGAAATTATACAACCAGATTTAAACGTCATTGCATAACAAGCCACGGGAGGCCTTTACCACAGTGACCTGAACAAACACAAGCAGATAATGCTCATCTTTTCTAAGCATTATGTTTTTTTTTTATTAAATAACCATCAATGACACAAAAAAACTACATTTCCCAAACAGCGGCATGAGTTTTTCCACATCCGAAGGACAAATTTTCCTTCATTTTTTTGTAAAAGACAGGATACAAAAGGCAAGCAAGTCTTAGGAGTCACTAAAAATACAAGCATGCACACTCTCAGAGTCACACGCACACACTTTCTGTTAGGTATTTTTAGGTACGGTGTAGGAAAACAGACAGGGTAAACACACACCAGGTTATGAAAATAACTTCTTTCGTCAGATTCACCAGCCAGTCAACAGTTTGTCTGAAATCAACCAGCCACTCTCATATTAGTGCTAATTTCCCACCTAGGAAACTTTCAAACAAAGGGCTGTACATGTGGAGAGAGACTTGTTGTGCTTTAAAATGCTCGTCATTCATTCATTCATTAAAACATTCTTCTATCAAAGATCCACAGCATTATTCACAGTCTTATAAGATTGAACTCTTTGTCATTCTTTGATTCATGTTTGGACAGCCCTGTCACCCTTTGAAGAAGGACGGTGAGAAAATCTCCATCTTTCCTGTGCTTTAAATCTCAACATGACATCTTTTTTATCTTACATAAGGCAGAGATGGAATGAGGACAGTGTTGCAGAAAAAAAGATGACGACAGAAAAAACTAAGTTTTTTTCTTTTAAAGAAACAGTTTGACATTTGAGGGAAAAAAGGTTGTTTTTGCTGAGAGTATTCAGAAGTTTAACGTCAGTTTTATATCAAATTTAACATATCAGTAATACAAGTGGCTGCAGAGAGGCTATCTCATTTTATTTTTACAGTCCTGACAAAAAAGCCACCATAGCTACCTGAAGCTCATGATTTCTGCACAAACATTTGAACATGTTAAAGAAGTAGACTCATTTTGATCAGTGACCAGGCCAGGCTCGCTTTTTTTCCCCTGTAGCCAATAGGTGCTGTGTTTATGAGCTGCTGCTGGTGATATTAGAGTTAGACTGACTAATTAGTTTAATGGCATTTTAAAATAATCAGCATCTCGAGGCCGATTGAAAACACAGTCAAATCATGTCTGCAGCCTCATCAGAGTGGCTGCTGATGAGTAATGTTAGGGAAGGAGTGAAAAAAGAGAGTATGTGTTGTCTCGTAACTCTCATGCACCCTGCAGCAAATACTTTAAACATCTTACCACTGCCACTGTTTAGCTTACAACACAGATATCTACTTCATATTTTTCTATTTCATCAATCAACATAAAGGATCTGTTTTTGTTCTTTTTCATTAAATGTCAAACTGTTCTTTAGATTCAATCATGAAATGTCTTCAACATTCAGCATGAATAACATCAGAAAGACCATGGGAACATTCTTCTTTAACCCCTTCCTGTGGACTCTGAGCTGTTATAGAAGTGAAAGGGTGATTATATCCCCAAATCATAAAGAACCACAAAGGCACACTCTTAAATGTGGAGTCTGTATTGTATCTGCTCTCAGGCTTTGACTGTTTGCATTGGGTCTCATATTTGTTGTGTTGTAGCTTCAGTATGTTTTTGTTGGTTGTTAAAATAAACAGGATATCTCTCTGCTTCTTTGTGCTTGAAAAAAACCTCTCACAGGCACATAAGTATGACCATATAATGTGACTTTGTTGTGCTTGAACTTCATTTTAGGTATCAGCATGTAAACGGAGACAGAGCAGGGCGTCTCATTCTAGGAAATACTTCATTATAAAATGACTCAGGAGAGAGGGGATGTCTTTCTTTGTGAACAGGATGAGACACAGAAGAAAAAGCATGAAGGGATTTGGCCTGAACACTCTTCACAAGACTGCTTCAGTTGTCTGAACTCTTGACTATTGCTGAGTAGAAAACACAGTTGAGCATGTTTCAGTCTGTTTGTTTGAGTAAGTGGAAGGTTTTAAAAAAGGAAATCCATGCAGAGGCAGGACTCAGAGGAGGAGGAGGAGAGTCGCTGACACACGTTCTTGTCAGCTGATTCTTGGTCACTCATGACGGAGGGTGTGGTGATCGGGGGGGAGGGGTTTCACAGTTTGATTTAGGGATCACATACATGTTGCCCCCTCTGGAAGACAACTGAGCTGCTTCTCAATTATACACCGCAGATAAGTGTATCTACAGAAACACAAACAGAGAGAGAAAATATTATGATTTTTCATGTTTAAAAAAAAAATGTTAAGTTTAAATGTTGGATGTTACAGCTACACATGAGCAAAGTTTCAGACTGCAAGGTTAGTTTGTGTTGAAATATGAGATTTGCTTAAATTTTGGCATCACCAGACAGTGACTCTCCTCAAAAAGGACAAAATTGTCATTTTATAAAAAGACACACAACTTTTTGCATTGCAACAGTAAAAGAGGCTTCTAGAATGCTAGGTTCTAAAATGCTGGGGGGGTGGGGTGGTGGGGGTGGTGGTGGCTTAAAGGCACAGTGTCTTAAATGAAGCGTCTCAGACAGAGGCTGAAGTTCAGGGTTTTTTTAAAGACAGCAGTTTGAAATGTGTCGAGTTTGTTGTACTGTAAATCATGTAAAGCTGCTAAGAGGCTATCAGAGGGACAATATAAAGACAAAAAATAAACATAATACTCCCTCTTTTAAGGTAAATTTGAAAAATGTCCATCAAAACACATCAAAAACAAAGCAAAGGTAGGTTTTTTTTACCACCTTAAGACTATAGCCAGAGTCTGCCCGTTTCTCTCCCAGGCCAGCACCAGTGATGCTATAACCCCAGTTTTAGCATCGCTGCATTGGCTCCCCGTCCATTTCAGGATTATTAGTTTTTAGAAGTATTAATGGTCTTGGCCCCTCCTATTTATCTGACTTAGGCACAGGCCTTTTAACCTTACCTAAAGTTAAAACAAAAACCCACAGGAAGGCAGCTTTCAGTTTCTATGGTCCCCGGCTGTGGAACAGCCTGCTGGAGAGCCACAGGGCCGCAGAGACTGCTGATGTTTTTAAGAAGAGGCTCAAGTCTCACCTTTTTAACCAGGCTTTTTACTAACTGCCTTTTCATATTTCTCTTATTGCCAATGTTTATTTTAATCAAAGTTCTTATTGTTTATTTTATGTCATTTTATTAATTATCTCTGTTCTTAGTCTTTTTCTTAATTCCTGTCATGGAGGTTTTTACTTCTTTTACCCCTTTTACATGGTGTAGAGCTCTTACTTATCTGTATTATTATTAGATTATCATCTATATTATCATTAAATATTATTTTCTTGTTTTACTCTTTCTTTTTACCATTTTTCATCCTTTGATCTCCAGTGTTTCCCAAAGGTAGCTCTTTCCTCACGTAAAGTCTCGGTGTCAGGCCATGTCTCTTAAACAATATATCTTCAATTCTCGCACTATGTGCGCTTGTCCCTATGTATGTGTGGGTGAGTGAGGGTGGGTGTGTGTCTTTGTGTGTATGTGGGTCCATGTGTGGGTGTGTGGGTTGGAGGTTCGTGTTTTATTGTTGTTAACTGTTGTTTTTAGCCTCTGTGAGGCACTTTGAACTGCAATTTTTTGTCTGAAAAGTGCCATAAAAATAAAGTTGAATGTTTTAGAAAGCCAGAGATGTCTCCAAATATCTTGATTTTTTTCCACAGAAGTTGTTGACTCTCAAAAAAGCTAAAATCTGAGAATAATCCAGAAATAGACAAAGTAATTGATTCAAACTGTTGATTAAAAAAACATTCATTGCAGCCCCACATGTTGGTCTGCAAAAACACTGACCATAAACTATGATGAACACAACTCTGTGGGCTCCTATGAGACCTGATAAATATGTTTCGGTAGATATTAACAGCAAACTTTATTCATTTATTGTTTTTTACCTTCTCCTGAGTTTCTGCACTTCTCTGTCCTCCTCCTCCTTCAGTTTGGTGATGAAGCTCTGTAGGACAGGCATTTCAAACTTGATGTACTGTGCCACCTGGTGGAGAGGAGGGGAAACATCATGACAAAGCACAAAAAACCTGCTGAGGGATACAAAAACATACAGGGGTATCTCTCCAAATCTCTGCATCAAAATCTCTCAGTTAAAATGCAGAAAGTATTCTTGGTTCTTTACGTCATATGTGACTTCTTCCCCCAGATCCTCTTCCATGAGGAACACCTTGCAGACCTGCTCACATGGACCCTGCATCACTCTCAGTACCAGAGGATAGTCACTCCGCTTCAGTTTCACACGCTCTGAAACATAAACAACACAGAGTTTGTGATACAGGGGACATAAAACAACCATATGTGATGTTCATAAACATTTATCTCTGAGGAAATCAAAATAAATCCCACTGACCTCCACTGGTATGTACGAGGTAGAGAGCAAAATCATCTGGGCTGTTTTCAATTTTAAACTTGTTGAGGAGAACTCGGAGCACCTGAGGCGTGGTCATGCAGCTGTTGATCCGCACGTTTGTCACTGAGCCGTACGCAGGAGTAAACACAGCTGTCTGAGGAATTTAACACATGGTTTATTTCTTTAGATCTCATATATCTCTGCTATATATCCTCAATGACTATCTTCGTAAACTTTTCTTCAGTGGCATCAAACTCTCCAAAACTACCATGCTTCACTTGATAACATGCTGGTTCTTAAATTGTACACTATTCTGATACATATTGCAGCTTCACCTTGTGGTTATAGAAGTGTCCGTTGATGGAGAAGCGATGGCGTCTTATTTTCCTCTGGTCACTCGGTGATCGTCGCTGCCCTCTTCTTAACACCCCGGCATCACTCTTGGTCCTGAGGAGCTGAGCCGAGCTCTCGTTGTCCTCTGCCCAACAAGCAATCACTACATCAGGTTATTCAAGATGAAAGGAACGATTTAAGTTATGAGTTTCTGAACAAGAGTGATAGGAGATGCCATGATGTATTTAATTCATCTTAAAGGGATATTCCGACATAAAATTAGGTTGGGGTCAAACACACCGTAACACAGAGTTAGACACCCGTCGAGAAATGAATGTTGCCGGCCGCTTGCTTCTCAAGTAATACCAGCTTCAGCATCCACCGCAAGATAGCACAGTGGACTACATCTCCACATGCAAACCTCAACCAAAACGCCACTCTATATTCACAAATAATGCTCAGAACAGCACCTAACTTCATCAACAGTACATACAGGGTCCCAGCCATAGTACTAGCCACCAAACATCATCTTTTCTTTAGCAAAGAGACCAAACACAACTCACCCACTCTCTTCCAGCAGCCACTTATTTGTGGGGGGAGCCCTGACAAGTCGATCACCGAGTGCAGTGGAGTTTCGCGGCTCAAGGAAGAACATTTATGATTATTACTTCATGGAAATGCAATCAGACCGAGATGCTAATGCAGAAGAACTACTGCGTCTGCAGTGCAAAATGATTATTTTGATGATTATTACTTCAAGGAAATGATCCGCTGCACTCTGTGATTGACTCGTATGGGCTCCCCCCACAAACAAGCAGCTGCTGGAGGAAAGTGGGTGAATTGTGTTTGGTCTTCTTGCTAAAGAAACCAGGCAAAACTGTTACTAAAGTTGGTATAACTAGAGAAGCGTCTAACTCGTTGTTACGGTGTGTTAGGGTCCCTAACTTGATTTTACGCCGGAATATCCCTTTAACACAATCAGGGAGTGGAAGTGAACCTGGGTTCATAACCTCTGTAGACCACTAGGTAAGTGGCACCCAAACAGGATCTTTATTACAGCCAGAGGAGTTCTTTAATCATCAGTTCTTACTGTGAACCTTTTTGCAGATTCTTCCATTCCTGAGGAAATCCAGGTTTCTGTCTAACCCTGGGACACATGTGAAAGCATCCATTTGTAACCAGAGATCAGCTTACCCTCTATGTGTTCGGTCATCACGCCGTTATTCTCGGGTTGGCTTTCAGGTGGCGTCACCTCCACTGTGGGCGGGCTCTGCTCTGTCGTCTGCTGCCCGTCTGTGCTATTAGGGGAGCTTTAAACATGAAACTAGAGCTGTAAAAACAGAGCTGAAAGTGTTTTCTAGATACAAACTTTACATTCAACATCATATGCCATGTGTGAGAAACACTCTTAGACTAAAGTGAGGCAAGTAGCAGCGCAGAATAGTCCAGTTAATTTCACTATTTAGTTCATTGTTAGAACCTGGGAGAGCTGTCCATCTTTATTTTTATAGTTTGAGATTTTCTGACATGAGTTTTAGCATCATTGTCTCTTAAAGCAGCTGTACTAGTATGTATTCAAGGGCTTCTGCAGCCATATCTATTAGAAAAAAGAAGAAAAAAACTACACCTCTACTCCACTGTAAACACTGCTGACCAACACATGACCCAATTAAAAACAACCTAACTCGCACTGAGGCTTATTTGGCGACTTCAAGTTCTCTTTCACGGAGTGTTTGTGAATTTCGGTCTATTTCCTTTAAGCAGATTTGTGCCTGAAACATCCAGCTTCATGAACTTAAGCCCTGTTATCCAGAGATAACAAAGCTCCTCTGATAGATGGGATTAAAGAGCTGAAGTGAGGCTTCCATCCTTTGAGTCAAATTGATTTGTGGTGGCTTCAGGCGAAATCCGAAAACGGAGCCAGAGGTGTTGGTAGAAATAATAATTTTCAGTTGAGAGATGCCAGCTGGTGTTGTATCAAAGAAAACTGGAAGTCAATTATTCAGATGTTGCAGTGAGTTGAGAATTTAAACCAACCTACATGGACGTAAAAACAGGCACATATTACTGGATTTCCCATCAGGAAACCGAGAGATAATCTATATCTGCATGTCACTGACCTACTCTCTACAACCATTTCCGGTCAGCAGGGTGTAAGTGGATCTGTCTGCACCTCTTACCCTTGACTGTCCAGATTGCAACCCGAGTGCCAGGACGTAGAGGAGGGGGGTGGCCGGATTCGCTCGTGGTCGTCCTGCATCTGAAGCCTGATTGGTCGCCGCAGGCCCCAAAAGATATTCAGTAAGCCCTCCACAATCAGCTCCCCCTCTTCCTGTTGGCAGACAGGAGCCGTGATCAATATTGACTCAGACACATAAACACAGAAAGGACGGCTATTACCCCTCTGGGATGGGAGAATAAAGGAGAGGGGGTATTGGATTACACATGACTTAAAAAGGAGTGACAGGAAGTGGCGAATAGCGGAGGTTTCAGGAGGAATAAAACAGAAAAGAAAGAAATGTTCACCTCTCTGTGTCTGAGCTGCAGATTCTGTCCTTCATAGTAGAGGTTGTACGTCTTGAGATGTGAGAGGACCGTTACCCTGGAGACAGAGATACAGAATGATTAAAGAGGAAATGATAGTTGAAAAAAAAAGCTTTCTGGTTGTTTCTATTATTGTTGTTTCTCACTTGCTGATGAACTTGTTCTCTCCGATCTGAACCCCGTAATCTGTGTCATCCATTTTCAGTCAGCATGAGAGGAGCTGAGAGACAAAGAAGCAACACAGAGTTAATAATTCTCATCCGTCTGATTCAGTCTCATGACTCCTCATGACCTGCAGCGAGCAGAACGAGGACGAGGAGAAAAGAGAAAGAGGGAGCAGTTTGAGGAGGAGGAGATGCAGCTCCTCCACACAGTAAACAGTAACAGCAGATCATATCAAGCTTCCTGTCTGTGCGTTTCCGTCAACATACAGATCAACTCCTCCTCTACTACCAGCTTCTTCTCCTGTCACCACTCTGACTAGTCTCCACTCATGTCTCTGTCTGTCTTTTACACATGAACACTCAAAAAGCACAAACACACATACACACACATGCAGCTGTTTTACATGGCACTCTGCCAGTAACACCCCGAGGAGAGATTTCCTTCCCTCTTTGCTGCGTGTTGTGTTTGTGTATGTTTGTCTTTGTGTGTCTGCAGACGAAGCGGGACAGAAGCCTACAGGAAGGAGGCGAACAGGTGCAGCACACATGGGCCACCTGCAGCGCCAAATCGTGTCAGCTGCTCCCTGAGCAAAAGAGAGAGAGAGGTAGTGGCAGGACACAATACTGCATTCATCTGGTTTTGCAAAAAGTGCTCCCTTGAGATTCCTCCACGCCTGAAATTATGGTGCTAAGATTAAAGACGCATATCTGAAAAAAAAAACAAAACACTTAATTCCGGCGTAAAACTAATTAAAGGTCAAGCACACCGTAACACCGTGTTAGACACCCCCTTGAGAGATGAATGTAGCCTACCGCTTGCTTCTCTAGTTATACCAACTTTAGTAACGACCACACGATAGCGATACACTGCGGTCTACGTCTCCACACGTAGACCGCAACCAAAATGCCACTCTATAGCCACAAATAAGTTTCAGATCAGCACATGACTTCATCAACAGTACATTTAGGGTCCCAGCTTTGCCTAAATTTTTAAGAAAAGAGACTAAACACAGCTCACCCACTCTCTTCCAGCAGCCGCTTGTTTGTAGTGAGACCTCAACGAGTCCATCATCGACTGAGGCAGGGGGGCGCAACTCAAGGAAGAACATTTATAATCATTACTTTATCATTTCCTTGAAGTAATAATCACCATATTGATCATTTTGCACTGCAGATGCTGTAGTTCTTCTGCCTTAGCGTCTCAGTCTGATTGTATTTCTATGAAGAAATGATCATGAATGTTCTTCCTTGAGCTGGATACAGACACTCCTCACAGCCTGGTTGTGCCTCTAAATAATTTTAAGACTGGGTTTTCTTTTCAAAAAAAAATTGTGTACTGTTTGTTGTTGTGTGCTGAATCAAGTCCTTTCAGGAAGTAGGTCAAGTTTGATGACTGTCTAAACTAAGGGAACGCAGTGAAGCCACATTTTATTCAAGTGAGAACAAGACAACTCTTTGCTCAGGTTGAAGAAAAGACGACGTTTCGGGCTGAAAAAATATGTCAGCGTTGACTTGCCTGGCAAATAAAGACTTGAATAACCCAGAAACAAAGTCATGAACATCTTACCGTTGTGTAGACTGTGTGATGTTGTTAAGCCACCTAAACGAACGAGCTAAAGATGTAGAGGCAGAGGTAAGACAAGCGCTTTAGTCCTTCAGGTGCTGGTTTTTAACAGCCTATTGGGGTCTTTTCATGGCGGCGTGACAGCAAACAGATGAGGTTAGAGCTGGGGTATTAAAAGGAAGTGCTCCCCTTCCGCTAAATCACTTCCTCCTTTGCTCAGTAAGTCACACAGGAAACTGTCACTGGCCTTTACACACCCTCAAACTTCCTCAATTTAAGATGCTCTGACGAGTTATCAGACTCATACTCACACACAAACACAGACATGCTCAGATGAAACTGATAACCCGCACTTCAATTTGTTCTCTTTCCTCATAGACACAAACCATCCCACCTACTGTAAACAAACATGGTTAGTGAAGTAATGCAGCAGCTTTACACACTCAGTGCTGACAGCTCAGGCTGTCAATCTCTAAAATAAATGTGTTCAATAGTTGTGGAAGAATTAAATATTAAACACCAATCAGCCCAGAGCCCCTGCCAAGGTCTATTAATATTTCAACACCTATATTAGCTCTGTCAGACGCTCAAAAGCTAACCATTCCACGGCACAATGGAGATCATTAGTCTTTAATGGTGCGGTCGTGGTCAAGGCCAGCCGTGATCATAGTGGGTGAGGTCAGTGGTCATAGACAGACATGAAGCGATCAGCTGGAATTCTCTGGCGAGTCAAAAGACCAAAGTGAACTTGAAGTCAACTTCATTTGTCATCTGATAACAACAATTAATCGCTGTCCTGATATCACCTTAAGAAACGAGAAAAACCATCTAGACATTTAACGGGTAAAGCTGCAGTTAGGAAAGCCTTCCTGTTGTCAGAGATGTGTTTTCTGGTGGGAGATATCTGCTGAGAAACACGTTTTTTGGGCTCAATGTGTGCGTTTGTTTGATATCATCCAGAGGGGATTTCTTCAGCTCCAGAGAGCTAAAAAATCCCCCAAGCTGGGAGACATTTTAGCACAATATTGATATCATGAAGGAAAAAAGTGTTTGATTTGAATAAAGCTTTGTCTCTCTGTTGCTGTAAAGACTATTTCAAGACAGACTAACATGTGGACACTTCATTTCCAGTCTCAAAATGATATCGAAGAGTTTGTTTTCGACTGTTGTATGATATATTTTGAAGAGTTTAAACTCCAAACACAAACATGAACATAAGAGCTTTGAACAAAACTGTGTCAGTGATTTAAATCAGCTGTTGTCTAATAAAGAACCTTAAATCTGAGCAGACCTTAGATTTCCAATTTCTACTAAAATACACAAAACGTATTAAGGTTTAATACCAGCTTCCAGGAATATCATCAGGATTTAAGGTATCCTGTGGTTGGGAGTCAAAATCACTGCAAAGCAAACCTCATCTCTTTCACAGTCATCAAAAATATTCTTTACTGCTGTTTAAGCTTTTTCTGTACATAACTGTTGTCAGCTTTACATATAAAGTCCATTTTTCTACAGCCTAAAAGGAATAAAATCATGAAATATTAAGTTTAAAAATACATTATTTGGCCCCAGAAGGACACCAAAGTCTGTTTCGTGACTTAAGACGCCAAGTTGTCCCAAGAGTTGCAGATGCTATGACCAAAGTACTGCAACCATAATCGTCCAAAAGACTGCATGACTACAAACCCGCAGTCATAACCACTAAGCTTAATTTTGATTTTGTTAGAAGCTAGAATATTCCCGAATACTCTATTTATACCGAGAGTATTCCCAAAACATCGCTGCCGTAGAGACATCACCGATCAAATTTTAATCTGGATTTTACAGACCAGCCACAGCAGACAATGTAATCCATTAAATTATGAAATTTCTCCAACTGGTTTGATTAATCATTGCAGCTCTGTAGTAGTCTGTATTATTGTTGCTGTTAAGGATTAAACCTAATGCAGTCGTGGTATCACAGCAAACAGCAGTGAAATGTGTTGTCAGCTGTCCATGCAGGACTGTGTCTCTGTGGAAGTGATCAGTGAGACATCCAGACGACAGAAAGCTGCCTCTGTTTTTTGACAGCAGCTCAGAAATGCACACAGGCTGACCTGCAGATAACCCAGTCCGGTTTCAACACAAGGGAGTTCATCGCTGTCCTAAAGCAGACCTCACTGACTTCCCAAATCTCTCCTGACTCTCACAGCAACACCAGACAACCCTCGACCTCTATCCTTCCACTATCATCCATATCTGTTTATCTCTTCCTTCTTCGTCTGTTCAGTGTTTGCTTTTGGTCCTATTTTTCTGATTAGTGAACTCTTCCCTCTCTGCTGCTGTCTTGTCTGTTTTCCTCATTCCGCTTCCTCCTCCCTCTTCTTATGAAAGACAAGAAAGGCCCGCACCATGCTAGTAAAACTCATGACCACTACTTCCTGACTGCCCCCCCCTCTCAAACTCACACACACACACACTCTCTCTCTCTTTCTCTGTCTTTCATTGACACACATGCACACTTGTTGTCTGCCCTCTTGCCCCGTTGCCTCTGAACCTCCTCTGTCAAAGTCTTTGGCTGAAATGAAAGATGAATGGCTCCAAACCTCCTCCTGTCCGCTTTAAAACGCACCGCCACTCCAGCCTCCACATTACTCGTGCTCTGCCTCAACTATTGTCAGCATTGTCATAGCAACATGGAAAACATCTAAGCTCCAGAAACTAGCCCACAACATAGAGCCAAAAATAGTGCGTGTTTGTCTCTCCTGCTCCTTGTGAGGCATACTGGGATTGTCAAAAGTGTTGCAAAGCTTGATATGAATCTACATATGGTGTGCAGAATCTTCAGATCCAGTGGAAAATATTTCTGGAGTTGACTAGTGAGCTGAAACGATTAGTCAATCTGCAAGGAATTTATCTGCAAGGACAAAGCAAATGCTGCAAAAAAAAAAAGCATTGGAGAGTGAGAACTTTTGGTTTTCTCAGCAATCTATAATGCTAAAAATAAATGTCTGGGGTTTTGAGATGTTGCAGTGCACTAAAGAAAATAATCCTGCACTCAGTTAAAACTTGAAGCTGTGTAGAACATCTGTGCAAAGATCTCTCATGTGGAGTTCACCATATGAGTCTATCAGCATTAGTTTCAGCCAAGTGTGAGCAAAATAACAAACTGGCATCTTAGAGCTCATTGCTTGCCAAGAAATTAGGTATTCACTTTTATGCAGAGAGGGTCTATCCTAAGCTCTGCCTCTGTCTAGCCAGTCTTATCTGTGCAGAGAGGAAACCTAACTGTCTACTTACTCGTTATGTAACATCCTTTACTAATGCATTGCCATTAACACTATTTAATATAAACATATGCGGTAAAAGACGGGATTTATATCCATTACTGTTCAAGACTGATGCAGAAACAGCGCATTAAGTAGTACGGAGCCTGTCTAGCTTCATTGAGTGTCATACAAGTACGCCACATATTCACGACTCTCGGTTAATGTATCTCTCCTCCGTGCTTTCAGAGATAAATCTTATTGTGCAGCTTTATTCTATCTTGTCAACAAATGGCTAACTTCTGTAATTCGTCCGAACAACCCCGGTGTCAAACTACACCCAGTCAAACCCGTCACATCAACCCCATCATCACGACCAGCCTACGGAGCCACACCGACGCTGCTGTCTGATTCCTGCCGACTTTGGAGAGCATAACTCGGCTTACCAAACCCGGGGGGACGCAGGCTCTCCGGTTCTCCTCTCCCAGCTCCAGCGCCGTCTTCCTTCTTCCCTCTTCCTCCAGTTACCACGGCTCAACTCTCCGTTAACCGTAAACTCCTCCGCTCCCTGTTCAGCCGCTGGTAACAATCACTGGGGCGCGTGCATCCAAGAGCTGGCGCAAGAGGGAGGAGGAGGAGGAGGAGGAGAGCGCGAGAGGTCCATCTGTTGTGGCGGAGGAGCTCGCGGCACAGCAGTGTTGGGGCCCCCGGCCGGGAGCCAATCAGAGAGCGACCTTGACGCCCCTTTGTTCACGCTGCGTGCTGAGATGAATGAAAACATGAAAACAATAGGAGAAACAGACATGCGCACAACACCAGCACGTTGAATATAATCAGGCAGTCACTGGTGTTCAAGAGAAACCAGGAGCTCGTCCTAAAAGAAACTTCATATATGTGTGAAAGATTATTCTAGAAATAAACAAACACGACAAGCTTTTCCAGATATTTAGAGGTTCAGTATGGACTGAAAGGGCCTCTGTAAATATTCAGTAACTGTGAAGGGTTATTTTACTGTATTTTGGCTCGTTCTTGTTCTTGTTTTCACAATAAAAATAGGATTCTTCTTCCAAAAAAGTTCCAAAGAAACTAGGGGTGAGTCTTCATAAAGCTAACGGAAATTTTGAATCAATGCCAGTTTGTATTTAGTTTCCACTATTATTCAATAAAATGATCAAGCTTGGTATTATTAATTTTTTATTTAAAGTGCATGCATTTGCTCTGTATTTGTCACACATAGGGTAGAGTGGGGTAAGTTGAGCCACCTCCTGTTGCCTGGAAATAGTAAAAGAAATTGATCATGTGACCAAATATTTAGGAGATGGGCATTAATTCATTGAGTCTGTGAAGGTTAGAAGCACATGAAGGGGTTAGACATTTATTTACAAAAAAGACATTTTTCACTCTTAAAAGTGAATTTAGTCTGTCATAAGTTTTATTAGAATTGTGTTCAGACCAAAAAAATATCATTTTAAATTTGTTTTATACATCAATTGTGGTATCTATGAGCTACAACATGAGGACAAAACCTAACATTAAAGTCCACCATTTTAGCTTAGAGGACTAATAAAGTCATCATAGTCGTTCGGGGGTAAGTTGAACCACATGCTCAACTGAGAAAGTAAAGGAGTCTGATGAGAGGATCAGAGTTTCAGATCAGATTGTTGAAATGTCTTACTTTTTCTCTTTTAAAATACACAGCTGTGAATGTTCTGAATAGTTAACTTACCCCATACACAGGGTGAGTAAGTAATATATGCAAATACACTAGTTAGAGACAAAACTATGATTGCCTTGATGTAGTGATCCGAAATATGAAAAATGGCTCATCTTACCCCACGGGCCCAAGATGTTTGGGCCCATAACAGGTTTGTAGAACCCTAGCAAATCTGTTATGCATTGACTTTACTGCTGCTTTTGATGTTTCAAGGTTTTAGGCCAAAAAGGAACATTAATCATGACTTGCAACCCTAAAATTGAAGTAATTACATGAATTTTATGCATAACAGAACCCATGTTGCATTGTCGCCCAAGGGATGTCAGACTCTTCACTAAAATCAGAGCTTTAGTGACTAAAGGGGGTGTAACTGCATGCCCTTCAGCAGAGTGCCACATAACTTTTATTTACTTTCTCTTTACTGCGTTCAGGGTCAAAATAAATCAAACCATTTTTGTTTTCCTTTCACAACGTGAAAGTCTGGATTATTGTGGAAAATACTGGTGATGAATAATAAAGACAACAGGCAGTGTTCATTCAGTAACATCTTATTAAACTGTTTTAGGAACAGAGCATAAAACATTTTGTTGCTACAATGTTTACACAATTTCTCTTCCAGAAGGTTTAGCAAACTTTACTCCATTAAATATACATTTTTTTCTTGTTTTTTTACAACATCTGCTTAAAGTTTCTCAGCTGTTCTTTCATTTATACTGGTAATGTGTTAACATGAACAGAAAGCAATGTTAGAGTAAAAAAATACAATATGAAAAGGTCCTAACAAACAAAAAGATTCCACCAAACCACTGATTGGATTAAAATGTATTGACTTTTAAAAAAAAGTACAACAAAATGGTGCGATTCCAGCATGATTTAAGATTAAAAGTTATGATTTCTTTCTTACAAATATTTGCTTGCAAAAACATGAAAACGATGTATAAAAAACAGAAACATTGAAAAAGATAAACACTTAATACATAATAGTATATTCTTCAGGTAGGACCCCCTTCAAAATAACTGAAAGGGATTGATGTCTTTGTGTTACACACCTGATGGCCACCTTCTTAAGAGCCACCTGTTGGTTACGCTGACTTTTACTGAAATCGAGCCAGAGAACCGTCCAGAAGAAAGCCAGGGCTATGAGATCCAAGGTGTTTCACTGTAAAGTTTAACATCCATGTGAAAAATATATATTTATGTGTGTAAAGGACTCTAAATAAGACACTAAGTACGGTAAAAACTGGTAGGTCAAAGTTAGAAACAAGAGGAAGCTGCCTTTGAACACAAAGACATCCAATGTTCATCGTAAGGCAGATTTACTCAGTCGCTGAGGACTTTCTTTACGGCTCTTGAGAGAGGTGGCCACAAGGTGTCATCTCCTGTGTTCAGAAACATTAACAGTAAGAGCTCCTATAGGTAGAAAACCAGGGACACTAAGCATGAGACGACATCAAGATCACTGCAGGTCTTTGGGGCAGGGGGGTTGAAGAGAGAGAGTGCAGAGGGAGGAGAGGATGTGATGGAAATAATAAGTGCTGGTTAGATGGACATGATACGACAGAAAACAAGGTCACAGGATAGGTTTGTGATTGTGATTTGTGCATGCCACATACCAAGAGTCTGCTAAAAGAGGTGCCAAAACTGTAAAAACAGTTTTCAGTTTTCTCTCTCTCTCTCCCTCTGAGGAAGGAGACACAGTAGGCTGCAACCGGGAGGCTGGTGCGTTGTCATCAAACAACCTATTTTGCAAACACCTCCTAACACTGTTTTTATCCAGTCCTACACCCTGCCAATGTTTCAAGAGGAAGGCTTTTGAATTATAGTGTCTGCCCACATCAGAGGTCACTGGCTTGCCCCCTTTTGTGACTTCAGTGCTTGTAATGTTTGAGTCAGTCAGACAACAAGATGAAATCTGTAAACTTGAAATCTGCAGATGTGTCTGGGCCTTTTAAAGCTCAGGCTCAGGTTTCCTTCTATCCTTATAAGGTCAGTCCAATCACAGGTCCTCCATGTTAACTCTGAGGGGGGAACTTTTAGGAGGTCCATTTTGGTAACAGCAGATGATGACAAACACATTTAAGTACAAAAGGAAAGTCAGCTTGAAGAGTAGAGTGGAGAGCAAGTCTGTGACATGTTACATTTTTAACCTTGACCACATCCAAAGTAAACATATTACCATTCTGGGCATGTAGTAAACATCTGCCAACAATCCCCTCTGAAATGTTTTTATCTCAGTGAATCCCACATCAGTGGGTACAGTGTTCAAGTTTTATTTATTTTTTCACGGATGTTGGCTTGGGGAACACAATGCAGTTGAATCATTAGTGTAAGATACCAATGAGGTCATAAACGGGGCTAAACTAGCCATGATATCTTAGATTTAGGCCCAAAATATTTAATCCGAAGATGATGCCACCTGATTTCTGTCATCAGACAGAAAAAAAAAAATCTTTCTTGACCCGATTTCTGGGTAAGCACTCTCTGGTGACATTTGAGGGTCACAGGTTGGTGAGCATAACTCACTCTGAACCTGATGTTCTTGGCACCGTTACATGTGCAAACAGTACTTGTAGTAAAAAGGCCCTGACTCTGACTCAACTATCCAGTTCAATATCTTAAAGTGTTTTTCTCTTGTTTGTAAAAACATCATGCAGCTAATGGAATGAAATCGAGACAGCTTGTATTAAAAACTCTCTTTAGAAAAAGCTGCTGAACATCGACTGTAGTTGAGGCTGAGGGGCGAAGGAGCAGCGGTCAATCATCTTCACACTGATTTCTAAAGGAAAACGTAAAGTCATAGATATACTTTCAATATTGTGCAACTTATACATAAACCTGCTTCAAGCACTTATTTAACATAAACTCTCTTCTTATAAATAAATAAATAGCCTGAAAAAAAGTTAAAAGAAAAACTGGGATGACATTTTGAATTGCCAATAGTTAGAGAAAACTTTTGGTATATGGTAACAGAACATCAGGAGAAATGAACAAAGAGTCTTAATCATTTTGGTTCAGTAGAAAATCTCTGCTGGGCTCAATATTTAAAAGTAGTTTTCTAGCTTAATTTCCACATTTACAAAGATTATAATGCTGCAAATTTGTCTCTATCATAAATCTTTTTAAACATCTATGTATAATTTGAATGTAAACGCCTGAGGCACAGAGTGACGTCAAATTAGACATTTGTCCTTCAGGGTCTCTGTTCATTAAGGTACGTACTGCTAATGCTCCGCGACTGTGGGTTTGTACACCAGTTTTGCTCAACTACATGCCAGAAATGAACAGCATCACAAATAAGCATGGAACTGAGTCTGGGTGGGATAACAGCAGGAGGTGCACAGGTGACAGAGACGAGCGGGAAAGGAGGGAGGGGGGAATGTAAAGTCCTCAAAATGATTAAGTCAGTGATAGGTAATAATGACATCAATAAAACTGTGAAAGGCTGCAGCAAAAACACACACCACATCTTTAGTCAACTAAAGAATGACATTAAAAACCTTCCAATCCTTTGATATATCCCAACTAAACCACCACTCTTACCTATCAGTATAATAATGCGGTGGCTGACTGAATGCACACATGCAAGAACCAACCAATTCTGGATCGTGGAAGGGGTGTAATATTTCTGTTGCAGCCTTAATAAATCCTACATTAACACACATTTCTGCTTAAAGCAGAGCACAACTGACGGCTTAAACTGAGGGAAGACCCAATCAGAGGATCAGAGACCTCCGCCTGCCGTCACATGATGAACATTTAAAGCAACACTGAACAACTATTCCACTTTTACATAAACCTCAAAATAATCCATTTATGGTAAACTGGCTTGTTAAAGAAGGATGATGCCTCTTTTGTTCTGAATCTGCTCCTCAAACACCTGTCCCCGAATGATGTAATCTGGATCCAGCAGAAGTGTTTTCTCTACCACTGTCTGGCAGAAACCCATGAAGGCAGATTCCTTGTAACCGGTCTAGGTCCGGTGTTGGTGGACAGAGGAGAAGAGTCAGAAGAGAACACTGAATGTGAAAACTACAGAACAAGAGTCCGGACCAGAGTAAACGTGGACTGGCAAACCAAAAAGATAGAGAGAAAAAAAAAAGGAAAGCCTTGTACAGTGTCACTGAAGTCATTTTGTAATCCAAATTCTTGGTTTTTATGTACACAACTTCTCTCCAAAAAAAGGCCTCTTGTCTGCGTAACTGTGCGCCATTGATATAATAAATACACTGCTGTCCTCAGGGAAGTAGAGACATTAATAAAAGCCAGTTATGTTTGAGAAGTTCCTGTTTAAGATCGTAAAAAACAACTATCAAATAAGAATGAATATCTTGCGGTTATCAAATAAAAATATACTGTAAAAATCGATTTTGTCTTTTGATGGAGTATAAAAAGGTTGAACCCTATCAGATGACTGGAGTAAAAATGGGTGTGTTCAAGAAGAATAGAGTTTTAGTCTGGTTGTAACTGATGCATAATACTTACAGACAACGGGTTGTGAACTGCTATGTTAAAGAGGAGAACTCCGATGTTCGGCTCTGTGCTGCGACAGAAACAGGAAATGCGATGTTTAGCATTAGATTAGCGGTTTTGATGTGCTGGTGAACGGGTCTCTGAGGAGTTTCACTGAAGAAACGGGGGCGAGTGAGCTGTGGAGTGACATTCTGGTTTACAACTCAAGAGGCAGATAGTGCAAAAATAAATTTCACAATCACTTTGCATGAGTAAGGGCACCTGACAAACCACTTCCATCAATCTGCATCACCCTGACGTGCATCGGAGTGCTCTAGCTAATTCTGGTGAGGCTTTTGGTGTGTGAGCATGTGTGCTTTTGTCTAACACGGTTGCATAAGAATCTCGAGGCAAATAATTCAGAGAAGAAACTTTGCATAATCCTCAATTGACGTAATAAAAAGCTACTGTGCTTTTTGTTGAATAGATTTTAGGGCAGTACACGTTCATGTGATCATCAAACATTCAGTCCGATGGTTTTAGTCTATCTGATCTGGATTAAAGTGCAAATAAATTAATGCACAAACCCATTTTTTTCTCTGTGCACACACACATGAACACACACCAACGAACCTCCCCCGTGGTGACATCTTTTGTAGCATGCTGTGACTTGCTGTAGCATGCTTTAAATAGCATAGTGGGAAGTGGGAAAAGACAGAAACGAGCTAAAGAAAACACACACTGGAAGGTGTGGGGAGGGGTTGGTGCATCGCCTTTCTTCCACGCAATCTTGAATCCTGCACCGCTCCTGTCCTCCACTTTCCCATCCTTTTCTCTTAGTGTACCATCCCTTGCTCCCCAAATCCAGCCACTCTCAGGACTTTTTTAGCAGCAACTCAGTGGCTATACCCGACTTTCCCCTGCTGCTGTGACCCCCTCCCCTCCGATCCCCCCTCCCTTCACTGAATCCCCATGTCCCGTCCTGCTCCTGCAGGCTTCCCGCATCCTCCCCCACTGGTAGCCCGTGAAGGCGGGACTTATGGGGATGTACTTGAAAATGGGATATCTCCGAATGAAGTCCATTCCAAAGGGCAGATCGTAAGACCTCATTCCTTCAAGTTCTGCTGTGCTGAGACCAGCACCACGTTTCAGCTTCCTGATGCCTCGTTCTTCAGGAGTACCTGAGGAGAGAGAAGGAAATGGGTCAATTAAATCTCTCCCTTTCCCTTTAATGTCTCTTTGTCTCTAAGGTGACCAAATGTTTTGGTCACGTGACACAAGACTTGACAGAATCTGACAGACTATGACTGAGAGCAGGATAAGTACAGCTCTGTAGATCACAATAGATCTACATATCTTAGATGTTTATGAAATTGAGGCACAAAAATGTGAATATGAATCAACAAGTACAAATAATAAAGAATCAAATCTAAATTGGGACTGTAAACAAAGACTGACAGCTATAGATTTTAAATGCAATCCTCAACTTTGATTATTGATTTGTCTGCCAGTTGACTATTGAGGTCATAATAGGCAACTGTGTTAACCCAGACATCATTCAGCATCTGTAAGTGCTCTGCAGAAATAGCTTCATCGTTAAGATTTTCAACACAACAAAAAAATGTGTGTTCCATCGCATCATCATTCATTTCATTCAACTATAAATACAAAGAGCAGAATGTTAAGTCATCTTCATAGTGGCACAGATGAAAAATAAATATAGGAGTGGTTCAGACATCTTACCAGGAATAGTATTGTCCAAAATGAAGGCGACTGAGCCCCCGACAAACATAGCAGTAGTGAGGAGCACATTCAAAACTTGGTCAACCTCAACAATTCCTGTCAAAGAGACGCAAAGTGAGAGCTTAGTAACTGACAGAAGAAAGCTGTTTTATCTGTCTGTTACAGTCGTGTTTTTATTTGAATTATTGAAGATGGCAAAGCCTCAAAGTTATTCGTCCTCACCTGTGACCAGTGGGTTCTGTTTGAGGTAGCTCGGCAGCATCAGACCGAAGAAGATGGAGAAACCCAGAACAAAGAGGTTCCTGGAGGAGTTGAGGTCAACAAACTGCAGGTTTGACAGTCCCACTGCTGTGATCATACCGAACAGGGTGCAGAACAGAGCTCCCAGCACAGGGTCAGGGAGAGACGCAAACAGGGCGCTGAATTTACCAATCAGCCCTAGCAGCAGCATCATAGCAGCTCCGTACTGAATCACTCGTCTGCTGCCCACCTGGGGAGAGGAGTCAGGGATTTCATAGTTCAACCACAACCGTATTACGCTGGTTAAGAATCATGAACTTTGCTACAAGTGACATGAAATAATATTTACTCTGTATTCAGCTGTAGTTTGATATTTTATTATACAAGCAATTGCTGTAAAAAGTAAAAAACAACAACTGACTAACAAACAAAACAGGCTATTTGAGTTGAGGTGAGTGTTACCTTTGTGATTCCCAGAACGCCTATATTTGGACTGGAAGATGTGGAGCCGTTTCCTGTCCCGAAAAGACCGTCCAGAACACAGGAAATGCCTTCGACAAATATCCCCCTTCACAGACGGTAGACAAACAAACTCATTAAAGCATCATCCAGACAGTAAATTGTCCGTGTGGAAAAACAAAGTGAAACTTTAGAGTCTCCTGTGAGAACAGAAATAAGGTAAACTGATGAGTCACCTATTGATGGCATGGATTGGGGGCGGAGGGGCGCAGGAGAGACGTGCACAGGCGTAGTAATCTCCGATCGATTCAATGATACTCGCCACGACCGCACTCATCATGCCGATCACACCAGCAGCTGTGACTGTGGGAAGACCCCACTGGACTGCAGAGGTAAAAACACAGTGATGGTAGTAAGAGAGAGTAAATATCTCTGTATATAATCTATGCAAAGTGAGGCGGGGTTTATAGCTGTATAAAACTCCCCTCATAATCTTTCAGTACCAGAGCCACCGGCAGATGAATATTTCACAGCGTAATGAGACCAGACATAGAGACCTTAATTCTTTTAAACATAATTAAATTTCATCTCCTCCTCCCCTCACACACTTACAGGGATACGGGATCTTAAACCACGGTGCAGCAGCCAGGATTCCTTGACGTGCGTCTGTGCGAGCGTAGAAGCCATACTTGTCCGTCTCTGGCGGGAAAACGTCCGTGACAGTAAAAATGAAACACAGCAGCCATGACACCAGGATGGCCATGATGATCTAGATGCAGGATCAAAAAAGACACATTAAAAATGGAAAATGAATCACTTTGAGTGTTGTCATAAAATATTATAGAATATAGTGAGGCTAACTTTGGTTACACTGAGACTGATGTTCTCTATTTGACACATGTAAGCTCCCTGGCCACAAGAGTTGCTCTGTGTTCACAGTCTCCCAGGCTCAGGCTTGCCGGCCGTCACAAAAGCAGGTCAACGTTCATATTTACAGTCTGGATGACCCATTACAAAACAACAGGGAGCCTTTTGGGCAGAAAGGTAAATGAGACAGCTACAATTCATGAACGCTGATTTAGGAGAGGTCCTATTGTTTCTCATATCACCAGCAGAGGGCAGAAAAAGACAGATTTACACACTGTATACGGGCTCTCAGAGGAAAACTCCTCAACTCTCCCTTTGAGAATTTTTGTTAAATAATTTGTAACTTGAAGAGGGAGCACAGTGTGCGGTGGAGGCAGGTGGAAAAAAACTAGGGTAGATTTCATTGAAGTGTGTGAAATATTTACTGGGAAAGACATGCCTTGTGTAAGAGACTCTACTGTATGCTAAAGAGTGTATGTGCTTTTTGAGTAAACAATGCACTTACAGGAAACATTTTGAAGACCTGCAGTCTATAGGAAGTCCAGCCTTTCTTGGCCTTGTAGACTGGGAGAGGGAAGTGAACGTTTCTGGCATACTGAGAGAAGAGCAGCACCAGGAAGATAGTTCTGTGGGTAGAAACAGCAGTCTTCAGATTGGTTGATCACAGTCAAAAAACACCTGTTACTTTCTGTTCTTTATATTCTCCCTGCTGAGAGAATCAGTCTGTATGAACAAATCCCATTTCCTCCCATCTACGTCTGACTGAGGCCCCAGAGGTTTCACCGCCAATCAATTATCCTAACTGCCTCAGAAAGTGCAAATCAGTAGCAATTACCGGCACATATCCTCTGTCCCTATGGAGCAAGAGGAGGTGCCCTCCAGCTACAGAGTAAACAGCAGTGACACAGCAGGAACTGATGTCACACCACCTGAACATTACAGCTTTGAGGCAGACCTCCATGTCTGAGTCATTACTCTGTCATAATCAACTACATTATACCCCCCAAAAAAGACTCTTTTTCATTTAGTATCTGAGGATCAGTTAAATTAGATTAAACTCCAAACTCATTATTGAACCAGAGCTTGATTTAAAAAAAAAAAACTCCTAAGTATTAATCACTTGGCTAAGCATGAGAAATCTGTTCCCACATGCATCCAACTGAGAGCAACGCTTAAAAAAATGTCCAGTCAGGTGCAGGGGTTTCCAGTGGCGACAGGTTTCCATAGCAGAACAAAACGGTTCATAGAAACCAGTCACGCCACTTCTGCAGTATTGTCTACTTGAACAGTAGATTTCCATCTTCCTCTTCAACATATGTGAGTTTCTAGTTAGCAGAAATCATTTTGTACAGCTGGATGGAGCTCAGGTGAGAAGTGTAACTTTTAAAACACTCTTGTTTTTACTTAAATGTACATTTGTCTGAATGACAGTCAGAACTTACAGCATTGCAATGCCCCAGTGTTTTCCAGCCCTTTCTCCAGCAGCCTGGAAACCAGACAGGCCAATGAGGGCCACTGTGGGGGTAATGGTTAGAGGTCCGATGTACTTTAAGAGGAGTCCAGGCAGGCCCAGCGCTCCAATACACACCTCAATAAGAGAGGACACAATGATAGCTCCCTGGATCTGAGGGGACAAAGACATCAAGAAGAAGAGAGATGAAAGGGTTAATGAGACAAAGACACTTTTACAAAGCACCAAAAAAAAAACCAAAGATGAAGTTTCCAGCTTGAACTTTCAAATCACATTTGTCCTGAATCAACATCTCGAACACCAGACCCTCAAAAATATACATCAAAGTGACTGAAAGCAGGTTCACATCCAAAACTCTGTTTCATATCACCTTGTTTTTTATTCTGAAAAGCTACATCTCGGTTTCATGCAGCATTTTCTGAATGTGGTGGTAAAAGTGCTCAACGGCAAAAGCAGATACTACACTTTTATAAAGAATAACTGCACTGTAGCCAAGCTGAGCAGTGGGATTCAAACACAGTGAAGTCATTTCAAAGACAAGACCAAGTTCAGTAGCACCCTTCAGTTACTAGGCTGAAGGTTGTGTTGCAAGAACATTTGCTTTTAGCATCTCTACCTCGATATCCTGCGGAGGGATCTGAGCTAAACTAACTTTTCTCATCTTGTGATCAATAACATGCAGATCCAAAATGATTAACCCGACATAAAAACAAGAAGCCTCCAGCTCCAGCAGTGTGTGTTTTGATTCTTCCCGATAATCCTGTTTATTCTGTCCTTGTCCGTCTTTGTGTTCTCTCTCCTCTGTCACCTTTTATCACCTGCACGTTCCTTCTTCCCTCAGCCTATTGATGTTCCCCTTTACAATGACATGATTGAGTTAAGTTTTATTGAGGCGTCACGTAACAACAATTACTTAACTGGCTTGCGCAAAAGGAAAAAGGTTAATTCAAATGAACAGCTCCTGTCACATAAAACCCAACCCTGCAGCCCTGAACAGAGATGCTCTTCTATCTCTCAAACTGGTTTAGCTTGCTGGGCTATAAGACGTCTTTCATTCAGCAAAAGTTGTGTAAAAAAGTTGCACAAGGAGTTATTCAAGCTAAGTTGAATAACGTGTGAATTTGCAGAAATATTTCCTGTTTAACTCTGTGTTTCCCATTTTGTCTCATTTTTTCGTACCTCTCGTATCCTGGGGTGCCAAATGTGCTCTGTGTGGAAGAGCTCTGTGCTGTTAAACACTGGAACCTCTGGTGATGGAGAAAAAAAAAGACAGGGGGATTAGACATTAATTTGATCACTGTGTACATCACAACTCTGGTTAATAATTCAAATGGCCAAACAAAAAACTGCTAATCTTATTTAGGGCATGTTTAACCCTGCCATCTTTTCTGGCTTTGGTTCTGAGAGCATTCAGAGTTGTTACCAACGTAAACAAAGGTGTGGTAATCCACAGATTTTAATCCCTATGTCATACCTGAGAGGTTCAGTACTGAATGAGTGGAAACAGACAAGAGAGGAGTTACCTGTGTTGTTACACTTCCATTTATCCAGTGAGAGGATGGCGCGGGCTGGTGCGAGGAAGGCAAAAGCACTGGCCTGGAATAAAGGCAACCTAAGGACAAAAATAAAGAATAAAAATAAGTTTGAGTAATCACAATCAGTCACAACTTCACTGCAGTGGGAGTTTTTCCTTTATACACAGAACAGTGTTTCAATTACAAGACATCATTATGGGATCTAGACCTTAAACTTGTTGGGTTTACTAGTCACAGTTATTCCAGGAACAACCACTGTGTTGCCTTTGAGAAGTCTTCCAGTAGCAGTAGTAGTAGTTTATTTGTCCCATAGGAAAATTGAATTGCAGCAGATCACACATTTAGCATTTCATTTCATCAAGAACAGTACAGATAAAGAATAAAAACAGCATGTAGACAACTTTCACACGTAATTAATAGTAAAAATAAAAATAAAGTGTTTATTTAGTGTTAATAAAGTGTTTATTGGTTTTAGTTTTTATGCTCCTCATATCTGGAACAAACTCCCTGAAAACTGTAGGTCTGCTGAAACTCTCAGTTCTTTTAAATCACAGCTGAAAACGCATATGTTTGCCGTGGCCTATCATTAAATCAAACCTGAGGCCTCTAATCAACATCTTCATCATCTGCCTGTCTTAATCTTTTTTCTCTCTCTCCAATCTAACTTTTGTTTTCTTTTATCTCCGACCTTATTTTAGCTTTGAATGTAACTTTTAATTTAACTGTTTTTACTTTTCAAATTGTGTTGAATGTCTGTTTATTTTTGCCTGTTTGTTTCATGTAAAGCACCTTGAATTGCCCTGCTGCTGAAATGTGCTATACAAATAAACTTGACTTGACTATTGTGTAATGTGGTCCAATAAAAACAAAAGAAAAAGTGCTGTGTCCCCTTATTACTGGTAGATATTTCCCTCTTTCCTCAATCTTCTTTCTCTTTCACTTAAACTATCCAGAACCACGCGGGCACTTCTAAAAACCCACAAACGTCATTGTTTCTGCAAAGGCCATTTTATCAGCGGTGAAGATACCACCAACCTCGCTTTAGACGATGGCTGGCCTTTAAAAATGACATCAGTCGTGAGCAGTCTGGACAGCAAAAGGATATCATAAGATATGATCGGTGATAAAAACAGAATGAATGTTCCACGATGACGCCCCATCAGTGAAAATACCAAAGATAAAAATAGAAGGAGCCAGAAGAGAAAAAGGGGATGTTTGTTTTCTTGTGAAAGAAGAAGTGAACATTCATAAAATAACTCTGGCACACCTGCTGCTTTGATAAGTAAATTTGCTCCAGTTACATCTTAGTCTAGTTGACAAAGCTGAGAACATCAGAAAGAAAGGAAAGACTCTTTTTGTTTGTTTTAAACATAAGCTGTGGCTCTAATAGAGATAACAGGAATAAATGTTTTATCAGTACAGTATGCTCCGTGTTCAATTACTAAGAAGGGAGAGAAATAATAGGAAAAGACGACATGCTATTGTAACAATCTGGTTGTTCTCGAGTCATTGTCCCCTTTCCCCTACTTTCTCGCAATCCCTGCCTCCTCTTTTACATTTTCTCAGGAGCCAGTAATCCACAGAGAGATATATAGATAGGCACTGTTCCCCTCAGCTCAGCACTGCTGCAAAGAGAGAGTTGGTTTGTTTATGATTAGCGCCGCTCTTGTTCAAGCCTCCAAAGTCTCTGCGGTTTTTGTTTGTGTTGGAGAATGAGGATAAACAGAGGTCAGTTTTCAAGAAGCCTCAGTGGACATGAAGTTTTCTCTGTTGTTGCTGTGATAAAAAACAAATATCGAGTGTCCAGAATATATTGAATAATAATATATTGAATATTGAGAATCTATGTTTTAGAAGTCAGATGCAGTTTTCCGACAAAATTTAAGGACTAAAATGTCCGGTAAGACTGGTGTTTATATAAACAGAAGGACGACTTTGTGTGCATGAAATCGGCTCATTATTCATCATTAGCAGAGCACAGATACTCAAAACTGTCTGTAGCTCTTGTGACAAAAAACCTTCAAGCATATTAAAAGATCATCTACATGTAGTATGCCAATGATTGTTACTGCTGAGTTATATATTTGAGGGGAATTATCAGTGCCTCTGGACTTGACAAGAACTTTGTTTGGGAGACGGAATAAGATTTGTCAGCTGCTTCTTCAACTGCTTTTGAAAATAGTTCCCTCTTAGGACTTCCCCTTACAGTGAATGTGCAACAATAAACTGGTGCAATGCCCTTTCACATCCCGTGGTGGAAAAAGTGAGATCCCTTGGTGTCTGCTTGTGCAGCTGCTGTTTGTCAGCAAAAGTAAATTCTTGATATTTGTTCTTTATTTAATACATTGACCTGTACTGACCAAAGGCCTGATATCTGGTCTGATCTCACAGCAGAGAAAGATTTAATCAAACTTGATGAAACAAAATCAAAGTCATAAGGAGTTTTTGTCAGAATAGTTTGAAAGGTCTCAAAGTTCAAACAAATAGGAATCCAAAAACTAATATTCACTATCAGGAATTATCAGACTTAGGCAGAGAAGAATAAAAAAACATTGGATCTTTTTTCTGGGTAAAAAATATGATCGTACTTCCACATTCAAGTTAAAACACTTTTAGGGGTCATATGCTAGGAGAAAAATCCCTCTTCCAGGATTAAAATGCATTTATCAAAGCTTCCATAAGATAAGACGGTGTTTGCACACTATTTCAACTGTGGCATCAGCCGAGGGCAAGGAGCCAGAGTCAAAAAAGAGCCGCCAGTATTTGTGTCGGTCCTGGTTTGTATGAATGAGGTGATCTTGACAGAGCAGCAGCTGCTGCTCCAGTCTAGGAGCAGTGATGAAACACCCAGAATCTACTAAGACATGATGGAAGATTAGATTTATTGCTTAAAAGGCGGAACAGGAAGTGTGTGACTAAACTGAGCTGCAAGTGAGCTCTGCTGCAAATTGTGGGAATGATGAATGTGATAGCAATGAGACTTATTCATGGCGTGCAGAGTGGAAGGCACTACGCTTTACATCTATTATTTGTTTTTGCATAAGCAAATGATAGTACGGGTTAATCTTTAGCACTAACAAGACTACCAAATACATGTACAGACCCGATTACATGGATGAGTAATCTTGTAAGATGAAAAACCATTAAAAAGAAGGTTCTGCTGCAGTGATTACCAGGTACTGAATGGTGGAAAAAGGAATGAGCACCTGGAGGGCAGGGTGAGGACACAAGGCGTTGAGAGAAATGTATGTGCTGCATCTGTGAGGTGAAATGAGGTGAAAAATATGAGAAAAATGTGGCGGGAGAAAAAATGTGAGGGGCATACATGAACCGAATAAAAAATATCTGGGAGGAATCAGGTGATCTGTGTGTTTTCTATAATATGCACATTAGTCTGGCAGAAAGCAAGAAATTGTTCATGATTCTCAGCTAAATAAAGAAATGTCTGTATGTCCTGTAGACTATAGCTTCAGAGTAACTGGCATGGCTCGTCTAGGGATGATGCAACAGTTGAGGCACACACAGCTCGTTCTTTTAGCCTGAAGTAAAACAGTCTCTTGAGTATCTTCTTCCTCAGCTCTGTGGTGTACATTCTTATAAAAGGAAGTCTAAGTTGCACCAGAGGACCGCAGTCACATGAGCGAAACACGGAAGTCAAAATCATAACTCATCAAATCTTGAAGGAAATTATGCGTACCAGGCAAATGACATAATTTATGAGTCTGACATGGTAGAGGCAGCCCCAACTGGCTAATAAATGAAATCAAAAGGAAATGATAGCAGTCACTTATGACACTAATCCAAAATAAACAAAACAAATTGACGTTTCTCCAGGCTCAAGATGTAAAAGGAGCCAGTCAAGTGTTAAAATGAAGAGGACACAAAGAATAAAAAGTGATTTTAAATATTTCTTTTCCTGAGATAATTCCACAACAAATCTCGATCAAAAACAGCAGATTCACTAGGGCTGGGACAATATGCTTTTCTCCTGATTCGATTCTACTACGATTTTTTGGATGCCGATTTGATTTAAATTGCGATTCTATGATATTGTCACCAGTGAAACAGTTGAATGATTACAATTGTCTACTGACTATTCCGGGAACCATATTTCCCCAAAAAATACACATCACATGAAAGTCCGTTTTTAAGATTCATTCCTACATTTGAAAAGAAAAATAGATTTTTGAACATGAAAATCGATTGAAAAATTGTAAAACAAAAAATGGCGATACTTATGTGAATCGATTTGTCCCACCCCTGAGATTCACTATGAAAAAAGAGAACACACATCAACTGCATTAAAGTGCACGTACTTAGAGCATGACCAGCAGTGACATGAAGAGGAAGGATTGATAAAGAGGTACTTGGTGTAGACAATGACTCTTCTTGTTCAAGTGGTTCTTCGAGATGAGAGGAAGCGAGTGGGAGAGAGAGGGGAGGGCTGTAAGGGCAAGAATCGACTTTGTTAGACATGTTCAGGTGTGTGTACCTGCAGCCCAGTGTGGTCTGTAGCAGAGTGGTGATCCCCACACAGAAGAAGATGGTCCCTATGAGCTGACTGGTGGCCCACTGATCAAAGCCGACGCACATCGCCTCAGCGAGGAGAAATGGCACCGCAATAGTTCCACTAAAACACGTCAAGTAGTGCTGCGAAGACAACCAAAGAGTCAACGTGTAAGTATGTGTGTGTCTATTTTTAACTTGTTAGTGAGTACAGGAGAAAAACACCAGAAATACAATCTTTGGAAATGTTCTCGAAAAATATCTGTTACCAGTAAAAACCCTTTTCTGCGATTATTTCCTTAAAGTTCTAACAATACCCTCTTAGTTTATAATACTTTCTGAGGAAATCAGTATTTAGACAGTTTTCCATGAAGTGAAGTTTTATCCACACAGAAGTCTGATAATTCTAAAAAGCTGTTTTATTCCTTAAAAAAAAAAAAGAAATAAAGAAAGAAAAGTGAAGCATCAGCGGATGTGTATAACAAACACTGTGTTCTGAAAAACAATAATCGTAGAAACTTAACATTCAGTTTGAGAAAAAGCAGCACCACCACCACTGTCTGTCTCTCCAGGCTGACACTGGCCTGGGCAGCTCCAATGAATGCACTGCATGAGGCATCCTTTCACTGACTGACTATTAAATGACTCAAGCTGAAACATGCAGTAATGTGGTAACAATGGCAAAGAGGGATTTGGACTCGAGTTCCCTTAAGAGCTCTGGAACGGAAGTTAAGTTCATGAGTCAAGAGTCGAATGTCTAAAGGATAAACATATTTACGACGTTATTTCGTAAAAAAAGTATGTATAAAATATGCAATATGTAAAGACAGCATTTGTGATTTGCTGTCTTGGCTTATTTTGACAAGCCTTTTGTGTTCCTCTGATATTGTTGTCTTTCCTGTGTCCTACAGCCTTTCAGTAATGACTAAGAGGCAGACAGAGGTAACAAAGGGACTAATCCCTGTCGTCAGATACAAACACAACATGACATTTACCTATTAACCCAACATGTGATTACTACCGTGAGATCAATCCTATTTCTGTGTCCGTGTCTAGTGGGTAATGACCATTGGGATGTTTGGAGGTAAAATACTACCATTAGATGACAAGTACCAGCAGCACAGGGAAAGATATGACACACCCTGACTCTACAGAACATGTGTAGGTGTATGTTTTCAGTACATATTGTAAAAGACAAACACATCTATTATTCATGTACAGAAAACATTTGAATAATTGATCATACCTCCTTTATGTCAGCTAAGCTTTATGAACAAAGAAGGAAGCAGCTGTGTAGTCTATGGGTTTACCTGTAGGCCCAAAAACACACACAGGTACCAGGGCGGGGTGTCTTCAATGGTATAAATCATATCCATCCTCCTGGCGTCCATGCTGTCTGTGCTATCTAACGTCTCAGACATCGAGCTCTAGGGAAAAGTTGACAAAGAAAGTCATGTCATCACAATTCATGTTTTCATGACATGTTGACTTTACCCTTTGTGTTTTTCTTTATGTGAAGGTTCAAAAAGATTACCGTACATGAAAGTGAAACTGATTAAGTGTTTAAGAAAAAAAAAACACATGACTTTTTCCACTTAGCAAAGGAAACTGCACAGTCATGATGACAACAACAAAAGAGCACTCAGGATGGGAGAGACAAGATAACATAGAGACAGACTGATTGGTCTGATGTTGACTTTTTGGTTTTACATCGCATCAGCACTTCTCTGCGAAAGTTTACGTATTTTACTTTTGATTGATTGAAACTGTTTATTTTGAAAATGTCAAAAATAACATTAAAAAAAAACTATAAGCAGCCAGATAGACACAAAAAAGTAAAATATAGAGACAAGGTAAAAAGCTATTTCATTGGCAAAATTTTTTTACATATCTGAAAAGGAGTAGGAAGACGTTATACTTAATCCCCTCCCTAATCCTTCATTGATTACCAATAAATGATGTTATCAGCATGTATGAAAATTATTGAATACAAAACTAAACGAAAACGGCGCCAAGATCATCCATGTCTATTTTCAGTCACTGCGATGTTTTTATTGTTAGCGAGTGATTCTCCATCTCTGCACTACATTAAGGTTGCTAGCAAAAACACTTTCAGCCTCACTGTTTCTCTCTGCTCACTGCTGTTTCAGAGCTACTCACCCAAAGCGAATATTTCCTATCGCTGCTGCAGCAGATTATAAACCTAAAACAAGGCGACTTTAATTTTGAAGCAGCAGAGACCGCCTGTTTGTTGGAGATCAGCGCTGATGTGGATTTGTTTAAAGATACAAAGTTAATTATTCTTCATTATCTAATATTAGTGCAGTTATTGTTACAGTCATGTTATGAAACAAGAAAAAGCAATCACAGTGAGAAGTTAGAGGCGATAATCTGTAAACCTCTAATTAGTCGGCAAGGAAACCTGCTCTTTCACTCTGCTGCTGTGTGGAAAACTACTCACCCCATGTGACTTCATCTACAAGACAACGTGAGTTTGTTTGATACAACAGTTGGTGTTCAAGCAGTGTTTGCTATAGTATTAGACCACACATGTTGTTACTACGGTAACCGAGAAGGTTGCTAAATATTCGGAGGCTGAAAACATGGGGATTACATCTTCACTGATGTGGGGGAAAGGTGAGGGACTCTGACGCGTGATTATGAGTAAGCTTTCTCAAACCATGTGACTGTGTGTCAGTCTCCTCAGATAGAAGCTTATTCTGATCCAAAGAAGCTTTTACAGTGATCAGTGATTTGTTTTAACCCATCATTTCCCACTTGGTTTACCTTTTCTGCTCCTTGATTCTCTTTAGTGTAGATGGCCATCAGCTCTGTGTTTTCTGTATCCTGGTCTCCACTGGCGCCACCCACTCCGTTGACCACCACCTTATCATGAAAACACACACAGTTTAGATTTTTAATAAGTCAATAAAGCCGTAAATAAGACAATCTTTATTATAGAGTGCCTGATCATCCAACAGACAGTAAACTGGAAATGACGCACATAGATTCCAAATATCGATTGGCTGATGGAGCCACAAAGAAACACAGGAAAGGTAATGTGAACTTAATGATTAAAGTTATACAATTTTGATAGATCTGACTTTAAACCCTCAAGCGAACCCTGAGCAAAATAAGGACATTTTTATTATAAAGAAAAATGATTTAATCAATACACTGACGGTAAACGTATGAAGTTAATAAGGTGAGTGAATTTTCTTTTCACATGTGCTGATGATGTTCAAAGTCCATTCACTTTGAGCCTAGAACATAAGCACAGATCTTAAATAAATGTACATGGCAAACTGATTAAAAAAATTAAAATACATTTAAAAATCACATTTATATCTTTTCATGAATGTGGTTTGAATATTATCAGTTTGGCTTCCATTGTTAAGAAAACACCGACTTGGAACAACAGGAAAAATTAAGAAAACTGAGAATAGAGGGCCAGCAGCAGCGTGCACTAAGGAGCCAAAGAGTTCACAGATTGTGTGTGTGTGTGTGTGTGTGTGTGTGTGTGTGTGTGTGTGTGTGTGTGTGTGTGTGTGTGTGAGAGAGAGTTCTTAGACCTGCTGTTGCAAAAGCACATTCCGAGTACAAAGAGACGCCAAATCTGAGCTTCAACGTAAAAGAACCCGATAGACACAAAGGGAGGAGATGGATTAAGACGGTAATTATAAGTTTGGGTGCTTATAGACCAAACCCTACATTTCTTTTTTGTCTGGTTATTGTTCGGGCTACTTCGGGCATGCCCAGACCACGTCCTCCTCTGTGGTAAAAATGGTTGTTAAAACGGTCATGTACCGGAATAGGGTAGAAATCTGCGCCATGCTTGCTCTCCTCTTCGTATTTTCCTCCCTCGCTGCTGCTGTCCATCGACTTGGAGGTGGTGTTCTTCCCCACACCCATCCTCGGGTCTCTGCTGTCCTCCCCTTCCTCTTCCTTCTCTGTCCCTCCTCTGTCTCGCTCTGATGTGAAAACTGCAGATGAATCCTTCGGTCTGATTACATCGTCCAGGAGTGCCTCACCTGCTTAGAAAAAGCAGACACAAAGAGAAAGATGAATGTTTTCATAAATAACTTTGAGTGTAAATATTCTGAATCTCAGGTCTGCTAGTTTGTTTTCTGTCCTTTATGCTTGAAGCCAAAACTCTTCAACTGCAAACACTGATCTTTTTTCTGGTTCCAGCTTTACTTGGGAAAGATTTGTGAGCTTTTTCTTGGTTTCATATCAAATTATTTCAATTACATTTGGCCTGCTGGAGTCTATTAGGTTACTAAACCAATACAAATAGTATGCGCTAACTTTTTAATCATTATACGGTGACTTTTTTACACCTATGGTCAGAACAGGTAATAAACTTATCCTGTAAATAATCTTTAAAGAAAATTAAACAGATTTTTGAGTATAAACAAAGCAACTAAGAATGTCAAGAGGTCACCTTTGTCTTTCAGAAAATGTAGCACCAAACAACAGGATACTGAAGAAGATACTAAGAATATGTTATTTTTGCCACTTACTTTGCCAAACATTGCCAACATGTCTCATACACGCAAAACGAAAGGAGTTAGGAAAAAACTGAAGAAAAAAAAAACATGAGGAGGAGAGGTCATGCAAGGATTGGGAAAAAGAGGAAAAACGAAAGCAGTTTGGTGAAGAGTTAGAAAAAATAAAGAGTGGACAGATGGAGGGAGATAGTGAAAAGGTACAACAGGTGGAAAGAGAGGATAATGTCCGTTTATATTTGAGTTTGAAGTTAGTTTTTGTTCAACATCTTGAGCTACATCCTCTGTAGCATGCATGTCCTTTGGTTTACTCTAGCAAACATTATGAAAAAGTAAGGACTTCTAAAAATAATCTGTACCTGTCACTCAGTGAAGGTACAAAAATCACAAGTACAGCACCGTGAAATCTTGCTAAGGCATCAGTGTAGGAAGCCGTCACTCAGGTTTCGGGCAAACCCAGTGAATAGAGATAATATGAAATATGTCAGCAGTGATCACATCAGGTTTAACTGTATCCGACTTTTCATGAACAGAGACAGCTCATAAATGTTCGCCTTCATGCACAGAGAAATGGAGTAAATCATGTGAAGAAGCTACAGGGTCAAATAAGACTTAATGAAATAAGGAACAACCGTTCTCATGAAAGTGTGCAGGAAACACTGAGAAGCCTTTTCTTTATCATGAGGTGACTGCTGTGTGTGTGTTTGAGTACAGGGGAATTCTCCAACACTTCTTTAACTGCACAGACATATTTAGTGTTTGCTTGAGGTCTATTTTGATCAACGGTAGTCATGCAGACCAGGTTCTCTCTCATAGTAATACTTCATTCATATTACTCATCTGCTGTTTTTCATTGAACCACTCTCAAATCCAGAGGTTTTCTGTAAGGCATTAATTTGTCTTTGTCCAAAGAGACGGAGACAAAAAAATGTCCAATAAAACGTAGTGAATCAGACTTTTAATATTAGACAAACATGAGTGTTAAACCAGTCCAAAAAAGAGAGAGCTTTGATTCTGTCAATACATCTTCATGTTGTGTGTCACTGAAGCAGACTTAATGCAGGACATGCACTGTTCATTAGAGTAAATAAAACTCTAATAACTGTAATCCCTCATCAGTGACTGAACTGACAGGTTCGGTTAAAAGATGGAGTTGCAACACAAAAGACACTTTCAATTTAACTTAGTAAACCCTTAATGTCAACCTAAGCCTCTTAGTAAACAAAGACACTCATGGATTGAGAAGAGGTGAATTTGTGTAAAAGCAATTAAAGGATCCTGTTTCCTGCGTCACACTGGACTTGGATGCCGAGCTTCAGTGTTTAAAAGTTTGTTTTAGTTATTACCTGGAAACCCGCTCACTAAACAAACTCTGTAGGCATTGATACCGTATGACAGTTATATTGTTTCTTCCTGAAACATGTTTCTTTGCTTCTTTTTCATTCAGGGCAACTTCATGGTAAAACATGTTTTTTCCGTGATTTTTGGCGAGTGTCTGTTCCCCTAGCAACTGACTCAATTTACATGTTTAAGTAGAGTATGTGTGCAAACTGTATACAAAAACAAAATGCATGGATGTCTGACAAGTCGATAAATGTATTGAACTAAAATATTTTTCAGTAAATTCATAAATTCAATGAAAAATTTAATTTAAAAAATATTTCTTATCAAACTATCAGCTTTGTCCACTAACTGCGACAAACTGTCTAAACTTGCAGCAGAGGCCCACCTAGCCACCTGCACTTTGTTGTGACACTACCTCTCCTCCATATCAGATTTCCTTTTCTATTTCTATTTCTTATTTTCTTTTAATCATCCCAGACTCTCCTTTCCCACCCACTGCTTGCAGTGTAAAATGTTGGGATCGGTGTTATACCTAGTTGACACATCCCATCACTCCTGTCAAGCTGGGCGGCTGGGAGCATCTGTGTGGAAGGGGCAAGAGAAAGAGGGAAAGGAGGAGAGAGAGGAAAGATGGAAGGAAGAGTAGATAGAGAAGGAAAGACCAGGCAGAAAGGAGGAGGTTGGAGGGTCAAGGATAAGGAGGAGGAAGAGGAGGAGGGAGGTGAGACATAAGTTAATTTGACAGACAGCATTTAATCACAAGCAAAAGTTAGTGCGTAGCCTTGCTGATGTGTTGATTTTAGTTCATGTGGCTTTAAAAGGCAGCTAGAGTGAATTATATTGTAATTAAAGTTCCCACCTATAGAGGGGGCATGTCGTTTCAGGAACAATGATAGGACAGGCAAAAAAAAAAAGAAGCCACATACAGTTGTATCCAGTCACAGAAAACTGACACAAAACAAGCTGTAATTTGAAAGAGCAATGCATTATTGTTAGTAATGCAACAGTCACCTTCTCTAGCTGTTAGCTCGTCATGCTTGTATTTGGAGAAATGCCTTTGTGGAAGGGAGTGGACCCCAGCTGAGGTTAGGAATATTAAGAGGGGGCTTGAGAGCTTCTCATGTCTTCAGCTCAAGTTATGAAAACAGGTTTATCATTCAAGCTAATGATCCCAGTTTTTTCCAGAGATAAAATCCATGTGTGAGTTCATGTGATTCCAACTAAGAGAGAAAATTTGCTGAGGACATGAATAACTGCTTGTTCTTGCCGATTTTGCTATCATCCTTCTCATGGCCAGAAGATTACACAAGCTCTCAAACAAATTATCAACAGGGTCAGTGACCAGGCCTGTCTCTCCAAAAGGGAGCTGCTTGGGCTCATGGCAAACCACCACCCTTGTAAAAACAATGAACTTCAACTTCTACCTTCACATAAACTCACATTTTCCCATCCTGCCTCAAAGACTCAGCATGCTACCCTGACTGTAGACCGTGAAGATTCTACCAGGTCATTTAGAAGGGACAACAAAAACAAATGGTGCAGCTACTGTTTGTTTTAATTAGACTCACCACTTCTTTCCTACCTTAAACATACCTTACCTTAGTCATGAACTGTGTTATTACAGGAAATGATGGCAATATGGCAGGATAGTAACAACTTTATGACATTATGTAATATTTGGTAAACAATGCAGCTGAAAATGACAAGAATTAATTGATTGTGTCATACAGCACATGAGAAAAGCACATAACCTCAGAGCTCTCCAGCCTGAGGCTCTGTCAGTACTGTGAGTTAGTTGTGAGATGCGGAGTGTGACAGAGAGTATCCCAGCAGCCCCTGGGTGATGAGGCATGAACCAACACCAGAGGAGACATGCTATGGTAGCATTTCATCCTCAGTGTTTTTTTTCCCCAATGATCCCCACTGTGTTTTCTGTCTGTCTATGTGGAACACACAAACACATACATGTAACAAGCAACATAAGAAGAGAAAGAGAGAGAGAGAACTGGAGCGAGAAGAGAGAAGTGATACTGAGTTTGTGTGATTATATAACAGAGGAGAATCAGCAGTTTTCATGCACATGAAAGACCATCCCAAATGAAAGCAGGAGCAGTGTGTGTTTTTAAGTGCATCAAAAAAAAAAGGAAATATAAAAAGCACTCAAGTAAAACTACAAGCAAGGAGAAACAAAGAAGCTGCTGTGGTAATTCTAACTCATCCCAGAATATGCAGGCTGGTGGACAGAGTTACTGACTGGATGTATAACCATGGTAACCTGATCTGTGGATCTGTGTACAGGCATGCTGTTTTTGTGTGGGATATTTCACCCAAGTACTTCACACCAGATGTTTGCATTGGTGGTTTATCTCTGCGGCTAAATCCGTGTTGTAGTGAGAATACACATGTAGGAGTCTCTGTGTGTGTATCAGCTCTATCCTCTCCAGATGTTGGTCTGCAGTTCAAGTCATTAGTTTTGGTCTTTATAAAGCCTGCAGATGTTTCAGAGTAATGAAAAGTTTAGACTCTCATTCTCAAAAAGGACACTTCAGGGGAGGCTAAACACGTGAATTTAAAGACATCTGCTCAAACTTGTTAAATCTAATAAAAAAAAGAGGTTAACTGAGGTAATTTTAGGAATGTCATGATTGCAGCAACATTCAGATCTAATAACTTCTACTAAGTGGTTTGTTTATTCTCTTTGGTAATGGAACTTTATGTATGTAATAGTTGTGGAATGGAAATGTTTTTCTTTTAACTTCTTAACTTGATTGATGTGTTGCCCATGTTAACTTCTAACATTGGCAACACATCAATAATAACTGACAAAATCAACTTCCAGCTGGAGAAAAGACAGGAAACACAGGTCCACGTGTGTCGTTGTATGAGAGCAAGCATAAGGAAAGATTAGAAAACTCTCGCTACAGTCTCTTGGAATAACTTGCTAAAAGGTATTACAATAAAAGCTTTAAAAATTAATTGGATAATTACACATAATTGTCTAAACAAACACGGTCAACCCTTAAAAGTTTGAATAGTTAGTTGCCACCCTCTTAAATTCAACATGCCTATTATGTCTGTACTCATAACTGCTTTCATAACTGCTGTTACATCAATAGAGACAAGATACGATGATATAAACCAAAGCAAGATGTTTGGTAATATGAAAGGACATGTGTGTGTGTGTGTGTGTGTGTGTGTGTGTGTGTGTGTGTGTGTGTGTGTGTGTGTGTGTGTGTGTGTGTGTGTGTGTGTGTGTGTGTGTGTGTGTGTGTGTGTGTGTGTGCAGCTACACGTGCAGAGTTTAGTACAACAGGGTTTGACAGTTTACACGTGAGGGGTTCCTATTTCACCACGAGGGCAAATTGTAAAAGCGGCTGCAAGGTCATGTTTACATTGGTCAATGTCCTGACAGTGGGGCAGGGGTGAATGCAGATAAGAGCTACAGGGACAACAAGCTGCTGAATACGGGGAACAACTGAAGTGATGCACAGATATAACAAAGCCCAGTCTGTCTCTAGTTCACCATAACAACTTTTTTATCTCTTTTTATCACTGTTATTACAGATTGTTTCTGAATATTTTGTGAAAAACCCTGGAGCATTTTCATACTTGTATTTTATTGTATGAGTAAATAAATCTGCACTCTGTATATCTGACTCCCATTATTTTGTACAGAAAGTCTTCACAATGTTATCAGAAGCTTAGTATACTGAAGTTGTATAGTCTTCCCTCGTCACATATCTAATACACATAGTTAAGACAAAAGCAGATCCTCAGATATCTAAAATTTAAGGTTAGGTTTGAAGGCTTGTTTGATCCACAAAATGGATTTTTTTTCTGCCTGCCTGACTGTGGCTTGGGTTCAAAGTTAAACTTCTATAGATAGACATGAGAAAGCCTTACTTCCAGGGTCAGGATTGCATTTCAAATAATAAAATGGACATTGGTACAGGCATTTTAGGTCATTTAAGTACTTTTTGTTTTTAAAAGAAAGTTTCAGCAATCACCTTTAATAGTTCATCACCTGTGGGCGATCAGTCCAATACTTAATTTTTTGACTTCTCTGGCTGGATCTTAAAAACCCACGTTTTAAAGTCTGGGTTTGTAACTATTAGAACACCTGCACTTTACCACCTATTATCCTACTTCACAATTACACAATTACTGTAATCACCTGGTGAAGATCCAATTGCGATTAATAAATGCGATTTAACATCAGCCTACCGAGCCAGGTCCTTTATCTTACAAGATTTTTTAAACCATTTTTTTCTTCACACAAGTCAAGTGGGTATCAACTCCAGATACATGTGCTCACATGCAGGGATACACGCATACACATGAATTTGTAATGAGACCAGCGGAAAACACAGGAAGTGCGTGTGAGAGGTGATCTGTTTTTATAACCTAATTATGTCATCCAGGCAGATCCCTCAGAGCACCAGTGTTTTGTCAAATGTTTATTACCGTTCACACCCTCAATAAACAGAATATTTGTCTTTATGTGTTAATCTAAAGTTATAAGAGGTATACACCCCAAAAAAATTACAAAACCACTCTAAACTCAAGCTTAAACTTAGAGGTATAGATGAGACAGCAGTCAGTTTTTGTGATCCTTAAGCTTTTCCTCAACCACATGTCTCTTCTTGTCACTTTGATCATGAGTGTGACAGTTCTCTAAAGAGGCATAACAACAAAACTATTCACATTATATTTAAAATGGAGTATTTAAATTGAAATGATAAATGTCTAAGGCTCATACAGAAATTTGTCGGGTACTTCAGCACCATGAACAGCTCCGTCATTTTATCAATACACAGTTATGTTACTCTGACTGTGTTACAAAGACATTGTGAGGACCAAAGATAATCAGAGACACAAACCTCTGTCAGATAAAAGGTCAATAGATCAGTGAATTATTAAATTATCTTACACTGATTTGAAACAACTGCACATCATATTCATTTATATCTAGTCTATCTCTGATCCTTTCACCTCCTAACTGATCACATCCAATGAATTGTCCATCCCAAAGAGATGGATATGGAAATAAAGCACACAGAGTAACATAAATCAGAGAGTAAAAGTACTATGTCCCTTTAAGCATTTAGAAATGTATCATCTCTTGGGAAGTACAGACTTGTTTTAGGAATTGCAATGTGGTTTTGGCACGCACACGCTGACAAGGAAAGAGTATCTCTATTGTAGATGGTGAGCTTTGTTGCGTAAAGCCTATTATCACCGAGTATCACTCCAACTCAGTTTTGGCACCTGGAACGTGAGTCACAGGTGTCTGGCTAAAAGCACAGGAGTCGAAAAGACAGTGGTGACATAACTGCATGGAAGGACTTTTTTTTTTTACTGACTAATGACTTTTTTTAGTGCAAAAAACTGAATCAAGCATGAATAGTGGTGTGGTCGTCGCTTTTGTACTTTTGGCTGGTCTGAGGCCAGGGTAATCCTTCTCTCTTTGGTACTTTACAGTTTAACAGCAGGTGCACTCCCATGCTGTGCTGTACAAACACATTTCTCAGTTTGCGAAACCAAAGCAGCAGGAAAGACAGTTACATTTAGATCAGGAGAATAGAGATCGCCCCATCCCTGTTCTCACGCCAACACCTACACCCACACAGCAGGCTACCAGCAGCACATGAATGGGCGTTAAAGGTTAGGTTTGAAAAATGAAGAGAAATACTTTCCTACAGTGTTTCTCAGACAAAGTTGGCCTTTCGTATAACAGCGTGCATTTCTTATAGGTTCTTCTACCACCCACTAACACAGGCTTTTCATCAAGCCCAGCAGGGGCACTTAGGACTAACAGGTATCTGTTGTTGCTTTAAGTATATTAAACCCTTTAAGTTGATATCCAGCTGTTACTTACAATGAAGGCAACAGTTTTCTTTGCTTGTACAGTAAATGTGAAGACAGACTGCCTACATTGAGCCCTGTTAAAGACTTCTTTTATGACCAACTTACAATCCCTGCTTTGAGACACCAACTGTTTTTATAGTAAATAAGTTACTCAGTTACAAGAAATTGGGTCATCACAGAAAGTAAGTATGACTGTACTCCATTACAATACCAAATGGCTCAATAGTTTAAAAAAAAATCAAACTTAAGTGATAAAGACTTTGGGTGGAACGGAGTGCCAGAGTTCTGCTGCTCCAGTTTGAGACAGTTTCCTGAGAGGATACCAAGTGAAAGTGATTTACTAAAAATACAGACAGCACACTGGATATAAATGTAGTAGATGAATGAAGGAAAACAATACTTGGGAAGTCTGCTGAGAAATACGATCAATGCTAAAGACAGCTCTACCACCCTGAGTTAATGTCCATGGCCGGACATGTCTAAGTGAATGTTATGTTATTGGATCCCACAAGGAGAAAGCATAGATAATCTGAAGCAGAAGCTGATCATTTTTCCATCCTGTATTGTGTCAATTTTTTCTTTTATGTGCTGTCCCAAAGGTGCTGTCCATCTGTGGTCCACCATCTGCCTGAATGTAAGCCTGCCCTGAATTCAGAATTTTCCGAGTTTAATGGAGGAAAGGAAGTTAGGCAGCGATTTTGAACACACCAGAGACTGTTTGCTGACTACTGCTACTTAAAAACCAATAAAAGCCTCCCTTTAATAAAGGGAGACTCTGTCTCATAACCTACCACATGATGCGACATATCTCAGTGACTCAAAAGGCCACCTTCCTCAGAGTGAAATCTGGTTCAACCAGTTAACCTACAGAAAGGTCGAATGGACACTCAGACAATAGAAAAAATGCAGCCCTTGGATTAAGTTTGATAGGTTACTGTCATTAACTGACAAAGTCACAACTCTTCTCATTCCTTATGCTTCAGATTAGCAGAGACAAGATAGCACAAGTGCATCGTAGCAGGATTTGGCATGATGTTTGAAAAGGTTGTTCATCTATCAGTGCGTAAGGAGAACTGAGTGTGGATCCTAATTGTCAGAGTAACACCTGAGACTTTTCCTATATTTAAGAGACTACATCAAGCATTATGTTTAGCACCATCTTGTGGTCCTCTGGTTCCTTATCAGCCCAAATTTATCACTTTTTCAAGAATACCCAACCCTTGATGGATAATCTAAAACACCAAATCCCGAGACAAAAGAGGACAGGAAGGACAAAACAAATAAAGCTCGGAGAAAGAAGCAGATGTCACAAAGTAAGGCTCCTCGACATAGAAACTGGAGCGAGGATATGGATGTATAACCATCTGTAATATGGAGGCTAGTTTAAAGTATTTTTATATGCAACGAGGTCACATTGCTCTACATCTCTTCCTCCTACACTGCCGACATACTTTTAAAAAGGATCAACAGATAACAGCTGTCCTAAAAAATTCCAGTCACACTCCACTGAAATATACAATCTTAGCAGACTGACGTAAACACACCGCAGCCAGATAAAAAAAAAAAGGAATCCAAAGAAGCCAACACTGGCTCTGTGAAGTAACAGTGAACTGTTCTTGACCCTGTTGGTTTTAGGTGTGGTTTGAATTCCCTTTTGGCATTGTTTCTTTTATTATGATACACTGATCTACTGGACAAGTCTTCAGCTTTATAGAAGTCAGGCTTTCTACTGACAATCTGGACAGTTGGATCAAAACTCCGGAGATGAACTTTGTGTCTGTGGGAATTTTGGTGCCCTCTGTGGACAATGATGTTCTTCCATCTATTTCAAACTTATCAGTCTCCAAATCACTGTAAACAAACGTTACTTCTGCAGCTTTCTTGCCTGAAACCTAACAAATAGAAGTGGCAAGAGACAGAATAAATGTTGAGAAATAATCTGTCTTGTGGCTGATGACATTTTTGCAGCTGTAGATGATGGGGGACAAGAGCACTAGTTTGGTCTTTTTGTGACTACCTACAATTTCTTATAGGGGCTTTGATTCTTAGCTAAAAGACGTTTTCATAAACGTTCAACAAGTTGATTAATGATATTTTTAAGAGCAGAAAAATAGAGTACTAGCACTGTGAATGTGAATAAAAAAACACCTTTGGGTAGAGAATTGATGTCAGACTTGTTAATTGTTCCTTTCACTTTTCAAGCAAAGTGCCAAAGACGTGATGGTAATAGCTTCAGTAATTAGATGCTTGAGCTTCTAAGCCACTTAAATAGTTGATGAATTATTACAGTGCCGATTAATTTTCTTTCACTAAACTACTTCATTTGACAAACTTTTGTTTGAACTGGAAATTAAGCATTGCACTAAATAACCCTGATGCAGGATTTAAAAAAAACCTTCACAGGAAAAATGTTTTAGGGTCAACATGAGGCAAAGAGGGGACGTGGCAGACAAAACAAATAAGGCACGGGGAGATAAGGCGACATCACTGGGTGAGGCTCCACCACACAGACCTGATACCAAAGTCAGGAGATGACTGAGATCAATGAAGAGAACAGGAGATCCATGTAAAATAGGCTCACATTGCTATACATGTTAAACACTGTTGGCCTGAACAATGAAGGTAACCTGATTGGACTGAATGGATGTCATGGACTGTCTTTCTGAATGACCGAGGGAAAAAGAATCAGTTAATAAAATCTTAATGCCAGAAGTCAGCTTTGCAAATATAAAAACTTAATGGGCTTCTGATAGTCTTCTACTTAATTCCAACATCATTAGGTATATTTGACTTGTAAACAGTTTGTGATATAATTTAATAATGTATTTTCATATATTTAAATTTTTTTAGTTATTTTTAAGACAAAAAAAAAAAAAAAACGGTATACAAGTATGAGCTTCTTATATGTGAAAATACTGTGTATCTCAGTTTTTATGTCATTAAATACTGATAAGGTTTAGCTTAGCTGCCTTTGAAAAATCTTACCCTCACTTCCAGGAAGACATATGCAGATAATAAAATTTACCAAGTGGCAGGTCCAGCCACTTGTGCACTTAACGGTTGTTTCATGTCAATGTGAAATTTCATTTGAGAGGTTGAATGCATCTAGCCAAGTTTTCTACTTCTCTTCGCTTCACCTTTCATTTAAAAAACTACAGCAGGAAAAAAGACCAGCATAAAAGAACTTTGAAGCTTATGCAGTTTTCAGTGATAGCTGTCAAATCGACTTGTGCTTTCTAGGAAGAATGTGGACAATTAATGAAGTGTCAAGTGATTGACTGTTAAAACACACCTAAACACCTGTATCACTGTTTAATCTGATATGATCTTGAGCTATCAGGGTGGTGATTTGTGGACCAACTGGCTAACCGAGCTACGCACAGCAAAAATACTCAGTGAGTGGCTGCACCAGGTCTCAACAAGCTCTCTTTTTGGAGAACAAATTATAACAGCCACTACACAACAAACAGACATGAATGAGAAATTTTGACCGGACACGCAGAGAGATTTCTCAGACTGGAAAAGCTGGCACGTCAGTAACTCTGCATAGCAGCAGCATCTTCTGTGCCGTCTGTGCATGTGTTTGCTGCTGACGGACTGATTGTGACCTGGTTGCTCCCCCGACTGACACTCAACCACGTGGACATGTTTATTTTTTCTCATCAGAACAAGTGGGAAGAAATCTGGACAGTGCGAGTCTTGAATATTTTTCTGTTTAGTTCTCTTAATGCGGCGATCGCCACATAGTTTAAGTAGTTTGTGACTTACTCTGTATAACTTTATGCATAGGTTATTTTTATGAGTCTGCTCCACATGATGATATTCACTTTGTTATAAAACCTGTACGCCTTTGTTAGTTCTGTAGCTTTGCAGTAGCATCATTTATATTCATAATGTAGCCATAAAAAAACACGATTTAGGGGGGGAAACATATCTGGTACGATTTTGACCATGGTAAAAAAAAAAAATAATAATAATTTAAATATAGGAAATCAATGATTCATCCTTAATACTTCTAAAGAACAATCTCAGAAAAGATTTTGAATTCACATCCCTAGCTTCTGGTATTTTTTCCTGATATTTGTTTTAAAAGGACCCTTGATGAGTAGGTACACAACACTTTAGTAGAACAAACCATCAACACATCCCGTTTATTTTTGTAAGAGTAAAAAGTTATAATGGTGTATTTATTTCTTATCATTCAATCATTTCCGTTTGCAGTTTTGCTAATTCGCTTATTTCTCTTTCTTCACTGTCCTTAAGCTGATGTTACGGATTTATTTTTCCTGATGAGGGATCGAGATCACATTATCTAACCTAATCTTCATTGCCAACCAGAGATCTTTGCTGTTTACCTGAACCCTACCACTGCATTTGTTTCCCTGTGCAGATATTGTCTGTTGGGTAAGCCAGACAAAGGAAAAAAAAAACACATCATGCGTGTAGAAAAAAAAAAATGGTAAATTGATGTCAGAATGAGTGAAGTCCTCAGACGGACCACTTCCACTAAGAAAAAAACTCTTTAATGAGTCAATTAGCAATGCTCTTTTCTCCAATACTTCCAGTCCATCCATCATCCGCCACGCTACTCATTACATTTTTTTTTAAACTTAGGATGTGGGTCAATTTTCACTTCCTGTATATTAAAAACGGCACTGATTTCCTGGGAGGAAATGCTCCAACATTCATCTGAAGTCAGGCTAACAATCTGGGTCAAGGCTGATGAGATTTTCTTTTATGGGGAACACTGAATGTCACTGTATTTCCTTGGTTTTATTCAATAATAAAGCACTAATACAATAGCGAAAAGACAAAAAGAGCACTGCCAGCTCTTCTTTGAACAGTTTTTGTTTGTAAAGGTTTCTTAGAACTAGGATTATAAACTGAACTAAAATTGTTATTGGTGAACAGCAATGATAACAGAATCATGTTTTGACAGACACACCTTTTTTTTTTCAAATGTAAAAACTCCTGGGATTCTTGTGTATCTGAGTTCACCTGTTAGTATATTTATTTAGAAACAGACAATGAGATGAACAACTTAGAAATGTTGCCATACATCCACTGGGCACTGAGGATCAACATGCTGATTGGATACCAAGATATCCATGGAGGAGCTAATATAAGTGGCATTAGCAAGAAGCTTCTCTACGAGGCAGAAGGCGAAGCTTTGCAGTTCAGGTAAGGCCACAACAACTGAGAAGGAACACCAGCTGGGTATATTGTAGTGAGGCTCAGAGTACATCATCAGCCTGCAGAAGCCAACTCTTCCAATGCACTGAAGGGCAAGCTATTGAGAGCAATGAATCCAATGACCACTGTGAAGCAAACGTAAAGGTAAAGGCCTTTAGGCGGTTATCGCTGTGTTCTTAGTTTTGTTGAATTCATGAAGTAGAAGCTGCTGACTGGATTGTGATGGCACTGACACTTTTGATGTCAACCAACATGAAAATGATTTTAAAGACGAGTATTCATACATTGTAAAACACTTTGTTAAAAATCTGCAAAAACTGAATAAAATCATGTATATGAACGGCTTTAACAATAACTAAACTTCAGTTGTTTTATCGGAGTGAATTTGCAGATGATGTGCTTTGTTGTGATATGTTGTACAGTGATCTAGATGTGAAATGACCCAGATCTAGTTAAAAAATTCAGGTCATTTTTTACAGCCTGACATCACTTGTATATGAAGATCAATAAATACCTCAGGATGCGTCAAGTCACACTTTACTGCTGTATAGATATATCACAGGCAGTCAAATGACTAACGGAAGTGTACTATACAACCACACAGGCCGCCTCAGGTGTTTAAATTTTAACTGTATGGCAAGCGCAAGAACAACAGACTGAAAAAAAGACACTTGGTTACAATCAAGATAAAATAGGCCCCTCTTAATCAAACAGAAGCCTATTATCTCTAACAAATCAATGAGTAATCCCTCTGGTCTCTTCCATTCACAAGTCCCCACTCGCATTCATTAAAAGATCTAGGAGAAACCAAGAAAATCAATCACATGTTTATTCATTTACCAACTCGTTTCGCTAGGCCAGATGTGACCCAATGTGTCACTGGCAGGTTTGTCTCAATTGGAAACTGAAATTCAATGCAGACAGTTAATGGGTAAAAATTTTTGTAGCAGCGACACACAAAGAGGAAATTCCTCTGTGATTGTCAGCTGATTAAAGCCCATTGTGATTTTGATACTGGATACATCAGCCACAAAAAGTCTGCAAACTTGACCTGAAGCAGCACTAATGGCCATTAGTGTTACAGTAATGACTGTAGCCTGCTTTGGTGTGATACTGCTGGCTTTGTTGTTCAGCCTTTGTTATGTAAGATTCTTATGGTTCAGTATGCTGCCTTTGACCATTTAATCCTTAAATTACTAGATTTCTTTCATCACACATGCAAATACAAATTTGACAAAATCCTTTCTTGCCTTTACTTGGAGGAAAAACTGTATAAAATCCTGACTGCAAGGGATAAAAAGAAAATGTGTATTAAGGCCGTTGTATTCAGACTGACTGGAAACTCTTTTCATTGACCAAGCCAAAAAAAAATAATAATAATAATATATACATTCATACACCTTTACACAGTACAGTGGGAAGGCACAGCATGACCCAGCACTATGGTGTAATCTTAGTCACACGCTGCCTTCAACAAACAGAGCCGGGAATCTGTTTCTGTGACCCAGTTCCCTTCAGTGTGTCTGTTCCTGGCCCAGTCTAGACCAACAGACATCCTGTGAGGTGATCACCTGCTCTACATCACTCCACTGGATGTCAGACTGACAAAAGAAGCTACTGTAAAGGCTGATTAAAGTCTTGAAGTTAAGACTCTGTCGGTACTACATGGGCTGTTGCCAGTATTTTGCAATGTAAAAGAGTTACCTGGGTAGCTTTGAGGAAGTAGTAAATGTGATGATTGTGATTTCTGTACATTTAGTGTAGCAGCACTCTGATCTATCAAACCCTGAACTATGGCAGCTAGTTTAGGAGTAGAACTTGTAACTATTGTCAAAGAGTTTTCTTTTGAAATCAGAAGTGCTTAATATTTAATGGTTCCACAAGTCCCTGATTAGCGGCATAATTGTATTAAACACCAATTACATTGGACATTTTGCATTTACATGGACGGCCAGCTTAAAGAGGGAACTTAGAAGCGATCATTTAAACTACACCATCTTTCAATTAATTTATAACAGTTTAAAGACAACAATCAGGCAGACTAATCGATGATTCAACAGTTGTTAGTTGCAGCTCTAATAGACAGATTCTCGCTTAATTTCACTTAACGGGCTTCTTCATCTGTTACAAGAAAAGAGTGATGAGTAATGTTTCACTCAGTGTCTTGTTTGTGTGTTTTCCTGTGTGCATGTGTTTTCGAAATATTCTGCCAACCTGGTTTTGTACTCTACCATCCGAATGTTTGGGCATCGTTTCTTCCAGAGAAAAGGTTACTCAGAGGGAATAGGCCTCCACTCGCAGTGAAGTATTGTCTGAAGGATTGTAGCCTTTGAGCCAACTCACCCAACCACCTGCCACTAAACGTGTACTTAGGATTCCAAAAGAGGTGGCATGCAATCACGTTCCAAGTTTGAGCAAAATACCTGACCTCACAACTGCAGGTGACTTGGCTGTTTATTTTCAATCTTGCATGGTCCTTCTGGTCTCCACTGAAAACATTCATCATGCTGGATGACTAGGCCTGTTAGCCTTGCACAGGGGCCACGGCACCTTATCCTCAAAATGCTTTACCTGCATCTTTACAATCTGCCTGTCTCTGGACTTAATAAAAGATAAGATAGATACTGGATCTGTTTAGAAAAGGTGTTCAGGCATTTTTTCATATATCTACGCTATATACAACCCCGAACGTTGGGACGCTGTGTAAAATGTTAATGAAAGATGATAGTTTGCAAATCATTGTAACCCTAAATACAACTGTAAATAGTGCAAAGAAAACATGTCAAATGTTTATATAGAAATACTCTGCTAAGGAAATATGAGCACACTACATTATTGATGCCAGAAACACTTTCAATAAGTTGGGACTGGGGCATTTCATTGTGTTGCATCACTTCTTCTCTTAACAACAATGTAAATGCTGGCATAGTCTTTCTAAAAAATATGGAAGCCCTTAAAGGACACAATCAAATGTAATTTATTTTTCTTTTTCTGTTTTGTCGTGACAACAAGTAATTTCAGTTGTTCTCCTAAATATTTTCAGTCAATATTCTCATTATGTCAAGAAAACAATTTTTGTTTTCTCTAGATAATGTGATATTTATCTCATTATCTTGAGATAACAAGTTAATTTTCTGGCAATCTAGAAACCAATAAAAAAGACTGATCGCTTTCATTGAAATGGACAACCGTATTTTTCGCACTAAAGGCGCACCATCAATCACATCTATTCGCGTCTATTTTCATACATAAAGCGCACCGGATTATAAAGCACACCGGATTATAAAGCGCAGTAAGCCAAACAAAACAGTCAGATAAATCAAACTTTATTTAACTCATTCAATAACTCCGCAAGACTACGGTAGCTGCAGTGCTCCGACAAGCCAAATGGATTTTAAGTGCGCCTTATAGTGTGAAAAATAGGGTATGTTTATGGACGACCCATTTTTTCAAGTCTTCTGACCACTCAAAGCGCTTTACATAATACCACATTCACACACTTATGGTAGAGGCTGTGATAGTACAGCACTAATTCTATCGACACACTACTGTCCACAGCCAGTGGGCATGTGGACAGCTCTGGGATGGAACCCTTGTCCTACTGAGTGGGAGACAACCGACTCTACCAACTGAGCCACAGCCACCACAAGCCCTCCATTAGCCAGACTACAATGTGAGAAGTTAATTCTCTCAAGGTAATGACAAATTAACTCAATGTCTGGAGAAAAAGGACAAATAAAATTATTTAATCATGTCCTTTCAGGGCTTCCATATACTGTTTATATACAGGATATCATCTGCTGAACTCTTCAGGGTCTCCTTTTTCCTGTTATTGGTTTTCTGTTGCTTCAAATGTCTTCAATGGGTGACAAGTTTGGACTGCAGGCATGCGGTAGAAGTTGAACTCCTCTACTACAGAGCCATGCTGTTGAACTACATGCAGAACATTGTGATGTCTACACAGATCTGATCTTCCAGAGAGAGCCATGGGTTTATGAAGAATGCTTCCACATAAGTCAGCCAGTCATGTAGATGAGGATTTTGTGATTTGAGAAAACAGTTTAGTCTTTGGAAATATACTCCATTCATGAGAGACAGCAGTTAAAAAAAATATTAAACAGAGGAACACACTGACATGCATGCTTCAATATTTGTTCATTCTTCAAAGTCAATATCTTCATTGTATTAATAAAGACAACAACTGTAGGTCACACATCATGCAGATATCATAAAGGCCTGTGGACACCTCCTTTACACCCAGCACTGACACAGGATGTCAACGGTCCTTTCAGCAGTTTTCCTCTCACATTATTATTGCACATTTGAGGTCTTCCCCATCAGTCCTATCAGTCGTTCGTCTGGTCTGACACAGGTATAGGGCTACTACATTGGCTGATGAGGTTAGAATCACTCCTGAGAAACAAGTTTTATGAGTTATCTGGATAACTGTGCTGAGTAAAACTAAAAACATTTTCCAATTTTAGCTGTTTAGGTTTCCAAGCATATTTTTTTGACTGGTATTGACTTTTTTCCATAACTTTTTAAAATCATAATTATGTCATTCTTTCTAAGAATTGCATATATACGCTGTAGGCTACTTCAAATGAAATACCTTTAAGAAGAAATTGGATTTCTAAAACTCTTTTTGATATACATCATGATTCAAACAAACAAACATGACAAGAGTTCTGTGAAGAGACTAGCACAAACACCAGTTTTTTACGCCTCATACACCAGCATTCCCAAAGAGAACACTCAATTTGCTAGTCCTTATCACTATGCAAACTGCAGGCACATGCAATGCAAAATACTCAGCATGCAAAAATAGTGATGTGCACGCCAACACCAACACTATCACACAATCTCTGCAGGTGCTCAAAAGCACCTTAGCGATTAAAAAACGAAACCACTTACACATAAGAATAAAAAAAACCTACATTGTTCATTACCTCAGGAAAAGTTTTCTTTTCCCACCAGCTTTAAAGATTTAAGTTTGATTTAGCTGTATTCAATTGAAGGAATAATCCAAATCCATACAAATACTCTTACCAACAAAATACACCAGAAATGGCAGCTTAAACTTAACACTTTGACATCTTACAACTGTACAAAAGCACACATTACTATCAACAATGGGGGCCATTCTAACAATCTCTGGCATCTCTGCAACCCTTGTCCGTCTTGTGTGAGTAGTAGCTAGTCTAAATTCAACCAAGAGAGGAGAAAAGTATTTGCTTTTATTAACTACACTGAAACAATGCAATCCAGAACCTTTTTTCTGAGTTTATTGGCTCTATGAATCCAATAATGCAAAATAGCTGACTGATCAAAAATCTTTTGTTGGTTTGAGGTGAGAACATACTCATGATCTTCCTGCTCTAGTCCCATAAAGAGCCAAAAATAATTTTACACCGCTCATAATAACACAAAATATCTCTAATGTTGTTTTACGTGCTAGAGCGGAATACGAAAGCTGCCGAGCAGTGTTGGTATTGGCTTATAATGTGCAAGTCAGTGGGTGTAGTTTATCTATGAACATTTGTGAGAGGCACATAAGGGATAAAAATCACATCTCGAAATCACCTGATATCAAAGGTGACTATGGGTTATGTTTTTTGATGAAGGGCTTTATTTAAATGAAAATGATCAGGCCTGATTCAACAATGATAATGCCTGATTGAGCAAGCCATAGATCTCATGAGCTTACTTGATTTTTCATTTAGTGCTGTGTCATTTTTAGATCAATATCAAATGAAACATCTTGGGCTCATGCATCTAGTCTTTTGAGTAAGTGTACGCAGATTGCATGAAAGAGCATATCACACACATCATTTGGTCTTGAAAGAGAATATCAGCACTAATATAAGATCCTTGCTCTTCTCAAGGATACAGGAAATCCTACATGTATTCACAGAGTATCTGAGGAATCAAGGAAATGACAGTGTGAAAATAGTTTTCATCGGGTGTGTCTGCCAGAGACCCCAACATTGTTTCCTGAATTAAAAAAGTAATCCAACAACAACTGATCTCGCCACATGCACAGTTTTCACTGTCGTGTAACATAAATCACGGCCTCAGCTTTTGTTCGATGTGTACCCAGGAGGCAAGTGAGCTAGTATGCCATCTTGAACACATCGACACAAACTGATTTCATCCGGAGCCAACACAGCCAAAGTTGCCTGCTTATATTGGGTTAATATTATGACAATTTAGGTCTAGAACTCGCGACTTGAAGGGGGTCAACATCTCGGATTTCTCCCTAAACATACAGTGTGACTTACCTGCTGTTTCATGTGTGGTGGCCTATAGCAGATGCACAAGCACTCATACTGTAAGCATGCTCAAGCGCACACCTGCCGAACCACGTTTCCAGGACAACGCCATCATCAGGAGCCAATAAATCCTAATGGCCAAATAAGCCCTGCGTGGTGTCCCACTTAAAGCTGCTGGGTGACTGTAGTTTCTTATCAGTTTTACTTGGAATGAAACAGTACTGTAAAATGACAGCTAATGACGCGTGTTTGGTCATCTGATGGTGTGTTTTGCCTTTAAGAGTCACAATAAAACCCCATATCTACAAACCTTTAGTTATTTGGCCTTCAAGACATAAAGATAGGTAATATCTCGCGCGTTAAACGTCCTAGACCTTGTTTGTCATGGTCACGCTCGAGCATCAGCACATACACAAACCGGCACATTAAGTCCTCGAGCTGCGGGGAGGCGAGACCCTTCTGTTTCATCTCTAACTGTTAATTAACCGCCGCCAGCGCGAGCCCCTGCTACGACGACGTACAGCGGACATTTACAGTTGTCCTTTCTGAATACCCGTACAACAAAATGTGCGCTACTTATGTCTCAAGTGGGGTAAAAAATGACACATTTAGAGCTCACCTGCGTGATGAAAGACAAGACGAAGCCCACTTCCCTTCTCAGCTAGCGTTACGTCTGCCGCCTCGTCCCCGTGGTTTGTGTGTTGTTACAGCGGTGCGTGGAGAGGAGGGAGGCGGGGGCAAAGCCAGAGGATAGCCGAAAGGGAACTGACTGTGTTGAAGAGAGACGACCGTCTTCACGCCTGGTTCTCCTGACACAAACTCCTCTCCTTGAACAGACGGGTTTTCAAGCGGCTGCCACAAGCTCTACCCAGGCAAGGATTTCGCCTTTCATAAAACCACGGGGTAGACGTTTGGTCACCACGCATGCCCGGGTCCGGCCGTGACGTCAAGTGACAACCTATGCACTAGCCCCGCCTTGGCACCGTGGTTCAGCCAATCAGGGGTGAGAATGAGGATGACGACACCCCCGCCCTCCCCTGTAGAGATCTCACTGCCTTCAGACGGTTTTTTTTATAATAATGACCTTTCTTGTGTAAGATGAGCTTTGTGGTTTTTCTTTCATTACTGTACAGTTGCTTTACAAAACCGTCCAATGTATGTTTGAAAATTAAGATCGGGTCAATCTGTGCGCATTCTCCTCTACCTTCAGTCCAGTCCATTGGTACACTGCCATCTAACGGCTGTTTATCTGCCTTTACTGACCTACATTCACACACTAGTTCTGGTAGTTAGCTGACATAACCAGTGGGCACATCAGGTTGGATAACAGAACTAAACCTTCAAGTCTCAGTTTGTTATGTAGCATGGTAAAGTACTTATGAGGAGTTATGTTTAATGTTGGTTCCTGGTATCAAGACAAAATAGTTGGAATTCATAGCAGAAATACCTTTACAAAAGACTATTTATAGTAGCTTATGCACCCTCCTAGACGAAAGTGGGGAGTTAAGTGGATTGTTGTGGAAATAATTCAACCATAACCTATCTATATTATGATAATAACATAGTCCTACATCAATTGGGGCTCAAAGCACAACCTAAATTCTGATTCTCATTATTTTCAGTCTCTGCAAGAGTTTGATAACCTGCATGTTTGTGGTCTGAACTCTCAACCACCTCATCTCAGTCTAACAAAAAAAAGACATGCAACTCTAATATTATGAAAGCTGTGATAAAACGTTTTTGTCCACTTGGGGGCAGAGGAGTTCAAACACTTTTGGCATTACTAAAGCCTTGTGACAGGTTTATTGCACTGGTTGGCATGGCGTGTATTTAAGCAATAACCAGATGGCTCTCAGCTCACAAGAGGCAATATTTGTATTAATGCACCTTTCCTGGTCCCCAGATCAGTGCCGGTTTAACCTGAAAGAAGCAAAATGAAATCTAAGCCCATAAAGATTTCCTTGCTTCTCCCAGATTTTTTTAATATTATCATGTAAGTTTCAGCCAGTCATTGCTATTAGATTCTGTGTAAATTAGATAAATAAAATGCAGGGCACCTCTGAATGAAGAATAGAACTTGTGTTAAAATGCACTTCCTCCCTCTCGTTTGTTGGCATGGGCAGCCAGCTGGCAGTATAGTGAGTTTAAAGAGTGTCCGGGGTCATGTGCAATGTTGAGGAGGTCTTGTGAGTGATGCCTCTAATAAGAAGATCTGAACATTTGTATTTTTTTTTTTTTCAAACAATTTTGCCATGACATATTACTACAACAATTAACATACATTAAACCTCAGATTTAGGGGTTTTGTTTAACACTGGACTACCCCTTTAGGTATCATCATAGGTGTCAAACAGTATTGAGACATTTGTACAAAACAAAGACGGGTGTCAACTACCAAAGCACACTTGTTAATTTCCATAATATTCAAGTGTAGAGTCTTGCCCTCTCTGCCTGTGATGGCTTGTTTGGTTTGGTTTCCTCAAAAGGCAAAACATCAAAGGACATAATGGAAACTGTTTTTTTCTGGTTTTACCAGACCTTAGCTTCAACTCTAATATCTCTTCTCCTCTCACTACCAATCCTCAATCAGCTGATTTGGTTTTTGCCTCTGTTTTGTTATCATAGTGTGTAACACTCACTTCTTTCATCCACACATTACATCTATGACTGATCAATCCATCTTAATGTTATCAGGGTTGATTGGTATTGTTATAAAATGAATTGAATTCCTTTCACTGCTATGTCATGTATGACTCCTGTCTTTGTCATTCTTATTTACAAAATGTTTTGACTGTCTTTTTTTACCTTGACTTCATCCTTTCTATGTTATAATACCTCCAGTATTTAGCAGTATAAAACTTCAATGGACTTTGATTTGATTTTTGTACGTTACATCAGAGTTATAAGTCCAGCCTCTAATCAGCATTTTTCAATCCAACCTGCTACAAAAGTCCCTAACTTTGGGCCAGTTCTTTACAAAAGCAGTTATTTCATTCGAAAAATAGGCTTAACCCACACAATTATTCATCCAGAGCGTAATAGTTACATGCTGGATTGGAAATTTTAATTCTGATAATAGTATTTAAAGCCAGCATTGTTTTTGCATAACTGAAACCAAAGCAATATGTTGTTTTCTGTAACTCTAACTAATGTTTAACTTAACAGTCATGATTACATGACCAAAGTATGGGATGTTACACAATAGTTCATTTCAGTAACATGTTATTAAGTTTGAGATTATGAAGCCAATATGCACAAATAGAGAATTAACCTATTATGACCTAATGGAACAGTTTTATCTTCACTTACTTCATGCACATTTTGCTTTGATATTTTTCAATGAAAAGGGACCATTTATTGAAAATGTTAGTAGGTTTAAAGTATCTGCCCTGTTATAGAACTCCAAACTAGCCTGAGACAAGGTTTTTTCTTAATGCATGTAACCCAGAAAAAAAAAAACATTTAATAAGTGTAAATGAAGATTAAAATCCTTAATCATACAATCAAGTTCACAATATCTATTGATATTCAACTTCAGAAAAAGTACATTTGATTATGATTCCTTAAACGTTCCTTAAATTTTTTTTTTTTTTGATGCTCTGTTCAAAACTTTTTTGAGCTTTTTGTAATCATGCATTTGTCTGTATAGTATGATAGAAATCACAGAATATGTTCTCAGTTTACTGATTTTTGTTTTTTAAGTTTATAGTTTAAGTTTATATTTTAACATCTGATACCTCATAGTGAGTAAATGTGTAACTCTGTCCAAAAATTGTGCAAAAATCAGTATGATTAAAAAAAAATACAACTATCACTGAGAGGTTGGAACAGTGAAACATTTTGCATGAAAAATTAATTCAAGAAGAAAAAAATATCCCATTTTCCTTCCTATTACTTGTACATTAACATGCATTTCTATGGAAAACTAACCATTGATGCAGAGTCCTGTTATCAAAGCTGTCAGAGAAATTAGCTGACACAGAAAGTAAACAACTCTGTTTGTCTTGTAGGGGAGTAGAAAGACCTTAAAATTGTACTTGGAGGAAAATTCTTATCTATACTTCACTACTGTGCATAATACAGAGGCAATGATGACCTGTCACTATTAGAGGCAGTCATGGACACCTGCAGGAATATGAACCGTTATTACAGGTCTGCTGCCAACCAGTTGACATTTGAATATTAGTATCAACATCAGCAGCAGCTAATACAGTCTTGACTGCTGATGCAACTGAACCTCAGGGCTCTTCTTTACCGACTTCTGAAACCATTCAAAACTTGTAGTACCACTTTTTCTTTGCTGATGTATTATTTGAGTAAATAGCTTTCTTTTTAAAGTCAAATTTGCCACTCATTGATAAACATTGCTGTGAAAAATATAAATAAAGGCATTTTTCTGCACTAGAACCACCAGCAGCTTTGGACATTACGAACTACTCTAAAAGAAAGCCAGTCTTCATGGTCAAACAAGAATAGATATACTCTACATACTGTGTCCTTGTGTGCCCCTTTACCTAATGTAACATTTTGTGTTTGCATTTCCCATGTAGGTCACTGCTTTCCCACTGATCAACACCGCTTTTTTCACATATCCTGTTTGTCTCCCATAGGTTGCTGCCTCATCCTGTGAATTCAGGCAGGAAACGTCGTGAAGGGACACTATAAGAAAGGACAAGTCACAGCTGTCAACAGCATCTTTAATTAACCCACATCACAAAGGTCCTACTGTACTGTTCATAATACCGTGGCACTTAGAGTCAGCATGCTGAAGAATCAAAGTAAGCCTTAATTCAGCGTGAGAACACAATGTTTTAACAGTCCTTGTGTTTGTGCACAGTACTGTACAGACCCACTTTTCCCAATCTGACCATAGCAACATACCTGCCATCGTCTCAAATACAAAAGAAAATAAAGTAATATTTAATGATACATCTAAATTTGTGAAGAACTTGGATTTAACATGAAGTTGAACAGATATTCTTCAAACAAATATTCAGTTCAGGTCCTATTTTGTAACCCAGTGCAGCACAGATGAGACCAATACAACGTAGGATTTATAACTATTAACTATACATATATACATACACACTGTTTCCACAGGTGTGTATCAGGTGCAGGTATCTACAGTGCCTTTATTTAGGCGCATATAATACACAAGTCATAAAACTGTAGTGCAAGCTAATTCCACATGACATATCTGATGACAAACATGCTTAAGTTCATGTCTCTTTTGAGTCAATTTAATTCTTTGTTCTCTCTATCCAGTGCACTATAAACTTTTGAAGAAACAATAAGTTTGTGTGTGTGTGTTTGTGTATGTAAGTGTTCAGGCTAGTGGATTATTGTAAGCTTCTTTATTCCTTGTTGACTCTTTTTATCTGACGATGGAAACACAAGGGGCTCTTCTGTTTCTTCATGATGGTTGGACACACAGAAACACACTACATGGATAGATGAGGATTTTACCCAGGAGGCTCTTCCTCTGTATGCAGCAGTCCTTTTAATCCAGAAGCAACATACGGCTAGAGGAGCACAGCAAGGAGCAGATAAAAAAGACATCTAGTTCCTGTAACTCTACAGTAGCTACATTATGTACCAGGAAGTCAGGTGATAATGACAGGTGAGGTATGGAATGGTGTGGTGTGTGTGGGTGTGTGTATGTGTATGTGTACATGAGTTAATACAAAGAAAAAATAAAAAGTCTTCATTCCTTAAATCACATTTTCAAACAGCTGCATGGAGTTCATGATGTTCTCATCCTGAAAGAAAAAAACAAAAAGATCAATCAATTAAGTATTTATGTGTATAAAATGCTTTTTTTCCACTTTCATAATAGCATATAATATTTTCTGAAGATCTTTGCCACTGTAGTTTTAAAGGCTACTCTAAAGAAAGTTGAGATGTGCTGATTTGATGCTTTATTTTCCTTTCTTGGGATTGCTACTGATGAAAGCTTTATATTCTGAGATTACTGCATGCAAGAATTTCTGTATTTTTCAGATGATAGTGTAATTTTGTCTTATTTACAAAAAAAAGGTTTGTGTTTGAGTTTGGAGCAGTTTAATCATTTTTCTTTTTTTCAGTATTTTGAAGAGGCATGTTTGAACAGCTGCAAAAGTTGCGTGAGTTTCATGGTCCCATGTTTGACTTTCAGGTAAATCAAACATTCATCACGGTGAATCTCAAACTCAACACTCTCTCTCACTATCTGCTGACCTCCACGTGAGTCAGGACTTGACAGATGTTCACAGGAGGACCAAACATAACATAAGTGTGTCTTGTTTATGTTTTTATGAAGTCATAGAAAATATGTCTGTCAACGCTCAAAGCCTTGTTGTTTTAATTCTCTGCCGAAACAGTAACAACTACAACAAGGGGCAACAAGTCAAATTCCCATTCAATTTTCCATCACATGTTGATCTTTCTGTAGACCGTAAATGTTAATTATGATTTTATCAGCGCTGAAGACTAAATACATGTTTGAGTTTTCAGGCTTATGCCAGGAAGTAATAACTACTCATTACAGCTAAGAACCAGGTTATTCTCAGAGGTTAGGCCATAGTTGCCAAATGCAAACAACAAAATCTGTTGAGCCAAACATCTTAATTATGTGGTTTCACAAAACAAATACTAATGGACATTCTGTGCACGTGTATGGTCAGTGATTACTTCAGTTTTTATTGACAAATGTACTTTTTACATTTTCAAAGAAATAAATAGATGAAAAAAGAAATGTGGATTGAGCTGAACTATAACAACAGTCAAACTCTAAAAATAACTGCAGCGTGAAACATATTTAGTTTTTTAACTGGACAAAAAGGACTGTGTGATTAGAGTTGACAATGACTTCAAGATGAAAATGTTTGTTTTTGTCTGGAGTGTAGTCAAATTAAAGCTTCTATGAGGAATTTTTTTATGTTTATGAAATACACTGAAATTTACATTGATGCCTTTTTATGACAAACAAAAGCAAGCAAAACCGTCACTAAAAAGTTAGCCTACTTTTATACTGTGATTTTTAATGCCTGAATCCACTGTGAGGGGCTAGATGTCAGCCAAGCAGCTGAGGCGGCCCTGGTTTTACACTTTCCACAAACAATATTAACAATAAATTACACATCTGAGCGCCATAAGTCAGCAGGATGGGATTTTATGTCAGAAGACACCAAAGCACATAGAGGAAAAAAACGGGCAGAGACTGCTTCGTCCGTAGGGGGCGCCGACATTGACTGAATTTCAATTTCAGTTTCATTAACTCAAGTGTGAAAGCAGTAGGAGTGAGTTTGATAACTCCAGCCAACAAAAAAAACCAACAATTAAGTGCTGTTCTGCCTTTACTCTCTTACTCTACTCTTACTCTCCATTGTTCTGCCAATAATCTGAACCCTGGTGCTTCTGTCAATGCATTAATATAAGATTAGATTAAATTAGATAAAATAAGATTAGATTAGATATAACTTTATTGATCATTTTGGGAAGGTTCCCTCAAGGGAATTAAAAAGATTGGAGAGTTTTTAAGAAAACTTGTGAGAAAGGGGTTTGAAAATAAAAAAGGATATAACACTTAAAAATGAAGCTGAGTGTTAAAAAGGGAACCACAATAAGCAGGGTAGGGTTTGGATGATGCAAGAGAATGATGGGAAAGTGAGTCATGTGCATTACCCACCCCATGTGATAATCTGACTCAGCATCTGATTAAACAGTGACACCATGCTTACACTGACACTGAACCTTGACATGTTGTATTTGCGAAGCTGAGCAATTGTTATGTTTTGCAATAGTATGTGTGCATGCGTGCGTGCGTGTGTCTATGTGTGTAGCAGGTTGCTAACAGTCACCTTCTGACAGGTCTCGATGAACTCTTCAATTGTCACCACACCGTCTCTGTTTTTATCCATTTTCTGTAAAAACATCAAACAGACAAAAACAAGTCAGGACCTTACCAGGAGCTTTTGCAGATGCTTCGTTTTTTAACTCCGGTTTGCAGATATTAAGAAAATGAAATGTGGCTCAGTGTGTTTGAGTTTCTTTGGTTTGTGTGTTTGAGAACCTGGAAGAACTTGTCCACGTGTTCGTATGGAGCTTCATCTCGCACACAGGGGTACGTGTATCTCCCCATCATGTCGTAGATTGACTTCATGATGGCTAACATCTCCTGAAAACAAAATGGTCAAAAATAAGGAGTTATAGATCTACTTCTCATTTTTCTAAAGCAGTCTGTCTGACTTTAAAAACATTATTTTCTCTTGATTTTATCCTCCAGCTACCTGCAGCTGTTTGAATCTAGCCTGCACTCTTGCTGTACTTCCTACTCTCACTTCCTGTCAGAATGCACAAGTCAATTCCAGAAAGAGTTGTGTTGGAAGACATATATGAATTACAAGTACCGGTTTCCAGTCACCTCTACTATAACAAACCTCTTTGGTGATGTAGCCATCTTTGTTGATGTCGTAGAGGTTGAAAGCCCAGTTGAGCTTCTCGGTGACTGAACCTCGGAGCAACACCGACAGACCGATGACAAAGTCCTCAAAGCGGATTGACCCGTTCCTGTCGATGTCGAATGCATTAAAGAGGAAGTGAGCGTAGGTTGTTGCATCTGTGGACCAAAGGAGTCAAGGTCATAAATTTAGTGCAATGCATGGAACTGTCTTTCTTGTGAGGAGGGTTACATTCAACTTAACTCATCAGAATACTAGACCTTCCCCAGGACTTCTGCTGCATGTGATGAAATATGATCCAATGATTGAAGTGATTTCACTCAGGTGCAAATTTTCCTCCTATCTCCTTGTTTGATACCTTCATTATGAAGAGTGTGGTTTACTTCACTGAAGTATTTCTGCGCTTTTATTTGGTAACTTTTATAAAGTAGAAACCCCCCAAACCAAACTTGAGTGTCCTGAGTTGTTTTTGTTTAGTAATTTTGTATTTTCCTTGTTTTACTTCGTTGCTTTCACTGAGTTTTGTACCTTTTTGTTCTCTTTGTTTCCTGTCATGAATTTTGTTCAAGTGCCCCCTGTTTTATTTTGTGTTTCATGTCTCTTTAAACTTCTTGTTTTAGGCTCCATCTCACTGTCCACACTTACTCACTCACTAATTTTGAGGCACATTCCCGCCAAATCTGTGAGGGCTTTTCCCACTGTTAAATCTCTGCCATACTTTCTGAGCCTTTTGTGCACCTTTTCCATTGGTGGGCAGACTTTGAGTGAAGGAATTACTCATTTTAAAACACACTGTTGATAATCAGAATAAGAAATAGACAACCATTCACAGCTAGAAACTCTCATTGAGTCTCTAAGAACAAGAAAGGAGAGATAAATCTAACTTCTAACCTCCTTGGGGAAAGAACTGAGAATAGATGGTCTTGAACGTCTCCTCATCAACCATTCCACTGGGACACTCCTGTTCCAGACAGGGAGAAAAGACATATATTAGATGAAATCGTGTCTAATTAAAGCAAAGTAATAGGGTTAGAGTACTGGAGATGTACGTACATTCTTGAAGCCCCGATACAGAGACTGGAGCTCCTTCCTGGTGAACTTGGTCTGAGCCTGCAGCTGGTCCAGCCCCTCCGGCTGGTGACGCACCGTGGACAGCTCCAAGTCACTGTCGCTGCTGTCTGTAGGAGAAAGAGAGAAAGACAGAAATGGAAGGATGGATAGACGGACAGTAAGAAGGGTAGAGGAAAAGGAGGAAAGAGAGAAAAAAGATGTGGAGCAGGGAGGATGACCAGGAAAAAAAAGGATGGGGGCAGACATTGAGTGCAGGGAGGGAGGCATTTGTAATAGATCAAATGGAAAGCGTGCAATTTAGGAAAAATAGCAGACCGAATTTAGGGGGAAAATAAGAGGAGGTACTTTCTTTATGGCGGAGATGTCACCAAACAAGTACTAAGTTACGTTCAATAATCTTTCCTTAAAACAAAAAGGTATTAGCCAACACAGGAGTTGACAGTTTATAAAAATCTTTTTTTTTTCTACCATAAATTGTGTTGCAGCATAATTGGTTTCAAGTTCGCACACAATAAGAGAAAGCACTGCACAACTGGGTCAAAGGAAAACATTCAAATTTCAAGAAAAGGAGGGAAGTTTTCTTGACATAGTTGAGATTTTATACTCACCATCTTTATACAAAGAGAGGAAAGAGCAAGGAGAAGAGGAGGAGGAGGAGTGTTGAGACAAAGATGGGGTGAAAGAGAGCACATGGAGAAGGAGTGAGAGTGATAGAAAGAGGAAGAAAAAAACAAAAAGAAAATAGTCAGATCAATCACTGGGACGTTTATATGATGAGACAGCAAGTGGTCCAGGGGAAAAAGACTCCAGTTACATTCTGACCAAACATCCAGCAGAGCAGTCATATATGATATGCTGTGAAACTAACATGAAGAAAAAGCACAGTGGTGGGAGTTTCACTAACGCGCATTCGAGTAATGAGAGTTCAGTCCTGCACAGAGTGAGAGGGACACATCAGGCGATGACCTATGACCTCGATTGCAACTAATCTCAGATTTTTAGAAACTGAAAATCATTGCTGTTTCACAAACAGATTACAATGTGCAGTTGTAACAAGTCATAATTAGAGCGCTCTCAGGCATACATTTCCCCCTCTTGACCTTTGAAACAGTCATCTGGCTTAGAAATTCTCAAGGTCCTGTAATGTTTTTAGAACTTTGAAATACGTCTAGCTGATAATCTGCTTATAAATACACTATTAACTAGCACGCACTTTCATGTACTCTTATCATAATCAGATTATGAGTCAAAGTTTGCAAATGCAAGTACATCTTTGTTGTTTGTTAATCCTCATTTACGCAGGGGCGTCGCGGAAGGGTGGCAAGGAGTGGTATGAGCCTCCTTTGAAATCAGATTGCCTCCCCTCATGAAAATCCATACTATGATTGGTTATTTGCTTCATCACAGGAAAACAAAAATTAACAAATTGAATTGTTTAGGAAAAGTCTGCTGGTGTTATTTACTCTAAAAGCTACTCTCTATTGTTGGTAGCTTTAAATGTTGAAAAACACTTTGCAAATCCATCCAATAAGACAAATATGAAAGAGAGAACTCAGTCCATCAAGATTTGCAAGGAAATTCTTTCACAATGTCTGTACATGTCTGTCAAAAATTGGCAAAACTTTGGTACCAGAATGGTGGGAGAGAGGGTAAAACGCCATTCATCCATCCATGTGAGTGCGGACATACTTCATACTATCCCTACAAATGTACAGAGCTAAAATACAGATCCTCCCAGATTTGCCCACCAAAGTAAGCCTTAATACAGCATGAGAACATAATGTTTTAACAGTCCTTGTGTTTGTGCACAGTACTGTACAGACCCACTTTTCCCAAACTGACCACAGCAACACACCTGCCATCGTCTCAAGTACAATTAAAAATAAAAATAAATTAATCACACATTTAAATTGTTAAGAACTTAAACATGATTTCACATGAAGTTGATCAAACACACTCAAGGGGAAAAACTTTTTAACTATTACAGAATTAAATAACAAAACACTCCAAACATTAGTTTGTTGCAGGTAAACATCAATTGTTACATCTATTTCAGAATAAATATTAAAACATATGTATGTAGAAGTGATTTATAAACATTTTTTAGTTAGTGGGTGTAAAATGAACTAAAATGCAAGGCTAAGTTTGAATTTAGGAACAGCTATTTATAAAAAAAATCTAATGTGGGAATATCTGGAGCATTTGTTGACAATCATTGGTGTTGAATATTCCCATCCTCAGTCTATTATATTAATAAAGTAATAGTATATATGTGTATATTTTGTTGAGCGGGCTTATGACTTTCTTATTCTTATGAGCATCTTTGTATAACTGTCTCTACAAATCTAAAAACCAGGGTAAACAACAACAACAACGATATTGAAGTAAATTAAAGAATCAAAGCTTTGCACCGGCCTCTTTGTCTCATGTCACCCTCTTCATCCTCCTCTCCCTCGCCTCTCTCCCAGGTCGCCTCACCTGTCTCTGTGATGTCAATCAGGCCCAGCAGGTGCATCAGTTTGAGGAACATGATCACCAGGCAGACAATTCCCACTGTCTGGAGTCCCTCTGTCTCCCACCTCACACTCATCTTCCCCTCTTCTTCCACCTTCCCCTCCACGATCAGTTCCTTTGTTTTTCCCTCACTACTACATAATTTTAAACATTATCTGTACACCTCTCCCACACTTCAGCTGTATCTTTTAGGCTAACTCTCTCTGTCCTGCTGCTCTATCCCTTCCTGTCACAGAAACAGTGTCACTCACCCGTCACTCATTTTCTGTTTCTTCATTTAGCCCTTCCCTTCTGCCTTTTTTAATTGACTAACTCCCCCTCCCTCCTCTCCTTCTCTCTCTCTCTTTCTTTCACTCTCTCTCTGTAATGGATCTGACAGAATATGCTACAAAACTACAAATAGGGTCTGATGGTTTGACTCCCTTATAACATAGAAGTGGAGTAGATTATTGTAAAAAGTACCTCAACAGAGAGTGGGAGGGAGGAAATTTATCAAAAAAATAAACCACACAAAATCACCACATTAGAAAATTATTTCCCATCTCATTAAAAAAAAAAAAAAACAACAACTGACCTGAAACCTCCAAGAAATCAGATACTGACACTTTAAATAGGTGAGACTAAAACAGTTTTAATCTGTTAATCTATTTGCTAAATGTGTTATTATTACAACTACCTTCCTTAAAAGGAATTGTAGAGGGTAGTAACAAAGGTCAACAGGTGTCCTCAATCTCTTTTTCCCACCCAGCTCTGTGATCCACTTTCTAATTGCGCCCCTATCTCTCCTGGGGTCCATAACACAGATTTAATACTGTGTCACACACTCATAATCAAGTAATAAAGGGAAAGAGTGAGCTCACACTCCCTCTAGTGGAGACCGATGAAACAACAACAGCAGAGCCAGAGAGTCAAGAGATAAGTCCCTCTCAGTCATTTGTACACACTCACTCTCCTCCTCCTCAGGCGTAAATGCATGGATGGGTGTATCTTTAGGCTGCATTGTGGATGTTGACATTTATTTATTTTTTTTATGGACTTTAAAATTATGGCCCTGACAAAAAAAGGTTTAACTTCATATGGGCACCCTTCTTAGTAATTATAAGCATTTATAACAGCTCATAGCAATGATTATGAAGTGTTATAAGCAGTGAACATTATGCCTTATGACAGTGTGGATTATTATAATCCATCATACCTTAATGCAAAACTAACAACTGTTAAATTCTGGGTTTAGTAACAGTATATCATCAAAAAGTGATAATTTCTATTTAGAAAATATCTCATTAATAATCACAGCATGCTACTCCAAAACTTAGGGAGCTTTAAGTAAAGTGAAAACGCTGTCTCAGCTTATTTGAAATCGTATGAACACATTTCTAAAAACTTAAAGAGTATTTTGTGGCTGTAAGTAAAATATCAGACAAAAATACTCAGAAATAACATTCTTTTTCACTGAGGTATGATACATCATAAACCTTAATAAGGCATTATTTCCAGTAATTATAACACTTCATGAAGATTGCTATAAGCCGTTATAAATGCTTAACATCACTTTTAAGGATGGTTATAAAGCATTATAGATCTATTTATAGGGCTTTATAAATGTGCTAATAATGCATTATAAGATGCGGCATATATTATCTGTTACTAAAAAAAACTTTATTGAATGACATTTGAGTGTCTTCAGATTGTGGCAAAAAAAAAAAAAAGAACTGATAAAACATATGAGACCGTTCAATCTCCCTCCATCTCTCTACTGTGTATCGATGGTCTCACAGCTGCAATCAATCCAGCATGAGAGAGTAATGTGGAGTAAAAATACCAATTGTTGGTATCAAGATACCTGCAAATAAAACTGGTACATCACTTAAGACAAAGGCTACTTCTGGCATTAGATGCCAACCTAAAATAGACCTGAGCTGGACTGAGCCCAAAATCCGCATCAGATCTTATCGGATCAGAGGGCTGAAACAACAACTCCAGGTCAGCCGGTTCATTAACCTGGATTTTACTTATAGCACAAGTTTACTATAGATACACACAAACACATACAGGTGGTCAGTGTGTTTATTTTGTGTGAGTCATCATCAAAGAGAGCTGTCTTGAGCTGTGGAGATATAAATAATGCAACCAATGAGCGATCAGACATTATGGGCCTGCTGATTGATAAAGGACCTCTAATGGACTGCTGACGCTAAATGTGGAAAACGTGTCAACAAAGTAACCAAGGTGACCTAAAGACAAACTCCAATTCATAAATATGTTCTTTACGTTGAACCGCTCAATAAAAGCTGCCTCCTTGTTCAATGTAAAAATCAAATTCTCTGTGTTTTATCAGCATTTCATTATCAATTCACACATTAAGAACTGTGTTTGTAAAGCAGCAACACTGGGCTAAAAACTACAGTTCCAGCAGTCCCTCATTAGGCCACTTGCAGCAAGTTTGAAAGCCAGTAAATCAGACAAAACAAACCCACTTTCAGCTTCATACAGAAACAGTTTGGAACAACTTTCTATTTTCATTACTACCAAACAAGGAGTTGTTATTTTTTATGACTCACTAATATGATTTATCAGGCCTGCAAAATAAAGGCGTGGGTGCTTGAGTGGCAGATGGTTACTACAAGCTGTTGTGTGTCATCTTGGATGGTGTGAGTTAATAATTTGTTGTTCATCTCTCTCTCTCTCTCTCTCTCTCTCTCTCTCTCTCTCTCTCTCTCTCTCTCTCTCTCTCTCTCTCTCTCCCTTGTTAAATCAGCATAATCATTTCTGTGTCTTTTACCAAAGCTGACTTAAGTATGAAGGCCTTTTGATGTTATTGTCCTGACCTTCGCCTCTAGTAAGTCTGTAAGCATCTACAGATCTGAATATAAGAATGACAGACAAAAATTATACAACAAAACATAAAACTTTAGTCAAATATAATAAGATTTAAATTTTCTGGCACTTAAATTCAGTTTACAGGAGGGAAAAGAAGAGTTTTCCTAGTGCTCACTTCTAAAATGAGCGAAGCATTGTTTAAAACATCAAGCTTAAATCTCTGAACAATTCAGAGAGTCTTATTCATTCATCCAAACTGCATTGTTTTGGCACACACACACAGAGGGAGCAATTCTCTGCAAATCTGCACAAAAATCACTTATGTATGCCTCACAGATCAGAACTGATGAGTTGATTCTCAGTGAAATTGTCTAACCCTTCCCAGCTTAGAAGCATTCTTTTATTGTTTCAGCGCCACAGGCAAAACAATCCATTTCAGTATCATGATCTGCCACACATACCAGTATTTATGATGTCTTCCAAAAAAAATAGGCAAAAAAAAAAATCCAAAGCAAAGTGAGAGTGTGTGGAATTGTAATCACAGTCAATCAATCACAATCAGGTTTGAAGTGTACAGATATGAAGCTTCTGCTTTCTGCCTACAGGATGTTTATGTGGGAGTACATTTCGACCTGTACGGCACAAACGATTACAAACAACTTTTTTAATTATAGAGAAACTGACCAATAAACTGAAAAAAAAGCTAGTTTTGAGGCATAAATGAAATACTGGGAGTGTGTCACTATCTTTTGCGAACATGCTGTGAAGTTTTAATGAACCATCAGACTGTTGAGACCTTTGCACTTACAGTTAAGAGAAAATTTAGACCGTTTCCACAGATGAGCCATAAAAGATGAGCTTAAATCAAGACACTGGGCTTTGGGATATTGGGACAAAAGTTGGTGACCAAAGTCTCCATCTTTGGTTAAGAAAATTTAGACAGGTAGGTGATAGAGCTAACAAATTATTTATTAATAATTGGTAGAATAATTTAAAAGCAGAGTTTAAAAAAACTGTAAAATGTTAAGTTTCCCAGAGAAAATATGACCAGTGACATACGCTCAGTGTTTGCAGGATACAGTATCAACTAGTTATGGCATGACATATTCATAATCTTAAAAATGTAATAGTGACAAGGGCCATCCTGAAAGTTTAAAGGCAACAATGCTTGGATGGGTGTACTTTAAAACAGAAGATAGCCAAATAAATGACAGCAGGGGTCAAGTTTGATGGCATATTCAGGGGCTCATTCATACAGTTATTTATCTAAGTGATCAAAATGAACCATAACGTCTAAATTTGTGAGTTCTGAAAAGTTTTGAATCACAAGATGATAAGATCTCTGGGTTTAAGAGCTCTGCGGTCAAAGAGTGAAACATGTTGATAAGGAGATGTTTGGGCAAGTGAATCCCAGTGAGAGGTGCTGAAGTCGTGAAATGTCAGTGATCAGGATGAAGTCTGATGACGTGAATTTTGGAGGCTACTGAGAGATGGCCAGTGTCCTTCAGGGTCCTGGAGGAGTTCTCCTGACTCCATATTTAGGTGGCCTCAGAGAAAGCCTGTTCGATAGTGCATGTATAATTAATAAGAAGTAATGCTAGACTGGGGTGTGGGCGCTGCCACAGTGGGCAAGAGGAGGAGAAGGAGGGGGAGGAGGAGGAGAAGGAGTGGGAGCTCACTGAGGGAACTGCAGATTAGAGAAAATGAGATGAGTGATAAATTATGAAACAATATAACTGGTGTTTTTGTCGAATTTATTACTTCTGATGTCGAGCCATATGAGAAGCACTAATGTGCCTGCTGGAGCCTTCCTGCTGTAATTGTCTTGGCACACTGATGGGGAGGGCACTCTCACTGGCTGGACTCCAGCCCAAAGACTCTGATCAAAAGCAGCTGCATCATTCAGAGAGCTGATCTGATGGCTCTTTTACAGTCCCAAATGTACACAGTCTAGTGGCCGATCAAGGTTTTATGGAAAATCTCTTAGAAGGCAAAAGAAAACATCCCATTAACCTTTCCCCACACTGACGCCAACAACAAACACAGGGTTCAAGGATTGTCAATAACTTAAGCCAAACTCCAAACAAACAGAAAGTATGTTATATTTTCTTAACATTTTGCTTCTTGGCCTTACTTTTTTATTTTGACACTTTGCTTACTACCGTCTGGAGGGGGCATGCACAAAAATAATTACTTGACCAAAGTTAAATCAAAGTTGCTCTTCTCCTTCATGTCTAAAAGGCAGTGACTTGAAGTTAAACAAAACTCCTGTCAGCTGTGTTTACTCGGATAGTCTCTACCATGACACAATACCTCCAAGACAGAGTTTTGGCTCGAGCTGGCGGTTTTTAAAGTAAAAAAATTCCAAACTGTCAACTTTTCATGAGCTGAGAAAAACAGCCCTGTCTTTTAAAACCTTCGCCTGTCAGGATAATCCACAAGGTTTTATCACCAAATTTGGTGATACGTCATTTGGTTGGGAACTTAACCGTAATGCTTCTGCACAGATGTCTTACAGTTGAGTTAGAGCGACAAACACTTAAACACCAACTTGAATGCCCTCTATTCAGCAATAAAAAATGATCAATGATTTGTTGCTCACTGAAATGATCGCCTAAGTGTTATTCAGCAAGTTTATCATCAATAATGTTTTGTCAGAAACTGTGAGTCACCCAGGAAAGGCTTATACATATGCAATGATGAATGGCATTGTTTTGGAAAAGACGTAGTTCTATGTTCAAACAGTTTGTGGACAATAATGTTTATTCACAAATCTAAGGTAAATCTAGGGTGAAATAAGATGTAAGTGCGTACAGCCATGCCAGTGCAGGTTTCTGTTATGCAATAGAGGGGCCTCAAGTGGGCCCTTACCTTCAAACGAGGACATGGGCTCCAGGATGCCAAACTGCTTCAGAACTGCCATGAAAAGGATGATGACCACGCCGATAGCAAACAACTCCATGCCCTGGATCCCCATGACTGCAGCACAGGGGAGCCCACTGACGGGCCAAGCCTACACTGGAAGGCCTTGTCCCGGGTCGAGATGAAAAGAAGGCTTAAGTGGCCCCCGAAAGCCGAGCCAGGTGAGTCAACAACAAGTGTTTCTACCAGAGAGGATCAGGGATCAGTTTGATATTTGGGTGACTTCATGGGTTTATTTCCAGGCCCGGGACTCAGCATGAGGGCCAGGGTAGGGAGCTGGATAAAGGCTGCTCTAATGTCAACACTGATGCTGACGTGGAAAATATGTGGAAGCTGACATATATGGAAAACCTCCCTCTCTAAACCCATGAGGAAAAATGGGGGTTGTGTCACCAGCCATTTATTACAGCGCATTAAAAAGAGACGTTTAGAGTCACTTTCCTCTTGCCTGAACTCTCAGAAGCTCAGACTGATAAAGACACAAGTTACTGCTGACCCTCTTAATCCAAACAGCTATTATGGGTCCTCACGTCATAGTTTACACTCAGGGATCACATTTTGGTTTTGGAGGGATACGTCCTTTGGGGAAAGCAAAGAATGTGGTGCAGCCTTGGTGTCCATTTTCAGGTTTTTGCCTCCATTAGGACAGAGAAAGTCTGAGCAAACACGGGTGAGTTATTGCGATACAAAACATCATAGAGCAGAATATAAAATCCCCATGTCCACTCATGTCTGGTACTATAAAGCCGCAGGATTACATTAGCAGTTGCTACTAAATTACCCCATTATATGCCGTGGCGAAGCCAAGGTTTGGCACTTCAACTCTGCAACAAAGTACTTTTTTTTTCTGCAAGCCAACAACAGTTACTGTAGCTTTAGCTGCATCCACTCACAATATTTACTAGGAGTTTATATTGCAAAGCAGACCCATAAATCATGGTAAAATAGACGAAAATGCATGCAAAGTGAAGCTGTTAAGAGAAACTTTCCCAAATCTTCAAAAAGGACATGTTTTTGATCACCAAATTTTCCTTCTTCCTTCAGCAGTTTCCTGTCAGAATGGTCTGTATTCCTCAGGTCCACCAAACCCCATTCAACAAAGTCTTAATTTAACCGCAGAATAAAACAGTATCAGTTCAGCGTTGTTTCTCATCTGATGCCGGGCACTTCGATGTTTGTCCAAAATCCAGCTCCAGATATGGAAGAGTTCGGCTCTGTGGAGAAGGCACTAAGCAGCAGTGTCCAGAGAGGGAAGTCCTGAGAAACTGAGAAGAGCTGTGGGGAATGAAACCTCCTCCCCCTGGAGTCTACCTCCTCCGCACATACTTTCCCATCACTACCCTCTCTCTCTCTCTCTCGCCCTTTCTCTCTCTCTACAGCTTCCTCTGTCTATCTAGGAGCAACTTTTCTTCCTTTGATTCCCTTTAAAGCACTCAGCACTGAGGGTTAAAACTCGAGAGCCTTGTTCACTTCAAACCTTCCACCTATTCTCTCTGATTGTGGAGCCTCCTATACCTCAGATTTTTGTTTCTCTTCTCTCCATCTTCCCTGTGTTTCCATAACTTTGTCTATCTTGAGTATTTCTACCCCAACTAAATTCCTCTTTGTCCCTTTCCTGCTTCAGTGTTGTTACTGTCTGCTCCACTTTTCCACAAGATATTTTAACCAGGTTGGGTTAAGAAATGTTTGATCAGGGGGAACCAGACAGCTTTGGAGAAAGGGGGGTAAAATGAATTCATAAAAATGCCTTGTTGACCTGTGAGTTTCTGAATGCCAAGCAAAGAACTATTGATTTTTATTATAAAGTATATAAACTGTAATTTGGCTTCCATTGAATTAAGTGTTAGCTCATTATTAGTCATTTTGCTTCAGTAATGTGAGTAAATGCTTTAACTTCTCCAAGTGCAATCAGACACAGGTGCTGACCTGCAGCACTAAAGGAAATATTTAAGTAGGTCAGGGTTTTTGTCAATGTCATTATCACCACTTAAGCATCAGCAACGGCATAATAATGAACTTCATGAAACCTCAAGACTATCATTATCAATGCCCATGTCTTCAATATCATCCTACTCACCAAACTCCGAAGTATGGAGTTGCTAGATCTGTTTCATCTGAGGTTGTATGTCTTCCCTCACTCTTTACCCCCCACATTTCCCGTCCCTCTTCAGCTGTCCCATCCAATAAAGACAAAACATGTCTGAGAAAGTAACCTTAAAAAAAGGTGTTGCTTCTTATTTTGTGAATAATTGTCTAAATGATTTTTAATGTCTATCAAGTCATGCAGGGAAGTGTGTCGAAGCCCAAGTGCAGGCAGCAGTGTTTCCTCTTTCGATTATGCTCTCTGCTGAACAACAAGTTTGTTTTTGTGTGTCTTCTTACATGGAAAAACCACAATAATTCTATGGCTTGTTATTGCCTCTCATATGAATGAAAACAGATACACACATTTCCCACATACTGCCTCATGTCGTTTTGGTTAGGATGGAAATTGAGCGATACATCTAGAGCGTGCCTCAAACAAACTGGTTTTCTTTTGCTCTGTCTGTTCTCCTATGATCTCCAGCCCCCTGTAGTTGTCAGTCCCTGTACCCAGTTTCTCACCAATGCAGACAATCTTTCCTCAGAAAGTTTCACCATTTTAAAAGTAGTCTATTTTGTTATGTTTTGCTGGTCTGGCTGGAGCTGTTGGAAATAGGGCTGGGCGATAAACCCCAAATTTACTGATACCAAAATTTACGACAATCACTGATGTCATTTTGCCCATGTCAATATATTCGGTGTCAAAAAAATTGATAAATAAAAGTTGGTTTTGGATGTGTGTAGGTAGGCTATGGTCTCATGTCCCTTTAAGATGCTGTCCTACGTTGGAGATGTGACTTTACCCCATCCAGTCTGTAACAAAGAGGGAAAGAGGTGAGGAGATGGAGGAGGGTTCAAAAGTTGTAGCGACTGGAGCAGCGACCCCAAACATGTGCTGCATGTCCTCCCCCTCTCTCTCTATCTCTCCACATTTCACCCTGTACTAATACTAAAAAAGGCAAAATCGCCCAAAAAATACTTTTAAAAAAGTTGCATAGTTTCTTCACCTTCAAAACTTCAACAATCAACTACTGAAGGCTGAACATTGAATTTTAAACTTAATATCACCTGTCCTCACCGATAACCACACCCTTATATAGAAAAACTCTTGCAGGAGGGCACTAACGATGTTGGTGGGTTTGTGTTGCCCTTCAGCTGCACCTCTGAACACACCCCTGCTGATTCTCCCTTCTGCTGCTGCTACAGTTTTCAGATGAAGCTCGTTGTCAAATATGTGTAAGTAGAAGCACACAAACTGCAAAAAACATCTCTTTTGTCACCCCTCAACCTTTGTTTCTTTTATATTGTTCCTTTCTTTTCCTCTGCAGATAGTGTTGGAGTAAATGAGGAGCCTGAATATAACAATCTGATTATATTCGTGATGCCTCAGACAAACGTAATGATTCCTGGAAGTGTGTGCAACAGTTGGTCAAGGATAACATGGAAAAATGTTATTAGAGTGTGAGTGTGTGTATTAACGGAGCTGTGTTTAGAAGTCAAGAAGATAACTGATGACTCTGCACTTGCTAATGCATCAAGATAAGAAGGAGAACAAAGAAGTGTGTGTTAGTGTGTGAGTGTGTGTTAATGCATTGACTTGGTTTGAGATAGGAGAAACGGAGTGAGAGGGATCAATATCTTTGTGGTGAGCTGGTGGAGCATCCCCCTCCTCTTTTTAAGCTTTTTGCTTTTTATCGGAGAAATACAAATAATGATTAATAATAAAATGATAAATCTATTCCCGTGGGAACTACTTTTGTGCTTTTATTATAAGCAAGAGTCTGTGGTGTCTATATTTATGGCAGAGAAATCACCCTCAAGGTCACATTTACAATTCATTTAGCACTTTGTGGAGAAAAGTGGATCAGGTAACAGGTGTTAACTCACTAAATAACATACACTCACACAGCACAAATACAGGAATCTGTGCATGATGGTGCATTCAGGAGAGTTTCTTTGTTTTTGGGGTCTATTTATGTGCCTGTAAAACTTGTTTTTTCTATATATTGGTGCTGGTGGAGCAAATGGTTTGTGGGATTATCTCATGCATGTATGTGGGTGTGTTTGTGTTTGTTTGTTTGTGTGTGCGTGTGTGTGTGTGTGTGTGTGTGTGTGTGTGTGTGTGTGTGTGTGTGTGTGTGTGTGTGTGTGTGTGTGTGTGTGTGTGTGTGTGTGTGGTTGTTTCTCTAAGCAGGCCATTAGAACACTAACAGGTTTTTAAAAGGTAGGCTTGGTGCTCCCTGCTGACACAACAGTCAGTAAAAAGGAAGAGAGGACTCGGACTGTTTCCTCTCAGTCAGACACATCATCAGCAAAAATCACCTTAAGTCTTCACCGCAGCCGCAGAGGAAGAGGCGCAGATACGGCACTCAACCGTGTGGGGATGCATTTGTAAAAGTGTGAGCCATAACAACTCTTTGCCTTTAGTGGCAGAAAAATCTACAATCTAATGAACAACGAAACTGCTCAACCTACAATCAACACTGTATTCAATTATGAGGATTGTAAAGTTCTGTAAACCAACTTTCCAGTGATTTTCCAAAGACAATGCTTGACACCAAAGTTAAACACTAAAAATTTAAAAATCGCAGGAGTGAATGAATGGATATAGCAGTCAATAAGGGAACAGGTAATGTTGAGACCATCAGATTGCCTACCTGAGCGATGGTACCTGGCTGCACTGTGGGAGAGGCAGCTGGGACGAGAGAGGCGCCTCCGAGCCTCCACAGAGAGAGCCGCCATCACTGCTCCCATAATGCAGCTGAACCACGAGACAGCAACAACTATAAAAACACTAACAAGCTGCTCTGAAATAATTTGAATAGAGCCAAAGGTCCTTAATAACAAGACAATATCTAAACTTTCAAGGTCAGATGATGCCAAGTTGTAATAATCAGTGCTAACGATGAAACTTCAAATGCTAAGTTACTAATTTTAAACTTTAACCTCAGTAATGTCAGCTTTCTTAGACTGACTCTAAGCGGAACAGCAAAGCTTGAAATCCTGAGAACCAACATGGACCACTGCCAACAGGTAAAGGAGGGTTTTCCTCTACAGTTTGAGCATATGAGAGTGTGTGTGCGCACACGTGAGTTGATGCCACATGTATAAGTCTGTTTGAGTTTGGGACACCATGTGACAATGAAAAAAAAGAAGAAGAGATCAAACTGAACCTGGGAGCTCCTGACCTTTCACATCATACACATCACACACCTCCACACTGCTTTTTTCACTCCTCTGTCTCCATCTCTTCCTCTCTTCTGATCAATGCAGACGCTTGACTCTTTTACGTCCTGACTTTTTCATCTGCTGTAGCTTATCAAGGCACAGAAAGGCCTCTAATAGTGTCTCTCTGCAGACAATCACAGTGTATTTCCATATCAGCCTTTCTGTTTAACCAAGCTAACCTCCTGTCAGTTGCGGTTTCTCACAGAAACCAAGTGAAGTCTCGTTTCTCCTGTTGTTTTCAAACACTGGTTGTCATTTCAGTAAATCACTTAGTGATTTTGTGCATTTGCTGCCAACTCTCCCTCGTTCTGATTTCACACCAAGGAAACAGCAGCCCTCTGAATACTATATGATGGATGTGCGGTGAAACTACAGCGACCCTAAACCAATATACGTCTGCCCCACATAAGTCAGGGGAGGTTGGCATCCCACAGTGTAAGAAAAATAGCCAATCAGATGGGGCCATGGTCCTGCCACTGCTAACTGTGATTCATAAAGACTCTGAATGGGAAGGCAGCTTCACGCTTTTGTGCTCCATCCAGTCAAATCATAGCATGACACCAAAGTAACAGAAAAAAAATGACAAAAGATCACCCTTTGACCAGCTGCAGTCCATTCTGTCCTACTGTAGCAACACAGAGGTGCAGGATGGTGGCCAGCATGAAAGGGGACTTGCTCCTATGTGTATACAAAATGTGGGGTCCTCTGCGGACAATTACATGCATGTAATTGTCCCACACATGAGCAAACTGTGTTTTCAGATCTCAGCCTGTGTGCATTAAATAGTCTTTTTTTGCAGTGGGAATTGTAAACAAAGTCTCTGCAGCCAACTGTACACACAATATAAATAAATATGTAAAGATAAACAATCGTGCGGATGCTGTGGTTTATTTTTATTTTTGCAGCTAATGCAGCATGGTCAGAATTAACTTTAGTTTGTTTTTCTAACAACACCAAACTTCTCACAAGAGATTCACCTCCTGCAACTAGAAACAAAATTCTTCCAAACTTTCTGACTAACATGTTGACAAACCTCAGACTAGACATCATGAAAAGATGAATTTCCCAAAACTTGCAGTCATTCATGTAACAAACCACAGCTGATGTTTTTGGGAAGCTGATCACATTTATTGATTGCAAAGCCAAAATTTTATTTATATTGTCGGGTATTTCCTTGTTTCAGTTGATGACAAATAGAGGATAATGGAGCATGTTTTAACTGCCCACACATCCAGTAACAACTGTGGGTGGTTGTTCTTTTTATAACAAACCACAAGGGTTATTTACAGTAATCCTGTCTGAGGTAGAGCTTTTATTGCTGGACTTGAGTCTTAAATAAGACTGAGTGTGAGAGAGTTTCTATCAACAGAAAAACAAATAATAGTTTTTGTTTTTGTTTTTGTTTTTTGGTCATATTGTAACTGAACATTATGCATATATAGTGTTTAAAAAAACCTGTTGTCTGAAGTTTCATCACAAAATCCAAGTAACTATTGATGATTTTGTCTAGTTACGTGACATTTTGACTTTTTCCACCTTTTCTAGGATTTCGACTGATCATATCATTTTAAAATAATAAATTAGTCATTTCAAAGGCCAAATTATTAATTTTATTACAGAAATGAATGAACTATAAGTTGCAGCCCCACAAAGCATAACAGTCTTGTAGCACAGCAGCTATGTAATATCTCTGATGCTCACCAGAGTGTGCTAGACGTCAAAAAACACTCAGCAGAGCAGCGCCGCTTAGCTCCATTCACAACCAGGGATAAAAGAGAAGGAACTGAAACATGAGAAAACGGATCAAACTGATACCACTATTTCAGGATAAGCTTACTCAGCTGCAAACCAATCGGTGGATGCTGTGGGGTTTCACACATCATCAGTTTCCATGTCTCACTTGGTAATGATTGATGAGGAACAACTTATACATGGGTACAACAACACCCACAAAGAAATGTGATAGGAAAAGACTGCAGCATGAGCTTATTCTGCGTAAATCTGTGTCATACTCATGCAAACAAGTGGAAATCTGCTTGGTGACTGCATGTAATTCTTAATGTATGCATACAGCACAGAGCCGGCTGATCAAACAGAAGGCCTCGAGATAGCTGGATATTCCCACCATGTCTTTTTAGTGCCTGCATGTCCCCTGACATCAAATACTAGAGACTGGAGATAAAAACTTCCCTTCTCTTTTGTGTCCTCTCCACACACAAAAACACACCCCGTACAGCCCCTGCAATGAAACTTGAATATAAAGCTGGTCATTAGTGGGGAGAGATGGCAGCGCGTTCAGTATTTTCCCTCTCCTGCTATCTCCGCCTCGTCTCATCGACTCCTTGATATGTTCCAATTAAAACCAAAACAGTCTCACTTCCACACAACATAATCCTCTTTTTATAAAACCACCTCAGCCAGTCAGGTTTCAAAGCTAACCCTGTAGCTTAATTAAAACAGGGATGCCTCAATCACCGCTGTTTTTTTCACTGCCCTTCCTCTGCTTTCGCTGCATTCTGTGAGAAAACATTGCTGGAGGCAGAATAAGAGTTGAGTAATGGATCCCAAAGACCTGAACCCCTACCTGAGCGTGACTCCATTATAAATAAGTTCAAAGGAACTGTCTTAGAGAAGTTTCAAAAATAAGAGCAAAGCAAAGACAAGAGGCAGACCATGGCTGTTTTCCCCTGCAGAGGACATTCAGCATCAGGTCGCCTGTTGCCTCCTGAAAGTGGACGTGTAAAGACTGCACCCTGAGGTTTCCCTAGCACACTTTGGGCAGCAGACATAATTGGATAGACAATAAAAGGAGGAGAATGAGCATGAATTCAGAGAATAAAGATGAAGAAAAGAGGGGCATATAGTGCTGTTCAGAGGTTTGATTATGGCCCAATAAAAGGACGCAGGAGGAGGACAGAGGATATAGACTTACATCAAATCAATGATGACAGGAAGGACACTAAATAGGCTGACTCAAGGACGGACTTGTAAAAAGACAAACTGAACTAAATATACAACAATAAATGAAAAAAGATAAAAACAAATGAAGGAAATTTTAAAATTGAAAACAGATTATATCTTACTGGTCACTGAGGAGAACCAAATGCTACATGTGGTTGGAAAAAAGAAACAATTTCACCAGTTTTTCAACAGGGTTACTACCCGGCTATGTTAAATACCTGATTCTGATTGGTCAAAACCTGGTTACAACAATAAGTCTTGAAAGCAAAATCAACACCAGGGACAAGTTGATCACACAATAATCAAATCGTCACAAAAAAAGTCTGGTATGTTTCACCTCTGCCTGTGAACACTGTAGCGAAAACACGAGTTTCTATCGGCATGCTAAATTGGTGCACGATGTGACATGGTCGCTTTGTGTTGGGGTCTTGCCCATTCTGTCACCATTCTAAATCCAGTAACCACTCGCTAATGACAGATTATTCCTGTGAAAATACTCTACTAAAAGTCAAGTCCTCCAAATGAAGTATCAAATGAAGTCAATTCAGATCAGATATATGATGTATTTATAATGTATATCAATACTCAGAAATAAACACTGCTCAATTTTTAGTCACTTTCACTTCCACTTTGTTCTACTTTAAATTTATACCTCATGTAATTATCTATAACCTATGGATATTCTCACACTCTATACAGCCATGCACACGAAATAAACTCCCCACCTGGACACAGGAAGTTAAAAATATGACCAACAACCAGCAGCAGTAAAACAGAGACAATACCTTGGATGACTGTCCCGGTGATGAAGCCAAAGAAGCAGCGCAGCAGTTTTAGGATCTCACTCTCGCACTCTGCTTTGCATGAATTCATCCTCTAAACTTTGACCACAGGAGCTGCTCACACTAAACAGTGCAAAAAGAAGTTGAACTAGGAAAACTTGGATGTCTCAAGAATCAATATCCATGACACTATTCATCCAAAAGGTGAAACAGAAAAGAGGAAAAGTCAGAGATTGTCAAATTAAAATTTCACATCAAAAGTCCAGTTTCCTGGCTCTGCTGCCGACTTGTTCTCTCAGCAAACCACTTTAAAGCTTCGTTTGAAACTTCAGCCCCACTTGGCTTACAGGTGATCTTCTCTCCCTCCTCTCCCTCCTCCTTTCCTCCTCTTCTTTTCTTTCTCCTCTCCTCTGCCCTTGCTCCCTCAGAGGAGGTGAAATGAAACGCATGATGCTGGGTTCGTCCTAAAGCTTCATGTGACCGTCCCTGACTAACCACAACACACACACACCAGCTGACTCTCCTCTTGTTTCAGCTTTCATGAGGCCACGGCGTTGCTCCTCCGTGCTCGCCCTCTGAAGTTCATTTCTGACACTCAGAAGTCATGCAGAGATACGCTGACGCAGAAATATTTGACGGTTCAACTGCTCACTTCCTTTCCTCCCTCTCTTCTTCTATATCTAATCCCACTCATATTACACTCTTAGTATCACTGTCTTTCTCATCCTGCCCGTCTTTGTCTCTCAGTTTCCCCCCTCCTTGCCTCATTATATCACCGTGATTGCAGTCTGAAGATACTTTTAATTCAGGGATTAAACTTTGCTCTGAGTGCAATATCTCACTTCAAAGGCTCTTTAAAAATTCTTACTTTTCTAACACTTGAGAAGAAAGTATAAAGAAACTGTACTTGTTCCAGACTCTTCGATGTGAAGACTGGCTCTTTTTCCTACTTTAAATTGCTGTTGATGAAGCATCTTTGAGCTCTCCATGGTAAGCTGGGCAAAACAAGAAGTGTGAAGATGCTGTGTGAAAAAGGGTGAAGGTCATTTTGCATTTGTCAGTCATATAGTGCCAGCCAGAGTGATCCTCACTTAGGGTTTGATAGACAGGGTGCAGTTCCTCCTGTGTTCCCTGTCAAAATTGTATCACAGATGGAACTCAGTGTATCTATGAAGAGCTGTAACTCTGATTTTCTTAAGGTCACTAAAGGTGTCCCACAGGGTTCTATTTTGGGACCCTTTCTGTTCTCTATTTTTGTAAATAATCTAGGCAGGAACTTTAAAGCAAAAATACACCTCTATGCCGATGACAGCGTTATCTAAACCCTTACATCCTTCTGTTATGAAAGCAGTGCAGGAGCTTCAGACAGCATTTCACTCTATACAAACAAGTCGACTGAATTAAAATCTAGTTTTGAATTCTTCAAGCACAGTCTTCCCAACAGCTCACTTGTAACATCACTTGAATTTAATATTTGCATTGCTGAAGGTAAACACATTGAAATGTGTTACCGCCAATAAGTTCTTGGGCATTTGAATGGACAACAAACTTTCATTTGATGTACAGACTACCAATCTAGTTAAATAAATAAACACCTCAAAGTGAAGGTCAGGCTTTATTTTTAAAATGAATTCTGTATTACATTCAGTGCCAAGAAAAAAAGTCATGGAGGCTAAACTTCTGTCTTTGATTGATTATGGTGATATACTGCATCTGCATTTAGTCTGCAAACCCTTGACTCAGTGCAGCTTTTTTCTTTTTTACATTACTAAAACTAAATCACTCACTCACAAATAAAACAATATTTCTTCTGAATTCAATCCCTCTAAAGACAGAATCCCAGCTCCAACTTTAGTTACCACCTCCTTTCTTCTGTCTGAAAAACACCTCCGTCTCTGTGCTGCTATTTTTAGCTGCTGGCCATTACCGAGGTGAGGGCTTCTCCCCTCTGTGAAGCTGAATGTCTTTTCACTTGGCTTTGTGAGATGGAATAGATCCTATCATCAGCCCACTTATCTTCTGCTATCAGTGATTGTTGGAGATTTTTCTTAGACTCCTTTTTCATCAGACAATCAGCCCCTTCAGTGAAACTGCAATCAAAAGTCTGAAATACTTGAACTCCACTTGAACTAAAAAGAAGTTATGAATTGTAGGAGGACACTATTGATGATCTTCAAGAAGTTAAAAATAAGAACGTGAAATACTATGGACCAACAATGCCTGAACCTGCTGCTGCTAATGCAACACTCAGCTTAAGAAAGTCGCTAAAGTTAAAGTTGTGTGTTGGCACTGCTTTCTGCCAAAGAAGAAAGAAGAGAGGCAAACCAAACCTGATACAAAGTGTGTGTGTGTGTGTGTGTGTGTGTGTGTGTGTGTGTGTGTGTGTGTGTGTGTGTGTGTGTGTGTGTGTGTGTGTGTGTGTGTGTGTGTGTGTGTGTGTGTGTGATAAACGTGATAGGTTTGATAAGGGCAGGTCTCATACAACCAGATGAGGGCTCACATTCACACGGTGCGTGAGGCTAAGCTGGCCTCAGACATCAAAGAAGATCCCGGTCACAAATACCATCTCATTTGGTCTAATTAAATCTCACTTAGAGGTCTGATGTAATGCTTGCTTTTCCACAAACTTGGCTTTTTAGATATTACAATTGTTTTAGACTTGATTAAAGTGGCTGTTTTTCTTATCTTTTTGGAAGCAAATTGGGAAGGTGAGAAAAAGTACCAAACAAAGGACCAAAAAAGGTGACTGCTCATGAAATGGCGCGTTTCAGTTACCCCTGAAGTTGGATATCAGAGCTAGGAGTGACGCTGTATTTGAGTTGACAGCGTTCCAGGCATAAGTCAGAAAGTTGTTTGGCCATTAGCTCCTGTTGTTGTTGTTGTTTTTAGCACTGTTACCGCGCAAAAACAACAACACTATGTGGTTGCCTGCAAGAGAAAGCAACATAACCACAGGCACACGCGTAGAATTTAAATGATAACACTGCTGTGGTTGATTTTCATTGCACAAAACAAACAACAAATCTGCTTATTAAATAGGGTGACCATATTCTGACTTCCCAAAAGGAGAACACGACTCCATGGGGGCAGAAAGCTACTTCTAACTCAGTAAGTCCACATGACACAAGATCAAAACGCTTGTACAAAACCATTGACAGTTGAAGGATTTTATAAACTTCGCTGGACAAAGCCTGCAAGCCCTGACAGCCCCTAAAAAAGAAGGCATGTCCGGGTAAAAGAGGACGTATGGTCACCCTATTACTAACATCATTATGAATACAGCTATTTTACTGTTGATGCAGGGGACTACCATCATGGATTTCAAGCTGAAGTTGCTCTGAGATGCTCCAGTGGGACAAACAACTATCTCAGATTTTTACGATGAAATGAAATGTACCAATATGCTTCAAACTTCTGCTTCAGAAACAAAGGGGTGACATCGCTGACACTATTTCCATGTTTTATATAATCGATCATTTGGACAAGGAGGAGTAGGAAAGGAAACGAGTTAGTTAATTTAGAAAAGTTTAAAAGAAATGGTGAAGATATAAGCTGTGGAAAAGTGGCAAACAAGTCAAGTTAGCAAGAGGTAAGGAAGGACAGAAAGAAGCAGAGAGGGAGACAAGTAAAGGTGGAGGTGGGAATGGACAAGAGGATTGCGATAGGCCAACAAAAAAGGAGTTTACAAGTAGATATAGGAAAGGAAACTAGGATTTGACGAAGAGAAATCAGGCTAGTAAAAAAGTGCAAGAAAAACAGAGAAAAAATTAGTCAAACAGGATAAACAGGACAGGTTGGACATGAGGAACAAGAGCTGGTAGAGAGGAAAGAAAGAAGTGAATGAATTTAACAAAGGATCAAAGTAGGGATGTAATGAGGCAAAGGTAGGTGAGAAGCAAAATAGACAAAGAAGGATCTGTACGAAGAACTAATTGTAAGGGGAAAGTAAAGCAAAGAAAGCCAAGAGCATGTATAAAAGAAGACGATCAAGAAATGCAGGACAAGAAGGACAGGAAGAGAGGACTACACTGTGGCTAAAACTCTATCACTAAGTTGTTTCCTGACATAAATCACAAGTTAAAACCCTCAAATAAACACACAAGAAAATGCTTAAATAAAAGCTAAAACCTCAGTGGATTTAAGTGCCAGTAATTCCCAGTATATAAGCGCATTCATCACTCTCAGTCCCTGCAGGCATGAGATTAACTGTGCACAGTCACAGCTGGACCACTTGGTGGAGCACTGAGACCAAGACCAGGGACAAATGAGGACAGGAGCCCTGTCTCTGTGAAGCGACTGTGTGCTCTTCTAATGTATAAAAAGAGACCCAGAGGGAGAAGGAGGGAGGTTTAGAGACTTGAGGCCTTTGCAGAGATAATTAATGGTTTTTGGAGGATGTGTGGACATTTGATGAATGAGTGTTTGGACTAAACGATCTGTGGGGGCTTGACCCTGAGGTCAACGAGCCAGCGGATCCCACAGGGACCTCAAGAGGCCAGTAGAGGTCTCAGCAGTCAATTCAGGGCTCAATTCAAACTCCGTTAGTCACACTTGTTGTGCATTAACCACATCATCAGTTTCAGCCAGACATCGCACTCACTCCACATCCACCGCCTCGTCCCCTCTGTACCTTTGTCCTGTGGCTGCGTGCTGGCGATGATCCATTTTACCAGGCAGCACTTCATCAGAGCTTTCCGAGAGAACCGCGGTTTCTGCCACTTCCCGGAGTCCTTCACCCTGCCAGGCGCAGGCTCCACGCCGTTAGCATCCCCCAGCAGGCTGCCATCGACCACCTTACCATCAGCCTGCAGGGAGAATGTGGGAGGAAGGTGGAGAGAAAGTTCAGGTCGATATGCAAATGAAAGAACGCAGGCAGAGATCTTTAAATGAAGCAGGAGATTATGTATGTGCCTGGAAAATATTATTAGCCTCTGATCTGGAGGGTTTTCGCGAACACTTAAGAGAGGTTCAAGAGGAGTTCAGTTCCACAGATCCTTGTGTTTGAGAAGTTTGTGAGTTAAGTTTCTGCAAAGTTTGTGTCGAAATTTCCTCTGTGATGTAGATTTTTCTTTTACTTGGCAACATTTAGCTGAAAGCTCCTGGACAGACAGGTGGATATTCAGAGGAGAAATGAAGGAGATGACTTGTATTTGTTACAATAAGAATTTTTAATTGAGGTTTATGTTGTTAAATATAAAAAAAAATTTAAGCCTATTAAGAGAGGTGAAAACAGCAGTAAACACAACATTGACATAAACTGTATGTATGCCAGTGAAAAGTTGTCTTATGTTTGTACAGTCGAAATGCTGTAAATATACTGTTTGCTTGGAGTGGCATTTCTGTCCGCCCTCTGATTACAGACCCGCTCTTTATTCCCTGCCTCTGTTTTCTGTCTCTTCCACCTTATTAAAGACAAATCTGGATTTATTGCTTTTTGTTCCTAAACACACCAGTCAAAGTTGGCCTCTTCTCAAAAACTCCACAAGCAACAGGGAAAGCAGCTGTCGCCAAACAAGGTAGAGAGGGAAGTAAGAGAAGGAGCAGTGTGAGCTTGTTAGCTTGTTAGCACAAATAAGTCTGAAGAAAGCCCTGATGGCACTTCAGTTAATGTGAACCCAGACCGTGTTGAGGATCTTTGACTCTGCTGTGGCTTGTGTGTTTTTTTGAAACTGGCCTGAGCTCTGTCAGATTAATGTGATTTATACTGTATTAAAGCTCCTAAAGAGACTAACATTCATAAAATTGCCCAACAAGAGCATCAGCGACAGCACTGACAATTCTTATATAGTGAAACCAGTACAGCCTGAAACCAGTACATGGAGGCTGGTGTCAGCCGAGCAGCTAAACAGCCCTGTTTTTACATTTTTGATATAGTCAGTCACAATCATAGACTGTGTATAGAATGGACAGAGTCTGCCTCCTCTCTGGGTGAAGCCACTCTGAGAACAGCACCCTCTGGTGACAGGCTGCAGTATAGGTCATAAATCCCATCTCCTGCAACAAAGCTTAGGAGCTGTGGACAAACTTCAGAAATTAATTTCACAGAATATATTTTTCCCCCCTGCTTGCAAGGTTGACATATAGCTACTGTAAGACTGGTTTGTGCTCAAGTCCTCTTTTTTTCTGTACAGCTCCATTTTTCTATGATTGACACTTGATACAGCCTATGGGCGTTCAGGGATTGCGTAGCTCACCCAGGGATACGCTGTTTGAGCTGAGCGTCATCGCAGCAACTCTTGGCAACTCTCCCGCCGAATGCGCACAATACTACTGCGCAATGTTGGTTTCAGGAAATGAAGAAAAATCATGGAAATACAGAGAGCTTTTTGGCTTCAAAACCGTATGCAGGCGGGAGGTGGAACCAAGTTGTCCATAGTATATACAGTCTGTGGTCACAATTAATGGCAGATTTGACAGTCAAAATTCAGCAGGACGAGATTTTTTGTCAGAAAACTACTTGAGCATGGAGGGGACAAGATCAGCAAAGACTACTTTGTGCACAGGGGGCGCCAACATTGCCTAAACTGAAAGGTCCTCACAGGAGCTTTAAGTTTGAGATTTTTTTTTACTAGAAGTTAGACAAAAAAACTTAATAAGTTTAAAGTTTTTGCAGCAAAACTGAAAATGTTTAAAGTACCTTAGAGAGCCTGTGCTACCCCGGCGACCCCTCTGGACACACCTCTGCCCAGACCCATTGCTCTCAGAGGCTGTGAAAGGACAACTGATGGGTTCAGAGATGATGTGAGAATGATGATTGATGGTCACTTTATTCATTGTGACGATTTTTCATCCTTATTTATGTTCAGTCCTCACATAATACTTCACTAATTCACTGCCTTAGTAATCAGATGTTTGAACAGCTTTTGCATCCTTGTATTTGAAAACGTTTAACATGCTGTCCAGTTTCTGCTTCCTCACCATATGGTCTTCAAAATGTCCCTATTAGGATGGATTAGAAGAGCTTGGCTGCAAAAACACTCACTCATAAACATCTATAGACAGAGAAAAATGATGCTGAGAAAGGATTTTCAGATCAGTTGAAAGAGATGGTGGCCTGAGTTGACTTTATAGGTTGACAGAGACAGATTTTCTGGGGGGTATCAGCTTTAAAGATGAAAAACTCAACATCAGCTTTCCAGGAAATCAGGGTGGAGGTGAGGGGGCTTTTAATATTTCTGAGTTAATCACATCTTTGAAAGATCTTCCCCCTCAGATGAATTAAAAAGTCTGTTTTTGTTCATTTTCACATTCAGCTCCAATTCATCATCCTGACTCTTATTATGCAAGAGCAATCCTCTCCAACTCATTCATATTCAGCATTTATCCTCCTCCATCGCAGAAAATAAACTTGACATCGAAGTTTTTTTTTTCTCCCCCTAATATGTTTTTCAATTTCTTTCTCCTCGTATCTCGGCATCATTTCAGCGATGATTTAACCAGAATGTCTTTTTCTTAAATTCCCAAGAAGCTCCATTAAGCTGCTCCTGCTGGGTGCCTGCAAACCACACACACACACACAAACACACAAACACACACATTTGCATGCAGGCACACACAGAAAAACACACGCTCATACATGTGCAGACTGGAGCAAGTGTGGGGAGGAAGATGAAAGAGGTGAACGCAGAACAAACAGCAGCTCTGTTTACTCTGCAGGGAGGAGAGGAAAGCAAAGGATGACAGAGGGAGGAAAGAGGGAGAGAGGGAGGGAGGTGGGCGGAGGGTGCACACACATACAAACACACAGCGGATTTTAAACGGCTATTTAATCCCATGGGAGTCTGCCCATGCAAATCCTTTACTTTAAGGTAGAGAGGGAGAATTAGAAAGAGAAAATGTAGAGAGGGAGCAGAAAAAGAAAATGTGAGAAGAAGAAGAAGTCCCAGCTCGTGTTCCTGGAAGAACTGAAGTCAATTAGCATAATGAAAACTGGCCTATCAGAGGAGGAGAGCAAAAGGACAGCCAGAGGACAGAGGGGTGGAGGAGATAAAGATATGAGCGCTCTTTGCCCAGGAATACATTTACAAGGTTTTTCTGCAAGTCTTCTACATGAAGAAAGAGTGAAAGGTGAGAAAGGAAAGGGCAGAAAATAAGGAAGAAGACTACATAGAGGAAAATATAGAAGAGGAGAGTGAACTTGTCCAAAGAAACACACTCATACACACAAAAACAGACTTATAATATGATGACAACACAGTGAAAAGGAAACTCTCCCATTTATCCAGACACCTATTTATTCACAGATCAACGCTGGCACAGCAGAGAGGAGTTAAAGACTAAGGAAATGAGCTCAGCAGTGACTCGCATCTTCTTCAGAGATGTAATTTAGAGGGAAGAATTGTTTTTCCATGTGGCGTTTCAGCCGAAAGATACAAATTGGAAAAATGAGAGTCGGAGAGACAAACAGATGCGGACAGACGCAGAGTAAACAGGAGAATATTCAGCACTGCTTTGGTTGTTTATGGACCAATGGACAACCCCCCCAACACACACACACACACACACACACACACACACAGGCTTTCCACTTTTTTTTTAAATCGTGTTTTTTCTTAACGCTTCAGCTAGCTTTGTCCTGGGGCAGCAACTTCTCTTAATGCCTGCACAATGTTATCTGAAACACACACAAGCACACACTCACCATGATAGACCATATACCCTTAATGCTCAAAGTAAACACAGAGCAGCGATGTGGTGCACACTGCTGCACTTTTGCTTTAAATTATTAAAAATCAGTGGCCGTGTTGTTGTTTCCGTGTGTGCTGTTTACATAAAGTGTAAACTCTGCCCCCATAACATGAAGTTGCCCCATCTTTGGTCTGTTAAAGTGACAACATAAAAAAGCAGCGATTTTGCAGATGTTATCATCCTTTTTAAGGGAAGTTGGGTTGACCTCAAAGTATCAACAGCAATGGTATAAAGTCTTGTTTTGGGACTCCTGTCTAAATAAAATCATATTAGGACTGATTCTGATTCTGTTTAAAGCCTTTAAATTGTTTGGGACTGAATTAAAACAATCTTTTACAACCCCTAATGAACATCTTAGACTTAAAGCTGCTGTAAGGGACTTCTGGTTTGTGTTGGTTCTGGTGCCCCCTGTCTGCAAAGTCATACCTCTTATATTTGTCGTGCACATGTAAAAGCACAACATTTTCAGTCCAGAGCCTCATCCTGTTGTCTTTTAATAATGAAATGTATAATTCACTCTAGGTTTTTGCCATGAAAACAAATTCAAAAAGCTGTTTGTTCAGCCTGCTGGTCTGACACTCAGGGATTTCAAGCATTAAGAAAATAAAACAAAGAGAAGATCATTCTTGTTGCTTATGGTCTCTTTGTTTTTAAAGTCATAAAGAGACATTGGAATTAGTCTCGGTGTGATTCTCAACCAACTTACTCCTTACTGTGCCTTTAAAACCTGTCTGTGGGGAAATACTGATATTTTGATATGCAGATCCACTAACTCGGACTGCAGCTCCAGTTTTCTATAATGCTCTTCTTCTCTGATTTAAACAAGCACAGATAGCAAATGGCATCTAGTAGCCCAGTGTGGTTTGGCAGTACTTTGATTTAGAAAATAGAAAGTTGTGATTTGACTATACCTGGTAAAACTGTCGCATTAATACTAGACTGAAGTAATGTGCAATAAGATAAGGGATGTGAATGTTAAAGTTCCTGTTAAGAACTTTAAGTTTATTTTAATTTTAGCGCCTCCTGTGGACAAAGCAGACTTTGCTTATCTCGTCCTTTACATGCTTAAGCACTAGCTTTTAACAATAATCTAATCCTGCTGATATTTGACGGTCAAATTTATAATTTAGTGTAAATCATTTAGTTAAAATTGTAAAAACGGGTGATTGATACCTTCCTTTTCCCACTGATTAAAGGCATTTAAAATTAGGATATGAAAATCATCAATCTTGTTGCTAATGTTTTTGTTTTCTTGGACGTATTAATATGAATTTTTGTCTATTTCATCAATGTAAAAAAAACTCCTTATAGGAGCTTTAAAATTCAAGAAAAACTGGAGGCTGATGGTGCTCGTGCTGCTAACTAAACCACATTTGGTAAATCAGTTAAACATTGTTTACCCCGAGACTCAAGGTCCTGTGTTTTGTTGTGTCAAATAAATTGTACTTAATTTTGACACATTTCTTAGTTTTTCTTACCAGACTAGTAGTTAGTCAGAAAATGAACTCAAATGTGACGCCAGAAAAAAAGTGCAGAAGAATGATACTTTAAATGGGTAAGAACTAAGGACCACAGTTTGATTGTTGTGAGTGAAGGATTTACTGCGCACAGTTTTGAAAAATTATGTAAAACAGACAAGAACAAGAGCACTCGCCGCTCAACTACAAGCTTTTACAAAGACAGGAGCATCAAACTCTTCCTGAGATCAAACTCAAATATGAGACGTAAGATAAATTCTCACACAAACAAAACAAAGAGTTCAACATTTACTTTATAACAATCTGACAGTGGAAGCAGCTAAATAATAAAGAAAACTGCACTGACTGAAGTTGATTTTTTCTTTTGACTCTGATCTTATCCTGTCATTAGTTTTTGAATCAGCTGTCTAATTGTGTCTCATTTTTTCATGTATGGCCTAAAAGCCAAGACTACACCTTTGAAGATGTTCACTACAGTGCCACGGCTATTTAGGACTTTGGTTTGCATGGTTCAGCTTCACTCACACAGCACTGATTGACAACATTGTCAGTATATTCCAGTTTCTCCAAATTGGACAGTTAAATAACAGCAGAAGCAGAAGATTTGACAAGAAGTATCTGACAGGAGCGTGTGAGGCATCCGCTCCAGATTTTGTAGAGTTTATTTCTTGAGATGTACTGACAGTCAAATCTCCCTCTACTGAATGTGCATCACTCAGGGAAAGAGGTTTTTCTCCCACAAATCTTACCCTTCTCTACAGCCGTGCTCATCATGAATTTGGTATTTTCCCAATGGCTGACAAATTAAATTACTCTTTTAAAGACTACTTTCGGATTTCTGAAGAAAGATTGCCACTACCAATACATTATGGAGATCTAAAGCTAAAAGTAAGCACTTAGTGATCACAGAGGTTTCCTTGCAGCATCAAAGAGAAATCCTCACAGAGTCCAAGTGCATCTTATAAAAATGTAATGCCTAGCATTGCCTTGTTTTTCATCAGACGCATTATTTTCCTTTAAAAAAAAAACTGTGAATGACATTAGGGAGGTTTAACTTTTTGATCCTACTTTCAATATCTGCAAAACGAAGGAAATAACACTGAAATAATATGATCTGTGTCAAATGATTAGGGAACTAAATTGCCTCTAAACTGATACAGGCAAATTTGAGGGCTGAATTCATTTATGGTTTCCACATTTTTTGTTCTCATCTTTTCTTTCTGAGTCTTGAGCCTTTTATATTCAGCCACCCCCTTCTCTACAGTATTTCTAACACAGCTGATTGATGTGTTATTGCTCTCTGGTTTTATCTTGAAAAACAAACTCAGGACCATGTGGAAATGACTGATAACCCCAATGATTGAGCTTCTTTGTTTTTAGAAAAATCCATTGATCGTCCATAATTTATGGATGGAGATTGGGTGGTTGGTAATATAGAAGTATTACCGCAACAGTTTCTTTCATTAGAGTATAACAAAAATAACCTATAATCCTTTGTTTAGGGTTGAAACTTTTCTCACGCTCTAACAGACGGATGTGAAAATTAATGGAGTCAAAGAAAGAAGAGAGAGAGTGAGAGTGATGAAAGAAAAAGAGAGGGAGAGAAAGAAAAAAAATGTCATCTCGTTATGTCATATTAGCAGATGGGAGTTTCCATTAATAAGTTATATGAGATTAACATTAAACAGGCCGCCGCAGAGATACAACATTTCTCTCTCTCTCTCTCTCTCTCTCTCTCTCTCTCTGTCTTTATCATGTTCAGCTAAAAGCTCACATGTACTCAGCCTTTTTTTTCTCTTTCTCAGTGTGACTCAAACTCATCTGTTCTGCCCGGCTGCTTCCTGAAGGTCAAAATGTGTCTAAGAGTCTGCTCCGGGGCAAATCCCTGCAGCCAGTGAGGATGTTAAAAACTCTCTGAACGAGTCACGGTAACCTTTATGTCACGTAACATCTGTGCTTTTCTCTGAGTTTCAGAAATGAAGAAAGACGGCACTTAATACCCGAGAATACGAGCAACCTTGAAAACTAAAACCTGCAAGTAACCTGTCACAATTTACATGATCTAACAGGCTTTCTCTGACGCTTCGTATTACTAGCTGGCTCACTTTAAAGGATCCCAGACTCTGGTGCAAGATTGCATGCAGGTAATGAAACAGTACAATAACTTAAATTAGTTCTCAAAATTGGTGAAAAAGCCTGACTAATATTACGACGTAAAATCTCAGTTAAAAGAGCAGGTTCCTCTGAGATCAAGGAACATAATTCACACTTTTTATAGATTTTTCACACACCTTTTCACAGCTAAACGATATACTAATTATCTTCTATAACACTATTAGTTTATGATATACTGTGCGGAAATGTCTGGACTGCAAAGGGGTAAAGGAAACCCTCACTATCTAACACACGACCACACATGCACCCACGGTACATCTTGAGAGGAGCCTCCAGACACAAGCGAACGCTCTATAAATCCTCTGGGCTACAAATGCACAGGAACATACATACACCTAAATATATCCTCCTTTTACATCTGTCACGCATTAAACAGCCGCCCACACACCATCCTGCGGCTCTATCATACCGCATGATAACGTTCAAATTATCCCAACAAAATGCAATCAAACAAAAACAATGCATCCAAGTTCAGATTAAAGCCAGAACAGGATGTTTCCGAACATAAATGTTGAAATGATATGCACTGGGCTGCACTAAGTGTGATCTCTGTACAGACAGATTGAAAGATGGTGTTTTTGAGCTTTTCTCAAACTCAAAAAAAAAAAAACAGAAAAAAAAAAACACAAGCAGAAGTGCGAGATTGGATTGAGAGGTGTTTTTGTCTGCTCTGACAAAAGCTACAAGATGCCACCTGATAAAACCACGCAGGCATATATCCATACTCGACTGTGATTTTAGCAGATGGGCTGACTCTGGAAGGAGAAAAACAACAATTCTTATCAGGAAAAGGAACAGCGGACTTCTCAGAGCTCAACTGAGTGCTTGCAGCTACACCCTAAAGCCCAGTTTACTCAGATTGGGATTGGGATCATCTTGTTGTAAAGAAGACTTAAACCAGGCAAGAGGACCACAAACTTTGTAGGAAATCATTCACTCTATTATAAAATCTGTCATTTTTTATGTACAATAAGGGCCTGTGTCTAGTCCATGTGTCATCAATGCTTTTGTGAGATTATTTTTATTAGTGGACTGATGGCTGGGAACAGTCGTAGATCAGCCGGACACCCTGTATTTGAGCGAGCAGCTAGGTTTATATTCACCATTAAAATCAGCATTAAGCTCCCATTAAATCTTGTCCTTTCAAAACTTTATTACTGTTATAACTTCAACTTGTCTTTGTGAAACTTAGAGTCTAGCTGTCCACATTTCAAAGTCTTACCCAAATTTACTTGGGAGGATAACAAGGCAAACCCACTAACGCACACCACACACACACCCACACACACACAAAGGAAAACAACATTAGTTTAATCAGCTGTCCCCATTAATATTTGTTGTTTTTCTCTGCCAGGATGTCGATACAAATCTGCCATCCCCTCATCTCTCTACCTCTTCATTTCTTTCTATTTATTTTACGATCAATCCTCTTCCATTTTTCCTGGACTGCAAATCCACACACACACACACACACACACACACACACACACACACACACACACACACACACACACACACACACACACACACACACACACACACACATCTCAAGCTCCTCTCTTACCATAATGTCACCTGTCACCAGGCTGCTCCAGGTAAAGCAAGAATACCAACTGAGCTAAATATAAAGGAGGGAACACAGTGGGGCAGTGCGCGCACGTGTGTGTGTGTGTGTGTGTGTGTGTGTGTGTGTGTGTGCATGATTGAATATGTACAGAAATGAAAAGAGCAGGCGTGAGGAGGAGGAGAAGATGTGATGACAAAGAGTGACAGTACAAAAGGGGGAAAATACAGTAAATACTTCATAAAACCCTCACACATAAACACAACCACTGGGGATGTCTTACAGAGGAGCTGAGCTGTGTGCAGGACAGAGATGGTCTCAGATCAGCGACTATTCATCCGCTCAGAGAGTTCGCTCATCTTTGTTCTGATTGTGGACTAGCAAATAACACAGCACAGGCTCTTCACAAAGTCACGTGGAGGAGAGTGACAGAAATCTAAGGATTTGCAGCACACTAAAGAAATAGTGATCTGCTTCTTTTGAATGTGAAACACGTCAAACAAACTGAAGTGCACACTGCCAGCACAACAACCAGCAAAGAAAACTCTTTCCAAATGACAAGAGAGAGTGATGAACATGTCGTTGTCATGGGTTGTTGCCATGGTTTCTGCAACAAGAAAAACAGAAATCTACGTGTGACGTTGAAAAATAAGTCAAGATTTTTCCTTGTTTGGTTTTGTTGAGATGATGTTAAGGAACTAATTCCACTGTGTCTTTGTGAGCAGCATTTCTGCGTCTGTGTTTTTGGTACCTCTATTTTTCTGTGATTTTTTTTGTGCGTCATATTGTTTTTTTAAACATTTCTTTGAAGCATTATCCTCTATTCTGTAACATCCTTCTTTGTGTTTCTTCTGAATCATAATGCCTTTTGTAGCATTGTGTGTTTCATAGTGTTTCTGTCTGTTTTTGTGTTTTTGTATTGTGGATCTGTGAGACAGGAGTGAGCACTGGCACTGATTGGGAGGTTACTAACTGTATTCGACACCCATATCGATGAAAATCTTGATTCTAATTCAAACAAAAAACAATGGGGATTAATTATTAACAGTAAAAGTAGCATTAGGGACAAACTGATCATATCAAATCAAACTCCAGAAAAGAGTTTAGGCATATTTCATTTCTGCTTGTTCACACTGTGGCAAAAATTACAGATTCATTTCAAGCAGGTCTTGAGAGTGGAGCAAGATTCTGTCCTGCAATCCAGGTGACGACAGCTGAGCTGGAGAGAGCATCTTTATCTCAGCGCTACAGTAATGATTGTGGCGGTAATGTTACTGTCTTCACACACCAAGTGTGAGTAAAATCATATGTGCAAATGAATTACATGTTAAGTCAATGCAAAGATGCGATTGCACGCGCCTACTACTCTGGCAGTGCGAATGACACGAATTGGACGGGAGCTGAAAATGTCTCAACTTGAGCAGGTATTCACGTTGACATAACTAATCAGCACCAAGGTTGCCGGGTGACATATGAAAATGGACGGTTGTTCACTGGTATCTAAAATGGAGGACAAACTGATCGAGTCAGTATGTGGATGCCAGGAATTATGTGATACCTTTTCTTTCAATCACCAAAACTGGAATAAAAAGGAGCTCGCCTGGAGGCAAGTGAGTGAGGAGGTAAATTGTAAAAAACGTTTGTCTATCACTTTATCTCGCCGGTTAAATTGGCAGAGATTGCCGTTGAAATCACCGTTGATGTGCAAATGACGCAAGTAAATAGTATTCATTCACGTGTCTAGATTCGCTCAAATTAAGCGAGTAGATGATTTTACTTGCGCTTGGTTTACAGTGCTTGGAATGCTGTATTTAGCGATGTCTAGCAGTCGGATTCTAGACTGAAATGCTCCCTTGCTCATCCCTCCCATTGGTGAAGCAACAGTGGCCCTCAAGGACAAGAAGCTTAGGGCCTGAATTTTAAGTAGAATCCTTGTTTCATCAAGTTTTTCAATCAAAGATTTCTTGATTAATTTTATTCATAACAACCACTCTCTTCCTCTTCCTAATCTCCTACCAGTGCACTTGAATGTAACTAGTTTGCTCCTCGTGTGCGATGGTAGAAACACGGTGGTGCAAGATGACAGACTCTGTGGGAGGGGATCTGCTCCTATGTGGACATAATAGGCTCCCTGAAGTTAGTTTAAAGGTGTTTCCACTGCAAAGCTCATGAGAAGAAGGGTAAATAAAGACAGAAATGAAAACAAATACTCTAGTAGTCTCATTCACCATGACTATCCTAATCTTTAAAATTGATAAAATAATACTTCAATCACTTTTGTATCAACTTGATTATGTGATGAGTCAGCAGCTGGATGATGGACAGAATAATATAAAGTTAACATGTTTACCCTTTTTGGATTTTAACTGAAATAACCATCAGTTCACTATATATTACCCCTTAAAGAAACTTAAAGACGTAAAGAAGCCAAAATGAGTCATCTGTGTGTTATTTTTTAGTATTTCAAGGTTCAGGGCTGATTTTAAAAGTAGATGGCACAGTCGGGTAAAACCTATGGGTTAAAAATAAGTTTAAATGTGCAGTCCTTTGAAGTAACAATGGTGAAGCCTAATGGAGACCATACATTGTATGAAACTGAAACACAAAGATCAGTGTACTCCTGATGAGGAAGCTTACTAGCCTGTGGAAACTGTTGGATAAAGTTTCTGAGCTTGAAAAACCTGCTGATGCTGTAGGGTGTCTGTAAACAGTGAACCAGTGTATCATACCGGGAGTATCAAAGATTGAACTGTTTACAGACTGCAAGAACTTTAAATAAAGATGACCACACACTTATAGGAAACACATGATCTGGTACATCTGACCTGTTTTTCCCTTCTTCTCTCAGGCTCAAAAGTAAGCATACATACAGCTTTGTCTGTTAACTTAATGCAGAGGCTTTTATGTTTGACTAGATGGTCCAAATTTGCTCAGACTTGACCACAGATTATAATAGTTCCTCTCCTTTTATTTTTCTGACAGCAGTTGGTGTCCTTTTCATGAACTCTAACTGTAAGGCTTATCTTAGCTTAACTAAAACCCTGATTTTTTTCACCAACAAAGTAGTCTGATGGACTAAGCCTTTTCAAACTGTGACTCTTACAGTGGTAAACTTTTCTAATTTTCTGTCTTTTTTCTGCCTTGTGTAACAGCGACTGTTACACAAGCTAATCTGTGGGTTTTAATTTCAATCTTATGCAACACAATAGAGTTTCCACGTCAAGCACTTCTTAACAAATAAAGAAAACCATGATATGATCAGGTCAGACAACAAATAGGAAGGCAGGAAATAAAGTTTAGAGCAAGACAAAGTTGGCAAACGACGGTAAAACTGGAGGACGGATTGAAATCTGGATAATAATGGACGCATGATACCTTTTGGGCGGGCGCCATCCAACTTTGACTGGAAGACTGACAGGGAGAAACCTCTTCGTGTGGATTTCCTGTATACAATATGGGCTTGTGCAGAGTCAGGCTCTTAAACATGAAGCTGCTGCACCCTGAAGAGAATCTGCACCCGAGCTGACGGCTGAGAGCTGATACTATTTGTGTCCTGACGGCTTGAGCCCCTCAGTATGGCTGTCAGTGTGAATCAGTGTGTCTGTGGGAGGATGGCACTTCCATATGGACTACACGCTGTGTATGTGTGCGTGAAAGAGCAAGAGAGAAAGAGTATTATATTGATGTGTGAGCCTTCATGTGGAGAAAGAATTAATACTCTGGGGAGGCTCTGGGAGATGGAGGAGCCATGTTTCAATTATCAGCTCCTCCTCTTTTCTCCTCACACACACACAGGCGCACACACAGTCACACACTTAGTATGCAAAACATATCTGATCACTCTCTTCGATCCTGTCATATTACTCTGTACAGGTCAATAAGCACATCTACAGATATCACAGATCTGCTGTATGAACATGACAACATTAATTGATTAGTGGCTGATATTTAACAGCGGCAGATTTTCACATCACTGCATTTTTACCTCCATCGGTCGATATTATACTGTTCAATGCTCCGCAGAGGCATATCAGCTTTTTGTGTTGGTGTGTGTGTGTATAAAGAGCACAACTAATTAAGCTGGGAAACAGAAATTCTCTATTCGGACCATATTTCAGCTAATTTGAAGTGATAAATTTGCTTCAGTATTGGAGCTGAAACCCAGAGAAAATTAAACTACAGTTTGATAAAGTTCAGCTGAGAAAGTCTGACTGCAGTGCTGTGGAGGAAAACTGTGTTTGGTCCTGAAGTTGGATCAGAGGTGTGTGCTCCTATCCCTGCTCCCACATTAAAGGATACAGTTACCAGAGCTGTTCAATTATTCAAATCTACCAATCACTCCACCTATTGAACAGGTGGCTCCCTCAGACACTGTATCACATGCAGCAAAGCGTGTGTGTGTGTGTGTGTGTGTGTGTTGTCGTCAGCCAGTCTGCTGTAGTGTCACTGATCTGTGTGTACTCTGACTGTGTGTGTGTGTGTGTGTGTGTGTGTGTGTGTGTGTGTGTGTGTCTGCTTTGATTGACGTACAGCAATGCGTGGAAAACTGCAGCACCAGGTGAGCTTCTTAAAGGAAAAGTTCACTGAAAGATCTTAGTTTTGTTACGTAAAAAAAAATGAAAATCAAACAGCATAAACAGTCCATAACTTCAGAGATCTTACCAACAAACACAATCAACTTTCTCTTCTATCATCCATTTCCAATGATGTTCAGATCTGTGATTTATCCTCATCACCATCCCTGTGACTGAAACTTGTTTGGAGAGAACATAAAAACGATTGTTTGTCATACTGTAATTTTGATATTCTCTGTCTTGCATGTAGATGGCTTTATTTACCACACGGTAAAACTGTGCTATTATTTTGAAGTACAAGCTATAAATCTGAGCAAACAAAAAACAAAAAACAAGTAAACGGATGCTTAGAAAGTATGAGAGTTCATTTGATTGGTAACCTGATGCAAGTGTTGTTTTTATATCCACACGGTTCTTTGAGTGTCAATTTTCTAAAGAGTCTCATCATCTCTAGGGGGTCTTTCTCAACCAAAGTCCTCTTAGAAGGTCCGGATCAGGGAACAAATGTTTACATCATTGCATTTTGCATTTGGTCCAGTGAGCATTCACATAAGACTTTTGCTAAGCGAACCAAAAAGAGGGAAAATTACAAGGGAAAATCACTGTCTGTCACCTGCTCATTTGGGGCTCAATCTTCATTGTCTCAAACTCACAGAGAGTGGCCGACCAGACAGAACAAAAGGCGTCGTGCTTCACACAATTCACCAGAGGTGGTGGAGACGTGCAAAGGGACGCCATTAATGCAAAGGAAGAACAGAAGAACACCCTGGTATGTATTTCATATTTATCGCCCAACTACTGTATTAGAACAGATACCCTCTGCCATTTGTCCAGTTTTATGGACAGTCCGGTGTTTTGATCGGCTGTTCTCCGTCTGCTGCAGCCTCCATCTCGGAATAATTTCCTGGCTTTATTACAGTGTAAATGTGTTATTGGTTTATATCGACATATAAAAAGTCTGGCTGTATCAGCGCTGCGTTCACACCCGCCGTGGACCGGACCATGGTTCGTTTGGATGGGGACCGAGTCCTACATTTTCAAGAGGACCATGGTCCGTTTGTTTGATCCGGACCATGATGTGCTTGCTCGTTCATACTTACCCAGACCAAAGGAGTAAGGGGACAATAGTCCTTTAAAAACGAACCAAACAGTACAGGAATGAAAGAGTATATGAGGGCTGCTACAAGCTAGCTTGCTAACGAGCTGATCACTTTTTCAAAAAGTCTGTTATCATCAATTCTGGTGACTAAGGACGCCCTTTATGAAGGTGTAAGGTTTCTGTCTAACAGCAACAAAATATTAGCTTTCTCTATATTGTCTTTTAAATAAGTGATAAAGAAAACTGTGGTTGTTTTGGTGTGATTGTTTGAATAATGTTTCTTCTCACACATGTCTCGGCTGGAACGTCTTCTGTCCTGCTGTTACTCTTTCCACCTGCATGTACAAATAAGTAAAGAAAGCTGCTTCCTTAAGCTCACATGAAATGGGAGACAGCTTCAAGAATAAGACAATGGGGAAAAAAGACATCCTATCCTGTTGTTATTGTCAACACTCCCACACCTGAGCCATCCAAGATTTACACCTGACATAACCTGCAGTGTGGAGTAGATGAACTGTACGTGATCAGACCATGTGCTTTGTCAATCAGAGCTCATATAACTTCCTCTTTTCCTTCAAGTAAAGAGTAACAGCAGACATTGATGTACCTATACAGCCAGAGTCGTATCTACTTAACTGAAGTCTATATGGAGTAAGTCAGGGAGTAGAGGGTTTTCTGGAGAAATACAAGCCGTGTACCGAAAGACTCGGGCACTGCAGCTTTAAATGTACTCATGCAGTATGTGCTGTTCAGTAGATATTCATCACAGGTAAAAGTTAAGCTTCATACTTGAGATTATCTCCAAATAAACTAAAAGGGCAAGTCTGTTATTGATTAGTGTCTCATCTCCAATCCTTGCTGAGTAAAATGACCTGAAGGTGTCAACCAGAACTGGCAGAGTTCTCTGAATGCCAAGAAGAGGAGTTTCTGAGCTTCTGTTTTTCTCTCCTTGGGCAAAGGGAAAACTAAAACAGAGGTTGTTATGAAAGTAAAGAAGCTTGTTTGTGAGATTAAAACTCAGAAATTCAGTCCTTTACAAGAACAAATGAACAAAACTCTTAACATGTCATTTTCACACAGTCATGCTAACATGAATTGGGCCAGGAACATATAAGTAAAGAGGAGGCTGAGTGTGCTCGACCATCTGCCAGGTAACAAACCTTTGGTCTCGGTAGCCATGTTTACACGTGCAAAATTTATTGACCCGATAAAAAATTTGAGGGATCAGATAATCTGAATCTACTCTTTATATGGGTGCAAAATCAAATAATCCGATCATGACCTGCGTATACATGCACCAAGCTTTATTCAGATTAGAAGCGTTTGGACGTGCGCAGAGTTGTCTGCTTTTGCTAAAACAACCGCAAAGGAAGAGTTGTATTTACGTCTGTGCTGTCAACAAACCAACAAACGCGGTAATGGTTCACTCCATCAAACTCAGGAGTTTTCCCCTTGTTAAATGTTGTCACTAGATGGCGCCCTTGCGTACTTATTTTACTGTTCTGTCAAAGGTTGCACTGTGCGTGCAGATGTGACATCATTACGCTGTATGTACGCCTTGTTATGTTACCGGAGGCGCAGAAATGGCACCTGCGGTTGTGATGTATACCAAAGATTTAATAATGAAACCTCCTGAACTGGCCTCAGTAAATAAAGAGTGAAGACCGAGTCAGGTAAGAGAGTCACGATCGGAATTACATGGATGCGTTTCGGAATAACGATCGGCATAAACCATCCCTCTTGATCGTAATACAATTTCTTTCTGATTGAGCCGAATTGGATCAGAATCTTCCGATCAACATGTTTACATGATGCATTTGTATTCCGATTATTTTTGCCAATGTAAACGCAGCCAGTTTTGCATCATACCAACTTTGCCCCATATCTCAGGAGTCATGTCCAACTTTAGACTGCCCTCTCACAGACGCCGATCACAATGACAACTGTTGTGCTAATGGGAAGCATTACAAGTTGTTTTCTATGTATTCCTACAGTTGAGGGAAAGAGTAGAAAGCAACATTTAGCCCAACAGAGAACAGCCGTTAGGGGTTCAACTAAGTAAACTATTGGCTCTTAGATGCTGCCAATCCATGGCAGTTTATTTACGCTCTTGTTAAACTTTGTCGCGATGTGTAAAACATAGAGGTGTAGTGAGGGGGGCAGAGGTATCCAGCCTCTGATCCTCTATTGGTAACAGAGGCAAAATGACGGGAACATGATGGAAATGTGTAGTGTCAGAGCCGGCAGCTCATGTCTGAGAGCATGCATGTGTGGCACTCCAACTTTGTGATTACAAGCCACCTGCGCTCCTGCTTTGCCGTGATGTGAAATTACTCTAGGACCAATATTGCGGTGTAATCTCGAGCACAAAGACATAGTGACGGCCAAACTTGGTTCCAGAGTTGTGATGAGTAAAAGGCGTATGTTCAAAGTCACATAAACTGAGTCAGATATTTGTAACCTCACATGCATTTCTTTTGGGTAACGTCCAGACAGGTTCAGAAGTGCATTGTTCAGCAGACCCGAGATAAACAAAATCTTCAGTCACACATTGGCCTTGTGTAAGTTTTCCCCCCTCTTAATCCAAATTGCTTTGACTCATGCAGCTTTAGAATAAGTCCCAGGAAAAATGATTAAAAAAGAAACAGTTTTTCATATCGGACCACCCTGATGTTAATTTAAGAGACGCAACATGCTGCTTGGCACACAGTTTGGCTCATTTAGTCTTTTTTATTTTTTTGTATGTGTTTTTGGACAAAAACAGCAGCTTTATACTCAGAGGGATAAGCTCTGTCAGGCTTTGGCTTCACACACACACACAACGCTTGTTAGCATCATAAGAATACTGGATCTCTCTCTAAGCAAATCCATTCAGATCTTCAACATAAAGCTATTCTTGGAAGGAGCTGTGCCTTTTTTTAATCATAAACCAAAGATAAATCTGATTCATTATGCTGTCATGCAGAAGAATATGTCAGGAACTCTTTGGTAAATTGTACTGACAATGACTCAGAATGAGAAAGCAGCAACAAACCTCATTGATCACAGTCATTCTTCTCTAAAAACACACTGAAATGAGTCACAGAGTCAAACCTCAGGCACCCTGACGCCTCACAGCAGGGTGTAATTCAAACACCTGCATTTCAACAAGCAGAAAGAAAAAGGAAAAATCAAACATGTTTGCAGGACTGAGCCGCTGCAGTCAGACACGGATGGACGTCAAACTGCTGCTAATAATGCGGCTGATGTTTGACATTAACAAACATGAACAGACAACGTGCTTAAAAAGCCACTTACAACTTAAGACTGAGCAAATTCATCAGCAGAAACTACAGTTTCTTTTCTGTTTACTTTTGTGATATTTTATTCTACAAGTAAAAGTATAATGGAAATTTCAGTTTGTGGTCTCTCAAGTAACTAATGGATCGACTAACAAGTTTTATAACGAAAGAAGAATAGTCAAACCTGCCGAGTTTAGTCTTCTCAAAACTGAATACTTCTTTTTGTTTTGTTGGTTTTCTCTTTAAGTAAATAAGATATCTTTGTAAATTTGTGTTTTCTCAACAAAAAAAGATAATCCAGGGTGTTGCCATCAGCTGTGAGTGCTTTTAGTGCCCATTTTTTTTCCAATTAGCTGACAATCTGCACACTCCACCATTTATTGATCACTCATGAAAACGCTTCACAGATTCCTCCATGATGGAGACAATCAGCTGTTGCGGCTTAAAAGAGCAAAAATAGCCCTACCAACGACGCACCACAAAAAGGGTACTATGATGAACCAAAGATGCGAAGAAGTGCACACGCAAGCAACAAAACGCTTCTGGGGCTGATTATGATTGTGTGATTGATTGATGGATGGATTTGCTGATTGGCAGGTCCGCTCCTAGAGTGATTGATGATAAGCCCTATTGTTAAAAGAGGGACATTCTGACTCTCACTGCAGAATCCATCCAGAACCCCCCTCACATGACAAAACCAGGTGCTCTTGCAGAGATCCATCCAGCTGTTTGTGTCTGCATGTGTGTGTGTGTGTGTGTGTGTGTGTGTGTGTGTGTGTGTGTGTGTGTGTAGGAGGAGATTATTCCCCTTCAGCCAGTGCCCTTATGTCTGCATCTGTGCACATATAGATAAGGAAACTGGGAGAGACTGCAGCCCTGTTTCTCCTGTGTGCAAGCCCATGTCAAGGGCACCTGCAGTCTGCTTTAAAACTTGCATACTTGCATCAGGTTTTTAGTCTAGTTCAGCCAATCATGAGGAACCTTCTCTAAGGGGGGAAACTCACCCTGGACAGATCCCCCTGCGCATTAATGAGGTGCCTCCAAGGTGTTAGAGTCACTTTAGAAGGCTGGCCTTCCTCTGTACTGTCTATTTGCCTCTGATCTGAGATTTACAATCTGCTTTGAAGAAAACAAGCACAAGCATAATTACAAACACAATCTCCCTCCTCTTCCTGGAATTGGGGATTTGAGGCAGACTGTGAGGATTTCACACCAGACTCTATTTAGAGATTTTTAAGTCACGCGTGAATCACTTGAAGCCACACGACGAGGTCTCACATACACAGTGAGAAATAATCTCGCGGATTGTCCACAGAAACACGCGTAAAATCGACGGGAGTGCGAGGGAGGAGAAGACGTGATGCAAAGTGACACTTTGCTGGAAACCGTCTGCAGAGACGCGTCTCTCTCCTGCTCTGCCTCCAGCAAGGCTGCTATTACATAACTTCACTTACAAACTCAGCTTTCAGCTAAAATGGAAAAAAGTGGGAGCAAATTAGCCTCTGGTGACTGTGGAAGAATTTTCAAAAGCATCAATTTGGCCAACAAGTAGCCTGGAGAGCGGATCCACGCTGTTGATTTAACTTAACAGGCGCCTCTTGGTTTTACCACGTGCGTAAAAGGGAAAATAAATCCCTATTTCAACCTGTCGAGTGCTTGTATGAAAGATAACGAGAAGGGGATTAAATTTGTGTCCTACCTGCATGTTTCCCTGTGTTGTAACGGCGACACTGATGGCTGGTTTCTGCCCGAGTGTGTCCTCTCTGCGCGGACTCTCAACCTCCGACTGCCGCTCCGCTGCCTGCGAAGGAATGCGCACACACTCCCTGACACACACACACACGCACACCAACACATACACACGCGCGGGGAAGAGAAATGAAGAGAGGGGTGGTGTAGGGGTGGAGTGAGGGGGTGCAGCCACAGAGGCAACAAGCGGACCTTCATCTTTTGCAGTGTGATGATGAGAGGACAAAATCAACAGGCTGGATTTCACTTTGCTCATGTTTCATCAGGCTGCAAAAAGATGAGCTGCAGGCTGAACATCGAGAAACTACAGGAGAAAGTAGCCAACAGTCACAAACATACAGAATATATGATGTCTCACCAACCTTCTTCAATCTTGGATCTTGTGCTGCTGAGAAATCTCCTTCCCAAAAGTCATCATTCAGGAAAGGATCATAAACTGCAAACACGCTTTAATGACAGACCACCAAGTGACGCCTGGCTGATAATTTATGATCTGTAACATATGCTTCATAAATAAGAGCCTCTCTTTGGTGGATGTTTGCCATCACCACTTCTTGGCTTTTTTTATTTTCAGAAATAACAAATGCTTACAGCTTTCAAAACAACACTCACAGGTTTTTTAACATCAACATAGTTCTGACGCTGCTTATATCACATGTATTCACACATGTGATGCATTAATAACTTACACACATGTAATGAATTATTTAAAAATCCCCCCCAAACACACATGTAGTCATAAAAAATGAATCGTGTACATTTAAAGTCTGGCCTGTCTGCATCTGGATCAGTATCTGTTTATTTAAATATGATTGGAGCTAAAACTTTAACATTATTCTGTATTATCATTCACCCCATTAACACAAAAGCAATATACAAACCACATACAAAATGCATTCAGGGATTCAATTTGTGAAAAAAAAAGTTCAATCAATCAATAATAAACCAACCAAAAATGAGTAAGCTGAGGCTGAAGCTGTCTAAACTCAAGTGACTGTTTTAAGCAGGTTAACTAGCAGAAAGTGATTAAAAGTGATCAATAAACTGCCCCTGTTTGGAATATTCTTTTCATCATAACACACCACACATTTATTAATGTGTTCCAGTTCTTATTTGTATTCAGCTTATTGTTAAAATGGCAATAACAGGTCAGGCAGCGATTGAAATACTGCACTTTGGTCACTTAACTCATCATTTGTGACGCCGCGTAACTCGTCAACTCTTTGGATAGGACACTGTACATGGCAGCACAAATAAAGACAGAGACTTCCACCTTGCAAAATGGAGCGCTACCTCAGGTCATTCCTCCCTTCTGCAATAAGACTTTACAACGAACTGTAATAGAACTGGACTCACACCACCACTTTTTTCTGGTACTTAAATTGTGTATATTGTATATAGTTTTATTTTATTTTATTTTATTTGATCTTATTTCATTTTCTTCTCCCCTTTTTCCTTTTTCTAAATTTTTTCTTAGTTATAACATTTATTTAAGTTCTTAAGAATACGATTTTTATTTTTATAACTGCATTTTGCACTACCTTTGTCTGTGATGCTGCTGTGGCAAAAAAATTTCCCCCATGGGGGATCAATGAAGGAATATTCTATTCTATCCTATTCTATTCTAAACTTACACGCTTTTGTTGAATTTGCATCAAACTACAAAGCAAAATAATAATATTTATACTAATGATAAGTCTTTCCTTTACTGTGTTTGAAATTCATCCTGTTTCCATCTGAACCAGAACATCTACAGATTACAGTCATAACAGAAATATGATAATCCAGAGGTGAGGTGCAACAAGAGATGATCAAATGTCTGTGTTTTATCTCCCTGCTCGGGAAAGAAGGGAGGTTAACTCCAAAATCTGTCTCATCTTGTTAAGTCTTTGATATCGGTGCATTTATCGAAAGTTATTATATTTTCAATTTCATCCGGAGAAGCAGCCCTGTAACGCCTATAACCTCGTCTAACCTGTGGGTCCATCCAGGATAACAGCGTTTTATATTTCATGCTATTTTGACCTTTTTTAAATTCATTCTTTCTCTTCTTCTTCTTCTTTATGATTAATGTGGCCAATTACAACATTACATGTGAGGAGGAAAGCCTTGTGTGTGCGTGTTTGTGTGTGAGAGTCTTGTTGAAGATTACGGTGATTGTCATTAGAGTGATTGGTACAGAAATGCAATTACAGCCCTGGTGGAGAGTCTGTGCACTCGGCGAGGAACTGAATCAATTTAGGTGACCTTGGCTCTCAGTGAAGCTGCCCGGAGCAGAGTGAGCGAGAGTGAGAGTGAGAGTGAAAGAGGGAGAGAGAGAGAGGAAAAAGAGAGACAAAGAGACAGAGGGAAGGAAAGACTCTGGCAAGATGCTAAGCAGCATTCAGGCCAGGTCAGGCGTCCTCACTGTGACATTTGTTGCATAGTGAGCAGCAGTGAATGTAAATAGCCTGCAGGATAAAGAGGAAAAGGCATCTGACTAATGAGACCTGGACCTTATAAACCACCGAAGCAAAACACAGAGTTCATTTAGTTACACCCTCACAGTATAATGTCAAAATGGACCTGCAAAATCTTCAAATAAAACTAAACTAGTGATAAAGTCACAATGAAATGACGTGTAATTAAAAACTCTCAATTGAGGGCTTCTGAAATATGCTTGAAATCGCTCTGCAGCCTCACATGAGTCCAGCTATGTTTCCATTTAAAAGAGTTTTGCATGATGTGAAGGGGGAAGAAATATGTTTTAAAGCTCCCATTAGGAACTTTTGGTTTGTTTGGATTTTGGTGCCTCTAGTGGACAAAGCGGTACCTGTTATGTCCATGTGCCAGTGTTTTTTAAAACATCATCCTGCTCTCTTTTAGAAGAAAACTGTATCATTCATTGAAAACAGGCTGTTTTCAGTATACAGTTAATCTCTTCAGCAGACGCCTACCCTGCAGCAGCGGTTTCTGCCATAACTCTGTAGAAAATATGAATCTTTATGCTGATGATCTTGCTTCCTACTGTAGCTCATTAAGAGGCATGAATATTAACTTCACAGTATTTCATAACCAGCTAAACTCCTCAGGGATGCTTTGACTGAATCGTTAAGAAGCTGAAAAGTGCCTCCAGCGATTACTTTTTCTTTCATTTTTAGATTTATAATCTCAGTTCATTTCTGATATTAAGATTATCTACCTCCTAAAAATCAAACATTTTTCCTCATTATAGCTTGAAACGTCTCCACAGCTCCACAGCTGGAGCTTTAGTTATGCCCCTGACCCGAACTTTACATTTCTGACATGAATCATCTTCAAAGAGTCGTGACTGTGATTCTGAGACTGAAATCAGGCATGTTTGTGTGAAATTGACCTTCATTTTCAAGTACGTCATACATACCTTCAAATCTTCACCAAAACAGGAACTTTTTATTGATAAGAAACCCAGTCTGGTAAAAACGGTCAACCTCAGCTGACATGATGAATCCTGACACCTGGCTTAGCCGACACGTCACTACTGAACAGACTGATACAGGACCTGGAGTTGAATCAACACATACGCAAATTTGTAATCAAACAACCCGAGGCCAATCAACACACTGTAGCCTAACACTTGTGCAGCCGTCTAAAACCCATCATACTGTGCGCGCATACAATCTTCCATTTTAATTGAACAGGAGGATTAAAGGCCTCCTGAGGTGCAGATAAAGCAGTGAGTACACTAATGCTGTGTGATTACTGTTGGTAGGGCCTGCAGTACATTGAGAACAAATACAAACAGTGTTCTCACGCTGAGATTTAAAAGTTCATTATGAAGCTTTGAACCACAGGAAAATATAACTATCTGACCTTCAGCATGACTTTGTCCAAGACACAATTCATCCAAGTTTGTTTATCCTGGCTTAAAATTTCCTGTGATTTCTTTGTGAGTTGGTTTGTTTAAAAAGAAACAATTGATGAATAGATTTTTGCATTTCCCCTCATGAAGGTTTCTTGAAATTTGCAGAAACACTGCCTCAAACTTTTTTGAAGTACAGTTTCCTCACAGTACAAAGTCTTCAGATGACAACAGAGTGCTGAGCAGGAGAAGAATCAAGAGAGGCAGGACATGACTTTAAGAGCATGCTGCAAAAACTGCAACGTAACATTTCCATAAGAAATGACATCTATGAGGCCACTTTTTACATTTATGTCTTTGTTACATGCAAACAGGTAGATATGCAGAAATCTTTGCTTTTCTTGCCTTGAAACTGATATTCACTCTCTTTAAAGCTCCTATGAAAAGTTTTTGACATTCATGAAGTAGACTGAAATTTAGACTCACAAAAGTAAAAAAGCTCAGTGATCTATTTACTGTAATTTTTTAAATGCCTGAAACCTGTGAGTGTCAGCCGATAGTTAGATAATTACAAATGGGACCCAGTCAATGTGAAAGTAAAAAGCATTGGTGCTACTGTAGATGCCAACAGACTACCAGCAAACACAATGTTTGCAGGACTTCTACAACGAGGAGAAAGTGACATAGTCCAGGACGTGAGGTCAACAGTTTAGCGGCACTACAACACGCAGCAGGTCCCGTTTGATAAGAAACACTTCTGTTACAGACACTTGGCTTACTTTGTTAAAGCGGTTTACCTGTCCAGCTGAAAGGTTACAGGGTCTGAAAGATCCCGAATATTCCCCCATTATTGATGACCCGGCTTTTTAGCTCTTGTCCGATCTACCTTCTTTTTAAGCACCTGTTATTCCGCCAGAGTCTCCGGTATTTGGTTCGTTTTCTTGCTTGTGTTGGCAGTCGTGGCCAAAGGAGGATTCAGACAATCTTCCGTACTTTCTGGTTGGTTTCTACTGTCCGATATTGTAGCACGCTAACTTTGTTTGGGCTTCTGAACGACACGGGGGAGCAGCGTCTGCCTCACATCCAATCAGGTTGGGGGAGGCCGAGAATGGCTTTGTGTACAGTCAGAAAGAGTGGAGCGCTCTGAAATTTTAAAATGTTGACTACACAGACATAACAAAACACAGTGATATCGTTATATTACCAAATGTCATCAAAAACTAATAACTATTAAATGATGATATAAAAGCCATTACTTATGCCGCTAGTTCGCTGTAGATTTCCAGGATATTTCGGCACACTTTATTGATCTCTTGTAGAGATTCTCCATCCTGTCAGGTGGGTAAAAGTCTGGGTAAAGCTAAGGTAATATTTTCTGCTTTTTGTTTTGCATATGCAGTCAACTCAGAGTTTTCAGGACATATGAGGATAGAGCACTAAATGACCTTTTGAGGCTCCTGAGTTAAAGCTGCTGAAAGGAACTTTTGATTTGTGTTCACTTTCATTCCCCCAGACAAGGTCCTTACTTTGACAGTATGCAAAAAATACCTCTACAGAAGCCGTCAATATTCGTATAATTATAGTCTTATTGGCTCTTGTAGTCCATAAAGAGGTTTAAGTAAAGCTTGTCTCATAAACTGATAAAAACTCCTCTTTTACTTTTGTGCGACTTTATATTTGTTCTTAACTGTATGAAATAGTAATTTCACTCCTCTTCATTCATCTCAAAGTCAATTTTCTCTTGGGTTAGAATAATCCATCAGATTAAAAAGGTAAAAAGATGAAGAAAAGATAACAAGTGTTGCTAAAGTTCGTTATCTCGAAAGTGAGTTCAGACAAAGGGGGCTTGTTATACCCTCAAATCTGTCAGCATCCTTGTCCTTGTCTCGCACCTTATCTCGATCTCTATCCCTGCTTCGCTTTCCTCTCTCGGCTTGTTTTCCACTTTATCCCTGCCTCCATCACACACACACACACACACACACACACACACACACACACACACACACACACACACACACACACACACAATCACACAATCACACACGGACTCTGATACACACTCAGTTTGTTCACAGCTGACACCACACGAATTATTGCATCTTCTCTCAGCG